CACCGATATCTTTGAAACTTTCTCTATGATTGCACCTTGATGAACTTTGATAATTTCATGTGGATTTCTTTGATTTACACCCTTTTGATTTGAAAATACACCCTCGAACAGTGGCGGCCCATAGCTAAAATTAGTGGGGATGCTGCTGCAGAAAATTTTTTGCTTTTTTTTTTAAAAGCGGCACTGCGGGAGCGATAGCGTTCTCTCTCTGCGCAGCCTCGCGCGCAGCTCCCTATGTGCGCATGCGCACACGGTCAAACACCATGCCGCTGGAACTGCGAAGCGCGCAGTTCCATACAAAGATTTTTATATCTTTTTCATAAACTGGAGAATAGCTACTGATATTATGCTTAAGGATTATATATTGCACAAGTATAAAGAAAGAATTAAAAAGAAAGGACTCATTATATTAAATGTTATCGATAATATCAAGTGGAAATACAGGTTGTTGCAGTTCCACAGTGCCTATACACGAGCCGCCACTGCCCTCGAGGAAAAAAGATGTTAAAAATTATTAGAAGCGAGGGGATTAAATAGAGCAAATCGTTAGAATCGGGTCAAATTACAAAAGTATGAGAAGTAAGTTGATCCACAGGGATTTCTCGAAGGATACTCTGAAGAAAGCAATTGCATAATAAAAAAAAGAGATAGTTGTCGGGCAAGTACAAACGCCAGGAACGCGGTTGGGATAATATAATCAGTGGAGGGCACGCGTAACTGGTCGGCCAGACTTGGACATGCTCTTAAGGAAATCTGGAGCAAGTTTTATACTTGCGGCGACATTTTTCAACCCGGTGGAGCAGAGATTGCGGTATTCGACTACTCTTGTAAATGAAGCCGCATTCGATGTCATGCTCCAGAATTTTAGGCATTCGAAATACGCCATTTTCAGAGAGCCTTCCATTGGCTAATTCTCTCACAGTTTAACTAAAATACCTTATCCTACTGCTTACACCATCTACATTAACAAATACTTAATTAAAATAACTAACTTTTTGGATTCAAAGGAGAATCAATTTCAATCATCAATTACAAATTTTAAGAAAATAGTAAACTGTGAAAGAATTAAATGAAACATAGATTTTTCCATATTTATATTCGTCCAAAATCTAATCAAAAATTTAACAAACTGTTTTAATAAATATAATGAAAAGACTAAAGTATTAAAAACAAAATAGTCTGCTCGAGGAACGAATCGCAGAGACTGAATAACTCATAAAATATGTAGTATCGCATAATAACGTTAATCCGCTAGAACAGCTAAGATTTTTCACGAATTCCTAACCGCAGTTCCCGATCGCCCTCGCACGACCGGTTCGCTTTTCCCCGTTTCTAAGGCACGTGCCGTCATTTCTGCTCCACCATGCGTGACAACGTTCGTTTCGCCAATTTTTCATCGATTTCCTCGCAGATTTATCCAGTGATTTTCAACGACAGTTCACTGATAGCGAATCGCAATAGAATCAGATCCATGGTGCACAGATAAAAACAGTCAAGAAATGTTTCATCGAATCTCCTGAAGAAGACACTTGCACTGTTTTCGTTCTCGTCACTGGTCCCGCGTCCCTCCTTGACTTTCCTCTTTCCCTTTTCAAATTTTTCTTTCTTTTTTTTTTTTTTTTTACCCCACTTACCTGTCAACGAAGAAGGTAGAGGAGTAACGGCACGACGAACGAATTGACAACACTCAAGCTTTATCTTGGCCGGCCGGTTCTTCATTCTCTTATATAGCATGTCTCGCTGAAAGTTACCTCCACCAGTTAATATCTGGCTTCGCATCGGGGTAGTGGGAGACAATCTCTCGTTATATGGTAAAACAACGTGTTCTCCAAATCTTGCCTCCGCACATGATCATCTTAAACAATGAAAATAGATCAACTATAATGCTCCATCCAATAAAATAAATTGATCTTAAAAGAAAAAAAAAAAGATGGACTGAAATATTATAACTGTTAAGAGATACCTGGTTACATCAAATATCGAATACCTGTAATGATGTAATTAAAACGAAGGTGTGGTGCCTAGCATGTTTGACAGGCTGAACGCAATTTCCTTGGAGCCTGGATGAAGCGAGCAGTGATCTGATAAAAACTTTCTATGAAATATCTTGGTAGAATAAAATATGGTGTATTAAAATCATGCTTACCTACAAGAGACCACCCTCTTTTTTTTAATAAAAGAAAAAAGAATATAAAAGGAAAGTTTCTTCTCGTTTGCTTGAGTTTATATTCCTTCTCGTTTTGTAACAATTCATTGTTGGATCGAAGTTTTCTAATAGTAATGAAACCGGTCTTTGAAATGTGTTCACCGATCTTATCGGTGAACTATCAAAAAATTCTTCCTTGGCTATGCATGGCATTTCGCAAATTCTGCATGCTACGTACTCGAATCGTTAAAATGGAAACATCGAGTGAAATTTCGTTTCGGAGTAGCTTCTACTATTTTCACGGATGATGTACGAATTGCATTGCGAGATAGAATTGATTCGAGGCGTAAGATACAATTTGCGGTTCGAGGAAATCAAGTTGACAATGTTTGTTAATGGTACTTTAAGAGAAAAAAGCATCAAATTCGCTGCACGCTCGAACGCAATTCTTACATCATCGATAGCTCTGGTCTTTCGATACTTTTTACATTTTCTATAGACACACGTACATTCGTGATAGCCCAGAACCGATCGTTTCCGCAAAGTGCTTTCAATACCAATGGGGAACCAAACGAAATCGAGTGAAATGGCTTTCTACAGACGAAAATTTCCTTTCAGTAGTAGGTCGACGTCAAATTTTACATCGCAGCTCGGGCTTTATTTGCATTCCTCGAACGTGACTTTAATTCCGACATGCAACCAGGAACTTTTAATTTCAAAGATTGCACATTTGCCTTATCTTCCACCTCCATGATTCTCCTCTTGCTATATATTTCTATTCTTCTTATTAAAATTCATGAATGCTCATCTCTACTGATTCCTATTTATCCAAGAAAACATTTCATTAGCAGAATTCGGAGAAATTCGTCGCGTCTTGAAATATACTTCTTCGAGATTACCTTTTTATAGCTGCGCTCTTGCACATAAACTTTAATTGCTTTTCACCTAAATCGCGAGTTTCTCAGTGTGCCATTGAATTGTCGAAAGTAGGTTGTATTATCTGTGCTCGATTCCATCACCTTTCTTGTAGAACGCTTGTTTTCTACACCTTGCTACGTGTTTTAAATCAGCTTACGCGCCGAAATAATGTCTTATGAATGAAACAAACCAGTTCTACAATGAAACCAGTGTATATGGTACATACAAATGAAATCGGAACAAGAGGGACGATCGATGACCACCGAGAAACTTTCGATCTCTTTTTTCTTTTTTCGCTACTTGGCGTGTAATTTATGAAAATCGTATGGAAACAGATCGGACTTTCTTTCTTCCAGGGACTCCCATCGAAGGTCATTGTTTGAACCGAACGGATATCCAGGAACGATCGACGAGATTGCTGAACGTTCGTCGTTCACTTTCTTTTCATTTCTTCGCTACTCCTCGGATTATAGGTGCCATCGACGTTTCCTCTTCTTATCGGCGAACCGTGCAATTCCGTTACCTTTCCTGCAATCTCTTGCCGAGTAAAACCGGCGGATACCTGAAACGTAAAGAGATATTAGAAGAAAAGAATAAAAAGCTAAGTAGAAATGAAGGAAAACCAAGACGAGAGCATAAGAAAATTGTTAATTAATTTTCTAATCTGCCTCTATGCTTCTGTTTCAAAGCTTTTTAATATTTTAATATTTTAATACAGAGCAGGATGTAATTGAAATGGAATTAAAATCTGGTCATGATTCATTAAAAAAGTCAGCCTTATCATCCTATAGGTGTGGTTCTGATAGAATAACAGATATTTTGGTACTCCGAATGTATAAATGCGTATGAAATACTTTCACCGACTGACTACAAGAGAAAGTGCGTTCGCCCCCTGTTCCGCCCCTATGATACGCGAATGCGATCGTTAAAGAGGGAAACGAGATAGTTAATACTTTAATTAAGCGAAACATTGTATTCTGACCGCAGAGCTCGATTACCTCATCTCATTCAATCGTTTTGGCTTTCCTTCTGCATACCTTACTTAGAAAATAATTACCATATTTGACGAATGATTTTCTTCTATAATATATCCTTAACTATTTAATAAGAAATGTAAAATACATACATTTCTTTTACAATATAAAATAGTATTACAGCGACAACTATCTTTTATCCTTCTTATATATATATTTTCCAATAATTTCACAATCGATCAACGTATATTTCCTTTTTAAATGACTTTCCCGTAAAAAAGGCTTAGCTCATTCTTGTTTTGTAAAAAATACAGAGTTGCTGTTAGATTAGTGACTACATTCTCTTTTCATGATATATGCACGAGCAACATAATATACTTGGAGAGGTGTACTAGTATAGTGTGCTTTATAAACACTTCAAGGATAATGGTATTACTAGTTTCTTACACATACAGCAAGTAATGAAGTTTCGAGCATCGGACAACTCTAAATGTAATCATAATTTCACGTCGAGAAAGACGTATTTTATTATAAACACGTTTTGCGTATAAAGAAGAAGGATAAATAGTTGCATAATACGCAAACGGTATTAAGGACTAAATAAACTAGTATCGAACAAGTAGTTCGGAAAACCACATGCTGATATGTGTACTATGTACATGTATACATTGCTTGGCATTAAATATATTTACATAGCTATACTGATTTTTTTAACTATTTCCTGCTCTTACACAGGTGCTACTTTCTACACAGATTAAAGGTGACTCCTAGAATGCGATCACGTTCCTAAGATTACTTTTCACTAGCTACTTTGCATCTAAGAAACTGTGTGTTTTCGATTATATCATAATTCGAGCTTAAATAAAGCATAAAAAGTATCCGTGGAAATACCTTTTTCAATTATACATACATACATATGTACAATATCAAATACCGCAGTAATAAATACAGTATACAATTGATTCTGGTACTTTATATATATATATTTCTACCTAAAGTTGATCACGATTTCAGATTTCTCACCATGTTACCCTTTATTCGTAAAAATATTTTTAATAAAATAAAAAACGTCAGTCATTTTTCAGTCAGTGCTTTCGGTGCGACATCGGTCAACGATGCGCAGAAAGTAACTCTTGGAAAAGATAAATGAATGCTTTCTACAACTTCGTTAAAGTATCTGATTGCTTATTCACCACTGACAGCATAACGTGTGCCAATGAACTTTTCACAATGATCGCGTGATTGGATAAATGTTTATGTTTCTGTATATTTAAATTAATATCTTTTAAATTGAAATCAATTTCCAAAAACCAAGAACTGTAAAATTCTTATTTTTTCAAACGAACAGTCGATACTGTCGTTTTCTTCATCCATCACTTGAGACTAGAAAATATTTTACTTAAGTCATTTAGTTTTGGCAGTGTATCAAAGCAGACACGATGTAATAATATGTTATCAATACGTAGAAGCATACATTTCAATCGCGCATCAACTTTGGTCACGTGGTTTCTGATACTTTACGAGATCGAATAGTCTTTTTATGTTTCACTGGCTCTGTCGCGCTATCGTTATCCGACACGGAAGAATCCCTTAACGTTTTCCTTCCGCGTCCTACGTTTCGTTCTTCGTTTTCGGACCCAATAGATTCTCTGTTCGATTTCCGTCTTTGACGTTGCGGAATTTGATTTTGGACTTCCATCGCTTCGCGAAGATATTTCCGTTTCGCTTCCCAAAACATTTCTTGTCTCTGAGCTATTTCCGGATATCTATAGAAAAAGTTACACACTCGTAACGAAAGATAAATGAACGGAATTTAAAAACTAAATAGTAAAAAAGATATTGCTATAGTACCTTTCACTAAATTCTTTACAAGGTGGAATTATTAAACGCCATCCCTTTTTTGGTTCGTGTATTGCTAAGTTTGTAAATATTTCCTTAATTTCATCGGTATGCAATTTAATAACCGATGCAATTGTTTTTCTATGTAGGTACTCGTGTTCGGTGAATGATAATAACTGAAACCGCCTGTTCTTAGTACATTCATAAATGTATACATTTTAAATATTTTAAGTACACCATACTTACAACATAATCTCTAGCTCTACACATAAGTTCCGCAGGAATTCCGTTATACGATGAAACGGTATCTTTTGCATATATAAGTTCACTATTTACAATCCAATTTCCTTGCACTAAAACTGCTACCTGTTGCAAATATTTTAACACAGCTGTTGTTTCTTGTTCCGGTGATAGAATTAATCTTAACTGTGCAAAGGACAAAACTTTGGCTGTAAAAGAAGAGCATTGGAATCAATACATAATAATTAAAAACCAATGCGTACAATGAGTTAAAACCATTTACCATCTTTCATAAGAGTCCTAATCTGATCAAGAAGAGATAAAGTTCTAATATAATTAAGAGATGTTGTACAACTAGAGACATCCGTTTTTAGCTCTTTTTTCATTGGTGGTGCTAGTAATTCTAAATATTGCTGATTTGATAGATTTAATGTATTTACAGTTTCATCTGTGGTAGAACAGAACATTTCCAAACGTGTAAGCTGAAAATATACATGTTTTTATTATAAGTACAAGAGGCTATATAGTAATATAATAAATTGAAAATATTTACCTCTGCCTGTGTGGCATTTGTTGGAATATAATTGGTATGAATCCATCTTTCCCCTAAACTTTTTTGAGTATGATGCTGAAATGATTGCTCTTGCATCTTTTTCATAAAGTCTGGTTTCTGTCTAGCAAAAGATACAGTGACTTGTTTCGAGGCTTCTTCTTCTTCCTCAATTTCTTCACCCATATTTTTAGCTTCATCTCTAACCCTTTTATCACTTTTATCAAGATAACTAAATTGTGGACGCATCTGAATGACTCCTTTCAAAGGTGTTATATGTAATTCACCATCTTGAAAAATACCAACTGCATAATTTGAACAGGTGGGCAATGCTCGAGAAGATTGCAAGACTGTTTTATCCATAAAATTACTGTAATATGAAATGCATATTATACGGTACAATGTAAAGAAATAAATGATAAATTAAATATCTTTTTAAATACCTATCAAATGCCTTTTCATCCTCATCTTGATCACTCTTTGCCTCTCCATCTGCATTTATTGCAATTTGTTCTCCTTTACTTTGGTCATAATTGACGCTTTGTGTATCAATTGCCACCTCTATAAGAACTTCCTGATTTTCTGGTTTTATAGAACTTTTTAGGAAAGTTGCATTATCGTAGCCCTCTCGAGCCGGACGAACCGGGTATTGAAAAATAAATAATTTATCAGCAAGTGTTTTTGAGAGAAAGACTGGAATCTAAAAAAAAAATATATTTCTTCTTTTTTTTTATCTTTAAACGCGTGATTTGATCGTTATATATTTCTTCTTTTGATTTAATTATTCGATGAAACAATGTATTATTATATACAATTATGAATCGATTGCAAATAACAAAGAAAATACAAAAATGCAGTGTAAACCTATTTGAATGCCACGACAATAAATAATGATAACTTGTTTGTTACGGTTACAAAAATTCATATTATATGTAGTAAAATGTATACACTGTGTACACATAACCTAGAATTAATCTAAAATTAAACAATTAGAATAAAAGAGAAATTGATTTACGAACCTCTTTAACCACTGGATCATTTTCATTTTCCATAGCATTTATGCTAGACATTTAAATATTATTTGTACCTTATTACTTGCTTCCTGAGTACGTTCTGATCAGTGTTGATGCACTGAACTTCATAGACCACGTTTTTCAAGTAGATGTTTGAGATAAAATGTCAGTAGATATAGATAATATATCTGTATCTGCTGGTTATGTATTTGTAACAGTAGACATTTAAATAAAACATTTACATAAATTGCCATTTATTGTTGATTACTATTGTACCAACCTTCAACAATAATTATAACAAAACATCATTTGTTTTTAATACTCACTTTTATCTATAAATCATAGATCAGTGAGATTGAGACTTCTAGATCCATATTGATCCATATCTAATCTATGCGATGTTAATTTACCGTAACTTGCCGTAACTCTTTAATACAAATATAAACAGTATTTGTATTCTCTTTTACATGGTTAAAAAAAAATTGTCTAACACATTTTTAATTGTAATTGTTAATCAGAAACACAAATGGATCATCAAAATTTTATTAATGAAGGTTATTATAAATTTATATTTTTACTTTTCTATGATTTATACATAAAATGTTGATTTTTTACAGGTACTGTGTTACCTCCCACAGCAACATTGATTCAAGTAACAAATGTTTTAACACCATATATTATGAGAATTTCTGAGATAAAAGGGTACAAAGAAAAATTACATTTAATTAGCAAGAAACTATCAATGAAAAGAGGAATACTATTTGATAGCAACGCAAAACTTACAAAACCAAAACTAGGAGATGTAAGATTTAAAAATTATACTATTGAATTAACTAAACTAGATAATGAATAACATTATATTTTTAGATGGTTGTAGTATCCAATAAATTAGACATAGAATTAGATACCTGGCTGTGTAGAGGATATATATCTAATATTGCAGAAAATTTAAAAGATACATATAATGTTTTTTTACCTGATCATGGTATTTCAATTCTCCTACAAAGAGAAGACTTTATCATATATTCACCTGATTTAATTACAGAAGAATATTTAAGTTATACAGTTGGTTTGTATAATATTTTACCTGCTGTTATACACAATGATCCAACAACAGATAAGAAAGTGTTAATGTATGAATCAATTAAAATTCATTAATCAATATAAACATTTGTACAAAACATAATGAATATTCATTTTATATGTATCTAAAGAATTTTAGAGGAGTGGAGCAAGTCAGCCATTCAATACACAAGAAAAGTAATAAGCATATCAGATGCAATTTATTTTGATCACTTAGGATCTGATCAATGTGATAGACCTTATGGTGAATTTTACCTCATTATTGACAATAATGTATTACGCTTAAGTAATGCTTTAACTTTTAATAATTATGCCGTTTACCTAGACAATGGTAAAATATAAATATTTCATTATTAGTATTAAATTATGTTTTAAATTTATTTAATATTTAATATTTTATTTCTACACAGACTTATTAAAGGTCATAAAAAATCCCAAGAGTTATGACATGTTAGATAAAAAGATGATTGATTCTGAGACTATATTTTATATGAATATTAAAAAAGAGTGTAAGACTATTAATGAAAATCAGAAACACAAAGAAAAGTCTGTTAAACCTTCTTTTCTTAAAAAGAAGAAACACATACCCATTGAAGTTGAAAGGGACCAAGAGAAAGTATTAATTTATACAGAAGATAAGTGTGAATACTTAGATTCCACTTTAGATGCAAAATTTCCTCTTGAAATACACAAGGTATAATTTTCAAGTAAAATAATTATTAAGATTTAAAGAAAATAATTTACATTATACTTTTAAGGCTTGGAGATCGTTAGTAAATTCATCAAGGCCCAGAAAAATTCAATCATATATTTGGCCTGCTATAAAAAAGGGTTTAGATGTTATAGCAGTTGGAATAGCAAAGTCTGGCAAAACTTTTGGATATGCATTTGCACTGTGTGGACTACTAGTAACAATCCAAAATGTAAGAACATTTGATTTAAAATAATTCATCATCTTACCATTAACAGTTATAAAAGAGGGTACCTAAAAATTTCTATAATTATGTTTATAACAGCTTCCTCAAGGAGTAAATCCATCTGCATTGATATTATGTTCATCATCATCTGAGGTATTAGAAGTACATTATTTGTGTATGGAATTATTACAAAGCTATAAAAATATTAAATCTGTTGCTGCAATTAATGGCAAACCAGAGAGATCATTAGTGGTAAGTCAATTGTTCAAATAATATTTTTGAAGTGAATACATAAATAAAAATATCTTTAAATTTGTTATATTTTTCTTAGGCTGAAATGTTTAATGGATGTCAGATTTTGATTTCTACACCAAGATTTTTGGCACGTTTTTTGGATCAAAACAGAAAATTATTCAATTTTCAAAATCTTCGATATTTAATTTTGGACGGTGGTGACATTATTATGGATAAATATTTTGATTCTGTAAATATTTTTAAATTGTCGGTTATAACTTTATGTATTGCAAGTATAATAAAAAATACTATTTTTAGATCAGTAAATTATTTAAAAAGCATAACATTATTTGTAATAGAGAAGATAAACATAATGAGATAATGTTACAAATTATAGTGACCGCGAAACAATGGACACCGTATCTAAAAAGAATTGCCTATATTTTAATGAATAATCCATATATATGTATAACATCATTTATAGAAGCTGCGGTTTTCAAATCCGTATGTCCAAAGGTTTATATAATGAATTCTAAGAGTAGAGATGAAAAACTTTTAGGTAAAAATGAATTATTTCAGAAATTTTTAACTACCTAACTGAATTAAATAATTTACGATCATTTTATTATAGGTCTATTAGGTAATGAATATTCCAAATCAAGAACTGCAATAGTTTGCACAAGTAATGAGGAGGCTGAAAAATTACATAAATTTTTAGCGAATTGTGCAGAAACACTTTTAATTCATGGAAGCAACAACTTTGCTCATTTACAAGGTAAGAAATATGTCAAGACCAAGGATGTATTGAAATTTTAATTACATGAGCAATTAATGATATGGAATATTTTTCTGCAACCAGGTATCAAACGATGTTGGAATACGAGTGTGTATGGTTCTTATCCGATTTTGATATGCACGGATGATGTTTTATCAGATATAAACATTACGAATGTAACGTGGTTGATACACTATTCAATTAATATGCATTCTAGAACTCGGTTTAATTACCGATTTTCAATGTTACTAGAAAATTTACAAATGGTATATTACTTTACAATCATAAGAGTTAAAATAGTTTCATTAGAAGTAATGAATTTTTCAAAATTTTTAAGGAACGCTGTACTTGTAAAGTAACTATTATAGTGGATGACAATAGTGACATACAATTTTTAAGTATAATTAAAATATTGCAACGTATGAATGTTCTGATTCCTCAATATATATCAGAAAATATCGAGGTATTGATTAAAAATCATATGTACAGTCAAATTTATTTAAAGAAAAATATTACACATACTAACACACCTTTTTAGACTATAACAGCTACTTTAGACAAAACAAAAGAAAACTATCCAATCTGTGATAACATAAAATCTTGGGGATTTTGTAGTAAACAGCATTCTTGTATATTCAGACATAGAATAATTCCTGAAATTGATGCACCAATTACCGATATTCAAATGTTAGTAAAAACTATTACTTACAAATTAGTTAACAATGTTCAATTACTAATGTTTTTATGATTTTAGAAATGACAAGGTAAAATTCAGAGTGGTGAGTGTGCACGATGTAACACATATTTCTGCCAGAGTTGTGTCATATATTAAATTTGATACCCAAGAGGAAATAGAATTCTCTAATGTAGAATACATGCACATTACTATGAAAATTCAAGAATTTTATTCATCTGTAGAAAACAGGTTAATATATTAAATTTGTAAAAACAAATTAATCAAAATATTTGTAATGTATTTTTTATATCAAACTTACATATTACTGTAGAAAGAGATCTGACACGGTAGAAGTGGGATGTATATGTGGTTTAGAAGAACCAGTAGACAGTTTCAAAAGAGTTCAAGTGCTACATGTTTTAAAAGACGAGGAAACAGGAAATCCGAAGTTTGTTGATGTAAGATGTATTGATAATGGAATGATTTTAACAAAATTGAATGTAAGTGTTGAAATATACCACTTAGATAATAGTAAAGAAAAATGTAATACCACTAATGGTTAATGTATTTTTTTTTATATCAGGCATACAGGTTGTTATACATACCAGAACAATTTGTAAAGTATCCAGTACAAGTAATGGAAATATTTTTAGTTGGAATAGCTCCACACGATGAGGAATATGTTTGGAATAATTGTGCGATTGACGCAGTGTATCAATGGTTTAAAGAAAATATTGATGAAAAATCTTACGTAATTGGAACGGTAAACTGCTTTTTTCATTCATCTTTACAATTTTCTACAAGTAAATCATAATAAAAAGAATTAAATGAACAGGTAAATTTACATCTGGGAAACACAATATGGGTGAACACTTTGGAAATTGGAACAAAACTAATTGGATATAAAGATATAATTGGTTCTTCCCTAAAAACAGAGTTATTAAATAAAGATCATGCAGTTGAAAATAATAAACACTTACATGAAATGTATCAGCTTTGCAAAAGCGCTGGTTTCCTGGATATCAATGGATATAATCTGAGTACATTAATAAATAAGAATTCACAAACTTGTCCAGTAAGTAATTATTCTGTACAATTGTTAAAGATTATAATTCAAAATAATAAATATTTTAATGGTTTATTACGTGTAAGTATATGTACATATATGCACATGCTTACGCATATCCATAACATATATATATATATATATATATATATCAAATGTTTGTTTTCCTCTATAATTCATTTTTTATGAATTGCTCTGAACTCTATTATTTTGAAAATTAAAATATTTCTCTTTAAACCTACCGAATGAAAATAATATAAGAAAAAACTTGTTTTAATTATGTTTCGAGTAACCTAATATAAGATTTAAAAAAACTATTTATATAAATTTATAATGTTAAAATTTTATACAATAGTCAGGTACTCAGAAGCAAGGTGCATCGGATCAACATGATAAGAAGCAACTAAACGAACTTTCTGACCATCTTGTGTCGTGAATTCAATCGCTTGTTCGTTTTCGGTAATCCCTGACTGCTCGGTTTCCTCCATTTGATTGATCGTGGCAACAGCATTTGCATCTGTATCTTCATCCTACATTATATAAATTAAGCTGCGTATTATATTTAACGACAATGTTCAGTGAAATAAATATATTATATTTTTGCACCGTATTTAATAATTAAATGTATTAATTATTTAAAACATTACCTCCAATGTCTTTACAATTGCTTCTGCATCTGTTTGTATAGTTGAAATATTTTTCACTTTTGGTTCAATCGTATTAGAAATGTCCACGTCTTTTGCATCAGAATTTTGACTAACGTGCATACTTAACGGCGTTGTTAATTCGTCGGTAATTGCTCCCGGATGAATTCTAATTTCTTGCCCTTCGTTAAGTTGATTAACGAATTGACTCTGAGATAAAAGCTGTCGGGCATCTTGTATCGAAAGAGGAATCGGATTACCTTCCTCGTCTGTAATCTGTAAATATCATTACTATCTCGTTTCTTCTCTTTACTAATTGTTTGCAATTCTTAGACATTTTATTTATCTTTACCTGAAGCTGAAGATCTGATTCCGACAGTTCGACATTTATTCGATCAGCTGAATTATTATTCGCATTGGCATGAGGCGAATTAGAAAGTATTCCATTATTTTCAACGTTTAAATGTGATAAAGCTTGATTTGTATTCGTTTTTTCTTCCTTATTTCTCATTATTCCAGCATCAACTACACCAGAAAACAATATTACCAATATCAACTTGATCAGTAAAAAAATTCTATCAAATCTGATGCTATGTAAGTAACTAGCTTTACCGAAATGTAAAGTCCGTGACTGATTAGGATCATCTGGATCTTGATACGATACATAAATAATTTGTTGAATACCATCTCCAGATGTATCATCCGCTGTAATAACTTGAGCCATTTGATCGGTTAAAGAATGTTCATCGGATTCCTGAGAACTCGGTAAAATTTGCCAAACTTCACCAATCGGAGATCCTTCTATTTCCCCTATCGCAGAAACTTTTGTTTCTCTGTGTACCTAAAAGCAGCTCAATAATAATTTCACATTATTGTACATTTCTAAAATCAGAGAGTTCTTATTAATACTACTTAAATTCTTACCTTTTTATGTTTCGTTAAATTCGAACAATCTGCAAACGTTTTCCCACAAACATCACAGGAATAAGGTTTTTCACCTGACAAATAAAAAGCCTTTAAATATGATTGAACATGTTTAGTAAAAATATTAGTGAAAATCAATAAAAATCATACCCGTATGCAGACGAAGATGTTTTTTTAAAGCCCATTGTTCTGTAAAACCGCGATTACAATGAGCACATTGAAACGGACGTTCTCCTTTATGTCTACGCACATGGCATTTCCATGTATCTTTATGCAAGAAACATTTTGCACAGAATTCACATTTCCATGGACGTTCGCCGGTATGTCGTTTAACGTGAAGCTTAAATTGCGACGAGGTGGTAAATTTTCTTCCACAATAATCGCAACAATAAGGTTTCTCTCCTGTATGTATCCGCATGTGCTCTTGTAAATTCCCGTTTTGTGAAAAACTTTTATGACATACCTCACACGTATAAGGTTTATGACCCGTGTGCCACCTAAATATGAAATTATTCGTTTATTTACTTGTTTGTTAATAATCGAATTTCTGTGTTCTTATAATAACCTGTAATGGAGCGTGAGACTAGTTTTATGCGCAAACTGTTGTCCACAGATTTCGCAAAAATATTTTTTTTCGCCTGTATGGGTGGATTGATGATTAATTAAATTCGCTTTTGTTTTGAAACTGGCATTGCAAGATTTACAGATGTACGGTCGATCATCCGAATGCACAAGTTGATGACGTTGTAACAGTTGCTTGTGTTTAAAACTTTTCCCACATTTGTTGCAAACAAATCGTCGGCCATTATTGTGTTCCGCTTCCTTATGATATACCACAGAACTCGGATGATTAAGTATCTTTCCACATATATCACAAGGATATTCTTTCTCCAGTTTATTCTTCTAAAATAATGATAAAAATTATTCAATATTCGTTTCTCTATTTACTTACAGTATTTTTATACGCTTACCTCGTGTATGGCCATATGAGTTTTCAAAGCTGTCTGTTGGGTAAAACTCTTACTACAAATAGTACAAATAAATAATTTATCACGTTCGTGAACCATTTTCAAATGTAAATCGCAAGTTTGCTTCGTTTCGAATAATTTGTCGCATTGTTCGCATGAAAATGTTTTCTGAGAATCGGAATTTTCCGATGATCTGTTTGTATCATGTTCTTCCGGCAGAGTTTGTTCAAGTACGTTAGATACGTGTTCTTCTTCAGGATAATGACGTTTTGATTCGGAATCTGATTCTTGAATATGTTCTAACTTTTGATACATACTGTCCCCAGTGTGATGCGTTGTTTTCTGATGCAATTCTAAATTTTCCTTATTTGTAAATAACTTTTTGCATTCTGAACATTCGTATCTTATTCCTTTGTGAAAACTCCTAATTATCAAAAATAGTTGAATTACTTTTACCGAAAGTCGTGTAACATATATGATTAAATAGATTCGTTTATTTACTTGTGCACGATATATCTACTGCGTTGAAGAAATCCTCGGCCACATAACTGACATGTAAATTTATTTTTTCGACGACGTAATTTTGGCCGACCTCGACCCCTACCTCGATTAACTACCACTAGTTCTCCTAAATCCTTCCCTTCCTCGGATTCCAAATGCCCAATTATTTCTGAAATGAACGTATAAATGATTCTTGAAATACAGTTACTGCATATCTTAATTCGAAACTCCACAACATTTACCTTCCTGACTATCAGGAACAGAAATATTCAATTGTTCCTCGGAATCTTCAAAATTATCGGGTTCATCGTCGTCCTCTTCGTCAATTACGCCTTCTTCTTTGTATATTCTTTCTAATTCTTTGCCCTGAACCGCCTCCATGTATCTACGTCATTCCATACTATTATAAATACACGTATTATAACAATCATGGTGAATACTTTGAATTGCTTCTGTTTTAAAAGAATACCTTTTCGGAACCTTACGTTTCCTCCGACGTCTACCATCCCCGTCCAAATCATCTGTTTCTTCCTCTTGTTTATCTTCTTCTTCTTGACTAATCCCTTCCATTACTTCTCCTCTCCCTAAATCCTATAATTTTATATTTAAAACAATACCGAATCAAGAACAGCTATTACCTCTACTAACCATAGACATGCTTTCTGCATGAGATTTTGGCGGACGCCCTCTCTTTCGTTTCGGTTTATTCAATCCTTCCATTTGCAAACTCATTTCATGTTCGGCCGCGTACATAGAACCATCTGGCATTACTATTAACAAATAATTTAGTTAGTGGTTTTTTAATTAGAGACGCGCAAGAACCTGAAAATTCGACTAATTCAAATATTACTTTTTATTATAATTTGTTGTTCAAATTGATCTTCCTCGTTGTATTGAGAAACGTTATCTAACTCCGATGATTCTGCCATGCCTTCTGTTTCTTTTTCAACACGAAGCCGCTCTCGTTCGACTTTACGTTGTTGTTCTACTTGATGCTTCCACAACTCACGAATTTTCCTTTGACCATCCACCAATAACTCGAAGAACTGTATCGTTGCCTCCAGTTGTATATTGCAACCAGGGCATATGGTTCGTGGTAGCTTACCATCATCTCGAATCTGAAATTAAGATTGTATAATAATAATTTATTTCATATAATTTATAGAATCATAACCTCTAAAGAAAATTAATAAATTTTATATATATATATATATTATCTTTATTATTCTGACAACAGAAAGGATCCTCTTACAGATCTGAAATCCTGCACACACTCTGAATGAACATTTATTTTCACTGGATAAATTAGTACTAAAAAATGATGAAGCTCAGTCTCAGAATAATTAGTAATTAATATATGTTAATGTAAATATACATAATGTTGATTATAAGCATGACTGGAGTATTTATTACCTTTTAAATATTTTATGAAGGAAGATATTTTTTCACACCCACACAAAATTTTTACATAGCACAATAAACTTTCTTATATAAAACAACATAAATAATAACATACATCATTAGGAGGAAACATGAAACATTTGAGTCAGGTAGTATTTGTGTACAAAGTAGGAAGTCAAGTTAGAGTCTAATATTTCGAAGATTCATACCTTGAGTGGCAAGTACCGATTGACCATAGAACTCAAATCTGGATCTTCGGTATCATCCATGTAAAGTAACTCTCCATTGCCGTTATCTTCCGCACATAATCGACAAATTGTTGAATCATAAAGGCGTACTTCTGCCATGATCCTAACGGAACTGTTTGCCTACGACTAACATCGATTTTATCCTAACCAAACTGACCAGTAAGTACATACGTATAATTCCTATATACTGTGTATTTTAATTACATGCTATGTAATCTTTACTTAAAAATTGTATCTTTTAATGCTTGTGTCATAAATAAGCAAGAGATTTCTTATAAATAACATTTCTTCGTAATAAAATTCTCTCTTTAAAATTTGGGTGACTTTTATATGCGATATCGATTCCTTGTCGATGTTTCGATTAAATCGAACGAACAGTATATCGAAATTTTGTAATCGACAAGTCGAGTATCGATAATATCCATGTTTTGTTAGATATCGATAATGAAATGTAAATATACTTCGATTGATCATTGATTGGTAAATTTTCAAATAATTTATCTTCTTTATAAATTCATTTTAAAATTATTTTATATATTCACGTGACCTACATTATTTTAACTATTTATCTATTTTGATTTATCGCTCTTGAATCGGTAGGATGTAATATTATTAAACAATGGAAAAGGAAGAAAATATAGTTGAAGAAAATGGATTTTATACCGCAGCTGCCGAATACTGGGAACATATTCCACCGACGGTGGATGGAATGCTGGGTGGCTTTGGATTTATTTCTCAAATTGATATAAAGGGTTCCACAAGATTTTTGAAATCTTTATTCGAAGTATGTATCATAACGACTACCGTTCACACGTTTGTTGATCATTTCTTTCAAAGACTTTGTTAATGAAACTTTGACTTTATTTCAGTTAAAAACTCCACCATCTAGAACATACGCGCTAGATTGCGGCGCGGGCATAGGAAGGATAACGAAAAATCTATTATTAAATCACTTCAAACATGTTGATTTAGTGGAACAAAATTCAAAATTTGTAGAAGTTGCAAAAACGTGTTTAAAAAATTATTCTACAAGAATTGGCAACTATTATTCTATTGGTAATATTCCATTGGTTTATTAACCATACAAAAAATATTCAATTAATTGAGTCACATTTCAAGGACTGCAAGATTTTTGCTTTACCACTAAGAAGTATGATGTCGTATGGTGTCAGTGGGTTTTGGGCCATTTAAAGAAGGATCATTTAATAGAATTTCTAAAGAAGTGTTCGTAAGTAGATATTCAGTTGTTATAAATTACAAAGGACTATTATGTAGCATAACTTCTCTACAGGATGGGTCTAAAATCCGATGGTTTAATCGTGATCAAGGAAAATGTAACAACTTCTACAAGCTTAGAAATTGATACAAAGGATTCATCTGTGACAAGACCTCTGTCTGAATTTTACAGCATATTTGAGGAATCTGACTTAATGTGCATCAAAGAAGAACAACAACATAAATTTCCACGTGGATTATACCCAGTTTATATGTTTGCTTTGAAACCCATTAATAAATCTTGAATTTGTTAAAAATATTAAATAAATTATTTTACGATTTGTACGTCTTATAAATTGTAGTTTTCATTATTACAAATTTAAGCGTTGTTTAATTTTGTACAAAAACAGTTTGAAAAATTTCACGTATTTAAGAAAGTTCATTTATTTTGGACGTATTTTTTCGTACATAAACCGCTGATTTATATCTTGAGGCGATGCATTTATAAGACGTTTTTTCACCGCGTGAAAATGCATCAAAGCAAAATTATACAATTCATTTTCCATTTTCCAAACAACAGATTTCTGAATCTTCTCTATAGTTTCAGGCCGTGGATTAATTTTTTGTGTAGTCTGACGTAAATGTGACTTATTATCTGAAATTTAATTAATTGTTAGTACCCTGAGAATTTATATTGCTTTTTCTTTTCATTTCTTGTCTTACTATGTAAAAACGAATTATAGGCTCCTTTAAAAAATCGCGGAAGCACAATTTGCAAAGTTTCTACAAATTCTGTTAATTCTTCTGTTACTCCTACTAGTAGATAATGTTTCTGTAAATTTCTTTTTGCTTCTTCTAATGCCCAATTATTTCCAATTTCCCTGTTAAACAATAATTATTCATTATAAACGAACTGAAACTATGCCTTAATTATTATATTCATTTTCTTTTCATTTTACCAGCATGCAGGGTCATGACCACACAAAAATGGTATCTGTAACCACATGTTATCGGGATCACAATCTGGTTGACCCGCTTCGATACATTCGTCGAAAGTCTAGAAAATTATAACATTAAGTATTATCCATATATTGAATGTAAATTATAACTACTGGATACAGACCTTAGTATCCCCATGCTTTTTTCTAATTAAGTGTGGTCTAAAATTATCTCCATACCTCAAAAAGTAGTAATAAGAAACAAATCTATCTAAAGGTTTACGTAAAAGATTTATATACAAAGGTGTTTGTTGGACACCAAATCTAAAATGATAAATATAATTGAAAGCAATGTAAAAATTCATTATCAAGTAATAATCAATTTATTTTACTTACTTCTCAAAGTTTAGGAATGCGATATGACCATGATAAAATGCTGGTTTCTTTGCACTCCATCCAGTTACATTATTTACAAATTGAATCTACAATTTTTTTTTTTTGACCCAAATTACAAGATAAATAATTGAATAAGAGAAAGTGATAGAAGATATAATATTACCTGATTAGCAAGTGTAAGAGTATGCATATTATTGGTAACATTAATATGTAACACATGATATTTGTTCTGTTTGCACAGATCGTAGACCAAACCTACAAAGCTGGTTGATGCTGTTTTTGGTACCCTGTTGTAGATAATAATGAGATCATCAAATGTTGATTTGTAAGAAATCTCATTAACTTCAAGCCCACTTTGAATATTGTTTTGTTCTTGTGTGATGGCATTGTCTGCAAGTAGGATAGGATACCTATGTTATTCCATCACCTTCAACAGAACAAAATATTAAAAGGATGAAGCTTTTAATAACAGAAATTGATAAAATTAATTGTCTATTATAACGCATACGCAATAATTTGTAGTGATCCTCCAGGAAGTTTAGTTTCATTTTTAAGTAAATGATAGTGACTATGAATATCACCACCAAAATCCATTGTAGCAGGAAATTTCTGTGTACCATTATCTATATTATTAGGTCTTTTTATCACATATGATACAAAAATACTTTTCAGAAGTTTTAATATCACCACCGTTATTCTAAAGTCTTGATAACACGAGGTTGGTTTCAAATTGTAAATACTGACAAATTATATAAACATGGTCAGTCGTGCTCAAACATTTAAAAAGTGTTGTTCATACTACTAAATTAATCATAATTGATTTTTAACAATGCTTCTATATGAAAAGAAAAAAAATAAATTGTCAAATATGACACTGAAATTATACGTAATATGTATATGCAGATTACTTCTGTTACTTCCTTGAAGTTTGCATGAAACATACAATTCGATAACCTAAACAATCGATTAATCGATTATAAAATTTCAACTAAGTTCAAATTATTCAAAATTTAAATCTTCAGAGCAATCATTTATTGATTTTTAATTTTCATATCCAATCGGTATCTTATTATAAATTAAATTTCATTCTTTTCATAGAATGGGATACCAAAACTTTATGTATCAAAAAAGAATCTTTTATATTGTATATTTAACATCAGTAAACTTTGTTTTAATTTTTCATTTATTATTTGCCCCCATACATTTCAAATGTTTGGCACATTAATTTAAAGATATTTCTTTCTTTCTACATCCATTTAATAATAAATTCTTATAAAGTAATATTGTAAAAAAACCATATAACAATTGAATTAAAAAATATGATAAATCATTATAATATCGTATCATCAATGAACTACTAGATTACTTTGAAATTTTTAACATACATATTTGAACCTACATTCCTACAATGTCAATTCATAAACAAAGACACAATGAAGATTAATTAATTAACTTATAGAATTTGTTGCTCATAAGGAAATTTACTTATTACATCTTCAGATCATATATAACATACATTTAACACAATTAAATTACATAAAATAATTTTATTCTAATGAGTTTAACATCAAAAGTTGCTTCAGTACTTTTGTTTGACTAGTTTCTCTTATTTCACCTGCCAGAAACATTTCGTCTACAACGGTGTACACCTGTAAAAAAGTGTTTATTTTTAAGAGAAAATTAAATTACTATAATATATACATATATCAAAGTTAAATGTTACCTTATAAAAATTAAAGACAAGATCCAATTCACAGACATTATGGAAATATTCATTTAGTACTTCAACAAAATTATGTATTGCTTCTAAATAACACAGATTATTATCATTAACATCTACACAAATGCAGAAGTACAAACCAGCATATCTTCTATACACAATCTTGAAGTTACGAAACTGAAATGTAAAAACATTAAATATATTAAAATTCTTAAAATTAATTATTAAAATTATTACATTAACTTTACCTCAACAAAGTTAGTATGCTTAGCATCTCTTACAGTAACCACCGCATGAACTTCTTCTATCAATTTCTGTTTTTCATCATCATCAAAATTCATGTACCATTTTGCCAATCTCGTTTTTCCAGCTCTATTCTGAATGAGGATGAAGCGAATCTATACATTTAAACAATCATGATTAGAATTTTTTACTTTTCTTCCATTTAATTAATCAATAACTGTGTAAAAACACAATATAACCTTTGATGTGAGGAAAGGATGTAATTATAAATTTGAATATTATAATAATAAAGATAAATATATTTAATAGCATTTAATTAATTACTTGCCATGGTTAAACTGACTTATAATAAATCAATATTAGAATTTGTGCACTTGACAACTGATAATCAATGAGAATATATACAATTGAGTGACATTTGTTGCCGCCCCCAGGTTATCGAGATCGCAAAATATAAATCACTTCAAAACCTAGAAATTTACAAAGAATTAGTTTATATCAATACTATCCATAAAGAAATAATATACAGATTTTAAACGAAATAAAATCTATAAACGCTTTTAAAAAGATACATTTGCATTTTCCTTCTTATAAATTTGTAAACTCTTGCGATATCGGCTCGCCACAGCAAGATGGCTGATGATGATGGAATTGAATTTAAAATAGATGAGAAGATTTATGTTGACGAATATTCATCCATGGGTAGGAAACCAGAAAATGGAACCATATCTGAAAATATATTAAATTTTTTGTATCCTTAATAAAAAAAATTAGACATTTTCCTTTACTCAGTTTCTATTTCTTTTTCTGACCTTACATTTCTTTTATACTTTTATATATTTATATATTATTTCTTAACATTTATCAGTTATTCTTATGCATATAATTGTCGAAAGTATTTCAATCTCTGTAGAATTGATAGAAATATTATTGCCTTTGCTTCTGGCAACCTGATTCAGTTTTTTAACATAACAGAAAATAAGATTTGGTTTAAAAAGGCCTCTATAGGTAACAGTATTGGTCATATATCAGTGAGTATTAATATCAAGATATTTCTTTAATTAGTATATCTTGTATAATTATATAAGGATTTCAACAAAGTATTTATACTTTCTTTATAGAAAAATCCTGTTTCTGAACATATTGCTGTTGGAGTGAATGGGAAATATCCTTTAATCGCTATTTATAATTGGCCCTCTATGAAAATTATAACTGTATTAGAAGGAGGAACAACTAAATGTTATTCATATTTAACATACAGGTATATTATTTTCTAACTAATTCATAAGATGAAGTTATTTATGAAAATTAATTTTAATTATAGTCCAGATGGATTATTATTAGCATCCCAAGGTGGTGAACCTGACTATTATGTTTCCATTTGGAATTGGAAAGAGTCAAGGATCATTTTACAATGTAAATCATATGTCCAAGATGTATATAACATAACATTTTCTAAGTATACACCAGGCCAGTTAACATCCAGTGGAGTAGGACATATTAAATTTTGGAAAATATGCAGGACTTTCACTGGATTAAAACTTAAAGGTAATGTGGGTAAATTTGGAAATACAGAGATGTCTGATATTATAGCAATTCATCCCATGCCAAATGAAACGGTAAGAAATCATGAAATCAATATTTTAGAAGAATGAAGTTTTGTGTACTATGTGTATATTTTAGGTGATATCAGGATGCGAATGGGGCAATATCCTTTTGTGGGATGAAAGTTTAATTAAACTTGAAGCATGTAGAAAGAATAAAGAAACAGCACATATTAACTATATCACTCAATTTGAATACATTAATGGAGAACTTATTTCAGTTGGTAATAATATATATAATTTGTGTTTAATAATGACTACAAGATTGAGAATTAAATTTCAAATTTTTGGAATTATAGGATCAGATGGATTGATAAGATTTTGGTTTTACGAAACGATAGATCATGCTAATCTTTCCGACGAAGAAAAGTTCCTTGAAATTCAGCCAATTTATGAGTTTGAAATTGCAGATAGAGAAGAGAATGCAATGCTTATGTGTATTCAAAAGCAAGAGCCAGATGATCCAGAAAAAACAGACTGGTATGCTCAGGTAAATATATATTATGAAAATATAATATCGATATTTAAAGAAATATTCGGTAGGATGGAAATGGAGGACTATGGTTACTTGATCTATGCACTAATAAAAAAGAGCACATACAAAGAAAAATTTTCACCTGTCATGCTGGTCCCATTGTTGATATGGATGTAGCAGATTGGGGACCTTTCTTAGCTACACTCGACAAAAACGGCAATTTACATATTTATAATTATATTGAAAAAAAATTGAATATTACTCATAAGTTTAATGATATTGGGAGTCAAGTAATTTGGTTTCCATGTAAGGTAGATATCTCAATTTATTATTGGGAGAATTAAAACATATATTACCTCATAAGAATGTTTAGATTGAAGAAACGGGTTTAACACTTGTATGTGCTTTTGAAAGTGGTGTTATTAGAATGATTACAATATCTATTCAAGCAAGCTATACTGAAGATAATATAAAAGGAGATTATACAAGGCTAATTGAAGTTTTGAAACCACATTCAATGTCAATTACTGTAATGTGTTTAAATACATCTTGTAGCTTATTGGTAACAGGTGGTAGCGATGCAACTATCTTCGCATTTAGTATTCAATCCACGAAAATTTATCCCAAAATTTTACCTATCGGTTACGTGAAAGTACCATCGCCTGTTACTTGTATGACATGGAATCCACAAGAAGTAAGTACATGTGTTATAATTTCTTGTCAAGGGTGCACAAGAGAAAAAGTGTTGAAATTTTTATTTAAACAGGAAGCAACTATACTAATTGGATGCTTGAGGGGACACTGTGTAGAAATTCATTTACCTACAATACCTCAGTTATATACAACTACATCTTATGAACTCGTCAAGTGTAGTTCTGCAACATTTAAGTTTGAATCGATAAAATCTTCGATACAAAGAGACATTGTTAAAAAAGAATATGAAAAAAGAAGAGAGGAAAAAGTGGAAGAAAGAAGAAAGGAAATGGAACAGCTAATGGCAGAAAATCCGCACATTGTAATTGATGAAGAAGCATTTCTCAGTAATAATTTATTTGTAATCCTATTTCAGGAGTTGACATCTTAAATAAGTTAACATAATTTTTTTTTTTAGTGGAAATCGAAGAAGAAGAGATGATTCTCCCAGAAATTTATATTCCAGAAGTTCCCAATCAAATTTTAGTAGCAGAATATGGTGTTAATGGAAACATATGGCTATTTATGGCTGGTTTTGATGCAGGATATATTTATGAATATTTACGACCACTATCTGGAAAAATGAAACATCATACGAAACCAATTACAATCAGAATAATTGAAAATGCGATAGATACAGAAATTTATAATTTTCTTTTTTAGTATGAAAATGTGAACATATTTAGAAAAGATGAAAAATATATGAAAATAAGAAAAATCCTTTTTTTTCAGTAAAAACAGGGAATATTTATTTTTGGGAACAGAACATGGAGAACTTTACATTAGTAAAGTAAATGAAGAAGACCCATTAGATTTATCAGATTATTGGATTTTGCCTATACATGATTATTATAATGGGCGTATGTCTAAAATTTTATTCAGTTATGATAAAACAATGTTGTTAACGTGTGGTTATGATGGAAATATATTTTCTTTTAACATTAATGATGATACACCAGATGAAAGTATCATAATACCAAAACCAACACCTTCTTTTCCACTAGTGAGATTTCAGTTATTATCTTTAAATTAAGCAAAATGAATTGAATAATTTTTATTTGTATAAATACAGCCCAAGAATATTGAAGACATTGAAGATCCTGAACATCCAAGTTTGGAGCAAGTAATTACACAAAGAGAGCACAATCGAATTATGTCAATTGCAGAAAAAAAGAAGAAAGCAATTCTTCAAATTATACGTGATTTAACAGAAGAATTTGTTATAATTACTACTAGGTATAATATATATTAGTATCTTTTTGCAAGTAATGATAATTGGTTTTAATATTCCTTTTTTTTTTTAAACTAGGAATAAAAATCTTCTGCCATCACAGCAAATATTACAGTTTGAATTAGATCACAGAATAACGGCAGACTTGAAACAACAACTGAAAGCCCATATAACTTTGACCCGAAAAAAGTTGGAATATCAAATGGAAAAAAGTAAATTAGAATTACGAAAACTTATGAATCATTTTGTTACGTCTATTACCTGTTTGCCTTTTGCGGTTCGTAGTATACTGTAAGTTATTTTCTTCTTAAATGTATTAAATTACATTCAATTGAATATATTACAAATGTGTTTAATAAAATTTGAAAACAGACACGGAGATAAAGAAGTGTACTCTTTAAGAGAATTAAAGTTGAATATTATTAATATTGCGAAATGCATTGAAAAAATGAAGCATAGCGAAATGGAACGAAAAACAGACACGTATTTTTATTTTGCTCTTATATACATTTTCTATTAAATTTTAGAATTAAAAATTATGTTTCAAGAAACAGTAATTGTTGGATAATGATATATTACTGGTATATCAGTATATCTTGTTTAATTATAGAGTAACAGGAGAAGTGGTAGAAATGGAAAAATATGAATCATATGAAGAGGAACTACAACAAATAGATGTTCTTTTAGGTGAAGATTATAGCGATTTGTCGACTGGGCTAGGATTGCAAATTAAGCAAATGTTAATGAAATATAAAGACCAAAAATTAAAATTGTTTCAAAGACAACAAGAAGTAAGCTGATCGCGTCTAATACTGTACACCACGTAAAACTATATCGTTTGCAGTGGCAAAAGTTGAATGCGAAAAAACCAAATTTAGAAAAGAGTCGTCTGGAAGATGCAGCTTTCTTAGATAAGGCCAAAGAAACTATTGGCGAATATAATTTGAAGATCAATACAGGTTTCAATTTAATGAAGAAAAAGGAAACAGCAGTTTCAAAATATAAGCAACTTTTAGACTGTAGAAGTAAGGTATGTCTAGTAGAGAATTTATTATTACAGTATTATTAAAAGTAATTATTTTTTGTAGCTTTATTACCTACGAGAAGATTTTAATGAAAAATTAAGGTCGATTAGGTCAGAGAAACAAAAGTTGCTGAAAGAAGTTAATGATTTGACAGAGATTCTTAAAAGAATTCACATGGAACTTCCATGGAAGAACATAAAACCTTTACCAGATTTACCAAAACTAAATGTTGATACTGAGTTTCCTGAACACCATCTTGAGGTAATTTTAACTTCTTACAAATAAAGAATCACAAATTATTTCTTAAAGTAGTATTATTACAGATCGAAAAATACATGTCAATGTCAGAAAAAATGGAACAAGTAAAACAACGAAAACAATCAACTGTAAATCAATTAGGGGATCCTTTTGATTTAGAATATGAAGCATTATATGGTGGTAATAAAAGGGTCTTTGGCGATGAAGCGGAAAGTCTCGCCACTCTAGTTTCCTCTTCAAAGATGAAAATGACCCACAGTGATTTACTTCAAAGTCTTACTACAAATGATGCCTTTCAAACTACGTGGGAACGAGAAATGAAACGTTCACGAATGTGGCGAAAGCTATATGAACAGGATTGTATTCTACATTCAATTGATGTTAGCTATAAAAAATTAGAGAGTGAATTAGAAGAATTAGAGGAATATAGACTTTATGTTACGTATCAAAGCATATACATGAATCTATATTTACTAACTCTTTATGAAGAATTTATCATTTTAAGAGAATGTGAAGCGACTGAACGTACTCTTGAAAAGAAAGTTGATGAAAAATTGAACGAGCGTTCCACAGTGATGTTAAAAGTTATTATTATTATAAAAATAAATACAACAATTGATTGATATTGTTATTATATGATTTAATTTTAACAGATACAAACTACAAATGTTAACATTTCAATGAAAGAAGACGAGATTCGAAAACTACACACAAGAAGTAAAGATATTGCTGCTGAATTTGCTAAAGCTATATTTGAGAACAAATTTCATGATTTTCTTCAAAAAATATTTAAAAAGAAATACACAGCTACAAGAGAACGAGATGGTATTAAATTCTACTATTTCTATTTTCAATTTTTCCTTAAAATAATTTGTGTTAATCAAATTCATTATAATTTCAGATTCTTTAGATTCTGAAACGCAATCGTCTGAAACCAGTTCTGAAGAATCGGACGATACGGTAGATTCTGAAACAGAACATATTCCACTTGATGAAAGTATATGTCCATCAGGGTGTGATAAAGACTTATACGAAATGGCATTTTTTATGAGGGAAAAACGATATGAGTGTGAATTTCAGATTAAAGAAAAACAAAGGGAAATAGAGTTACTACACAAAGAACTGGAAGCTGATACAAAACATTTAAAAGTTATTGACAATAGTTTGAAAAGTAATCAAGCAGAATTACAAGAGTTTGTGGTATTTGAAAACATCTTGTGCGATGGTACATAAAACGATGTTTTTACTTTCGAATTTAATTTTCTTTCTACTTTCAACAGTTAAAGAAACAAAGAAAATTAAATGAGATTGATGTAACAGTTGTATTAAAACTTCATCAATTGCAACATATGTCAGATTCTGAACACATGACAGAACTTCAAAATTGTGTACTTTTTAATAAGAAAGAATTATCAAAACTGTACAGCAGAATCGGAGAACTACAAGAAGAAACATATAATTTAGAAGAAAAGCGCAGGTACGAGAAAAACAGTACAAAATAATTTATAAAGATAAATCTATCTTATATCTCTATTACAGAAAAAATGAAACACATCTTAAAAGAATAAAATTAGATTTAAAGTACATGGAAAGTGAGAACAAAAAACTTAAAGAAGACATAAAGGAGAAAATGATACAAAAATTTGGTCAAGAAGTATCCCTCATCAATCTTTACGAAACTATTTTGCAAAGATTAATTTATGATACCAAAACGGATGTACGAAAAATTATGAAAAATTACAACAAAGACATAAAGAGTATATAAAAAAAAGCTTTTTATTCTACAACATTATTTTAATATATCTTTTTCTAAATTACATTTTTTCTGTGATTCTTTAGGTATTAAAGGGAATTATGATGAAGCATTAATTGTTTTGGAAAACGTAATTCGAGATAATACTGAAAAGTTAAGTTTACTGACAATACTAGAAAAAGAAAAGAATAAACTCAGAAAAGATTTAGAACGTGTTTTAATTCCAAAAGTAAGAAATTTATTATATGTAGAAGTATGTTAATTAAGTAGTATTTAAAGTAGGTATAGTGCACTTTCTTTTATTACAGGAAAATATGGTACAAACTGAACTAGAATATAAAGCTGATATAAATATGCTTGAAAATATTCTTGATCATCAAATGCAACAGAAAAAGTTGCTACAGTATGACATAGAAAATCTTAAAACTGGAGGAAGAAAATTGCCTCCAATTTGTATGAAAAATGATGTGTTATAATAAAAATTGATGTTTAACTTAACAGTCAATTAAAAAATTACATTCTTTTTCTAATAAATCTGATAGCTATCAAAATTTGAATAAGAGTGTTCAATTTAATTACTACCTTATCGACAGCACTCAAAGCCAATGAACGAAATCAAGTCGCAGAACAGATATGGGTTCTGTTTGAATGAATAATAATAAATAATGCAATAAATAGACAATAAATAATTTTGTCTATGACTGACTGATTTTAAATGTTATGTAATATATATTATAAAATTCATGAATTTTAATTGTATTCACAATATAATTAGAATAAAAGAGCAAAACGTTTATCTTACTTTTTCGAAGTCTATGGCGATTTTTAAAGCAAAGTTGTAAACAAACAAGGGGTACATAATGAAAGAGAAATAGAAACGAGAATTAAGTATAGCAAGGATTTATATGTATTTTCATTTAAAAAGTGCGTTTGTTAATATTTTCTGTATTTGGAGAGATAAAATTGTGAAGCTTCAAACGTAACCTGTAAATATTATTAGTGAAATGTCTTTTAAAATGTGGGCATTTCTGAAGTTATGAAACTTTGTTACGAGGTTACAGTTTATTAAGAATTCCTTAATTAATTGTAAATAAATAAATTATTGAATCTTAATTTATTTGTTTTGTAAAACAATAAAAAGCAATAATGGATCAGATGTTACCAAGTCCTGGGTTTAGTATACCCAGTATAGGAACTCCTTTACATCAACCTGAAGAAGATCAACAAATTTTACCTAATGCATTGCAACAACAGCAACAACAACAACAATCACAGCAACAGCAGCAACAACAGCCTCAACAACAGCAATATCAGTTACAGCAACTGCATGCCATGAGTCCAAATATGCTTATGCTTGGAACACCGCAAAAAACTATGCATGCATATGCATCAACACCTACATTTGCAACACCACAAAGTCTTATGCAGCCACAAACACCGGTAAGATTACCTGAAATGAAATGAAATGAAATGAAATTATTATAATTGACACTATGTAAAAAGAAACTGTTTTGTTTGTAGCAAAATATGATGTCCCCATTAGTACAAAATACAAATCACATAGCACCGCCATCAATAGGACCATCTACTCCTGGTCCAATGACTCCTATGACACCTGCCTCAGCGGATCCTGGGATATTACCACAACTTCAGTAAGTGAAAAACAATTTAATTTAGAAACAAAATATGATTAGTACCTTTCCTTGATATTGCAGGAATATTGTCTCCACAGTTAATTTAAATTGTAAGTTAGATTTAAAAAAGATTGCCCTTCATGCAAGAAATGCAGAGTATAATCCAAAGAGATTTGCTGCAGTCATTATGAGGATAAGAGAACCAAGAACTACAGCTTTAATATTCAGTAGTGGAAAAATGGTTTGCACAGGAGCAAAAAGTGAAGAGGATTCGCGATTGGCTGCAAGAAAGTATGCCAGAATTATTCAGAAGCTTGGTTTCCCTGTTAGTAAATATTTTGATGTTTATCAATCATTTGTAATTGATTATTACCAATTTAATTTTGTTTCAAAGGCAAAGTTTCTGGACTTCAAAATACAAAATATGGTAGGAAGTTGTGATGTGAAATTTCCAATTAGACTGGAGGGTTTGGTACTCACTCATGGACAGTTCTCCTCATACGAACCGGAACTATTTCCTGGATTAATATATCGAATGGTTAAACCTAGAATTGTTCTGTTGATATTCGTGTCAGGGAAAGTAGTTTTAACAGGTGAATATTACATGTTAATTGCATATTTATGTACGTGTTTTATAATGTACTATTATCTGAACAGGAGCAAAAGTTCGACAAGAGATCTATGAGGCATTTGATAATATTTATCCAATTCTAAAAAGTTTCAAGAAGCAGTGACCTTATTTTTTATGCATTGAAGTTCTGCTTCACATGGACAAAATCTAGGTAAGATATTTTGCTTTTTATTAAAAATTAAAAACAATTTATTTGAATTGCTATGAATAATTTTGAACAAATTTAAATATGCAATGAAAAATGTAACTGAAGATGACCTGAATTTTTGTATTACAATTATTTTTAAGAAATAATGGATTTGTTACTTTAGATAAAATTTCAAATAACTTTTAAAAATATAATTTTACCATTTTCTCTTGTAGGGCAAGATGAAAGAATGCCAACCACTTTGAAAAAAATGTGTCTTCTCGATAATGTGGTGCCTTGATCGAGGGATAGTCGTCACTTTAGAATTTCATTTTAATTTATACGTATTTATATAACATAAGCATTATTAATTTCAAACATTTTTATTATCGCATTAAGCGCGATAACGTTCCTGTGACTGGATAGAAATAGAACAATGAATACTTTGTTACCTACAAGTTACAAGCAATAGAAAAAATGGAGGAGTTTTTTAAAATAGAAACTAACTGATAATATTACATATGTACTACCATTTGCATTCTTGAAACATTAGTAATTTTGTAAATTACATTTTTATATATTGTAAAATGAAATAAACATGATAGAAAGAATGAGAACCATATAAATATAAAAATTATACAAATTTTGTATTATAAAAATATATATATTTAATTGCAATAAGAAAGTGTTTTTTCATAAAATATTCTATTGTTTTTATTTGTTTAATGATGCAGCTTCATAACAGTCTTTACTAAACATTGCTGAAGTACAGGACAGATATCTTCGTTAGCCGCCGTTAAAATATCTGTTGCACGTATAATAGAATCTGTATCAACGTTTCCGATTAGAAATACTTCGGAAATTTGATCATGCTGTGGAAGGCTGGCTAGTGTAATTAGCCCCTGATTGAAATTATCTTTCTTTGTTTCTGTTGGTGTATTGCACATTGTCTCTTCTGTATCCGTAGGATCCATTAAAAAGGAATCACCATATATACCCTGGATTTTTAATTATATTAATAGTTGAGATAAGACAATTTTTTAATGACATCACTTACAATGGTGGAAGCTGTGACTAAACCAAACATAGGAACACCTGCATTAGCCAGAGCGGTACTAGCAGCCATGATTGCAGCAGCTAAAGAAGATCCAGCATTATCCAAGACCATTGCATATACATCTACTTGAAAATTAGGAAATTCTTGCTGGAAGGATAACAATATAATTGTATATTTTAATAGTAGAAAATGTATAAAATTTAATATTATGTAAATATACGATATTTACTAAACAAACAGCTGGTTCTAATGCCCTTTGTAAAATTAAGCTATACTGTTTTTCCTCTGCATTCTGTTGATGAATTTTTCGTTTCTGACAAGAGAAAGGTGCAAACTTAAATTCGCAATAAATTTCTCCCTGAACACCGTAACCATATTTATTTGGAACTTCTCTAGGATCAAATACTGAACAAACTACTTTTGTTTCTCCCATTTCTATGTATGCAGAACCTTTTGCTTGACTGACTACACCAGTTTTTAAAACTACAAAAATAAGGTATAAACAATTACTTTTGTTAATGATGTAAAAAGTTTACATACACCATGAACTTACATATTTTCCTCATTTCATTATTACCACGTTCATCGCTTCTCTTACTGAGATCATATTTTATTTCCTTATCTTTACTGTTTAAATTAGCGTAAATATGATACGGTACAGTTACTTCTGGGCCATTAATACGTTTTTGATCGACAGGCATTTTAAATAATAAAATTATTATCCTTTTAACACATTAACCAAAATATTCCTTATAACGATGCAGGTTAAGATAAACTAATATTGTTTCGTTATACAAACAAATGAACTTTAACTATTAAGTAACAATGAGTTTTCTCCTAAAATGAAACGAGTTAATAATAAACAAAAATGACTTATAATTGACAACATAAATACACGTGATAAAATAATGTCGATTTTAATCAAATATTCTATACCGCAGTTCACCAGAGTCCATAACTGCGACGCACAGGTTGGAAGATGGTGGGGGGACGCAGCGAGCTCTCTGCTAATCGCTTTCCACTTTGTTTGGGAGTATCGCCAATCAGGGCGAAGATGCGTACTGGAGAAGCGCGAAGAACGAAAACTGGTCTTTTCGCAGTTATGGACTCTGGTGAACTGCGGTATATATATCATAGTAGCGTTTGCGCATTAACGACAGTGACTACAGACTATAGTAACATAAGTGTATACTTGCGACTGTATAGATAACATATGTGATAACAAATAAAGTTATTATTTTGGTGACCACTTTTAATTAATAACTTGATGTATATATCAATACAGTGATTAAAGTTGAATGTAAGTATATTCTATTTAATTATTCAGGATCAACAGACTAATCAAAACCATTTATGTTATTGTTGTTTAGAACCCAAATAATATTATTTTTTAGGAATATCCATTGAGAAAAGTAGATATTGAAAGTTTAAAAATGGTCACACTACAGGATATTAGTGTACAACTTATGAAACCAGCAAAAGATCTTGCTGATTGGAAATTTCCATTGTCTCAGGTATACAATAATATTATATTGATTATAGTGTAATATTAAAATGGTATTATTATTTTTTCATTTAGATCTTAGAAGAATATTATACATTATTAGAACCATGTAACATTAATTTTGGAGAAGCAGCACTTGTTTTGCAGAATTCAACAAATGTATATGTACGCAGAATTGAACGTCTATTTAATGAAACAGAAGTTTTGAGACAAACATTTTTTGGCTATGAGTAACTATTAATTTTAAATGTAGCATAAACATAAATATATTATGGTTAATAGTTGATTCATCCTTTTATTAGGGAAGAAGAAACAAAGATGACTATGTCCCGGGCGAAGAAAGGCTTAAAAAAGGGTTGCCTTAATTTTGATAATTTTGTAATTATTGATTTGGAGGAAGGTATTGGAAGAAACATTGATAAGAAAAATCAGTTTCAAGGACAGACAAAGATAAAGTTATTAAGTCACAGATTTACTCAATTAGAAAACAACACAATGCAATTATGTATTCCTATTCAGGTATATGATGTCTTAGGAGAAGTTATTGGAAAGAAATATGACTTTCGGTAAGTAATTGTTGATTTGGGCTTGATTCTTGTATCAGAACTTTTCTTTATTTTTAAGGTGCAATCAAGCTGTAAGTACAACTGGAATGTTGGTAGACGAATTGACGTTACACGACTTTACTCATATAGTTAGTTCTCATGTTCAAAAAGGAAGGAATTCTTTATCGTCGTATTCTGAACCAAAAACTCCTGGTACTGGAACATCGGGATATCATTCGGCCGCTTCGCCGAATCACTCCCTCGCATCTATTCATGAAGACTGTGAAAATGAACACGATTTTACCCTGCAAACAGAAAGCATTCCCTCGCTAAATGAATCAGAAAATATTTTAAATAATGATAATGAAGCTGCCAACACTAGTATCTCAGCTACAGTTATTTCAAATACAGAAAAGAATTTATCCAAAGAGCAAGATATTCAATCAAACGAAGTGCAAAATTCTAATGATAAACATTGCACAGTTATGAATTCTAATGATACAAATGAAAGTAGAGAAAAATATCAAAGTGATAGTCCAGAACGAGTTGAAAATAATGAAACTAGTGATGTAATAATTAATAACAAACAACGAGGTCGTCCTCGTAAAGATCAAGTTCAACTAAATAATGCACAAGGAAAAGAAGAATTACTTAACACGCGGAAAAGAGGGTATAATATCTTGAAAGATATTAATATTATTAAATTCATGATATTAAATCAATGCATACTTTGATATTTTTATTAGGAAACAAGCAACGAAAAAGTCAATACATTCTGTAGATGATATAAATGAATTAGATTGGAGACCAATGCCACTCGTTAAAGGAATGGAAAAAGATTTTTCTCACGATACATCTGTATTGAAACTTCCAGAACATATTTCTCTTCTGAAAACAAACGCTGACTCCGTATGTGCAGACAGCTAATTTTCATTCTTTTGTAATATATTGTACTACGTGCGTTTTATATAATTTATATTATATTTTTAGAAAAAACGTAAGCTTCCATCAAAAATACCCAAATCTGAGTGCCTAGCAAAGCTCGTTTTACGAGAAACAGAATTACGGGTACAAAAGGATATCATTACCCAAACAAAACCAAAGTTTAAACGTCTACAAAAACGTAAGATAGATCGAAATGATATTTTAAAACAACATTATAATGCTTTAAAATAAACTTATATTTTTTTTTTTTTTTTGCTAGAGGAATTAGAAGATTTTATGAGAAATTTTGATCAATGCTTTAATGGTACAGAAAAAGAAAATAATAACACTCAACGTACTGCCGTGACAAATTTTACCCTCAGTTGTAATTCTCAAAATGAGAATGATTTTATAGAGAATAATGATGAAGAAATAATGAGCAGAAGTTCTTCACCTAGCAATACAAAATCACAATTAGCGACTCATCAAGAACCGCTTAAAATGATGGAAAAATCCCCCGATTTACATGACAGCTGGTGTGAATCCTTAGGTTCTGAAATTAATTTATCCTATTCCTTGCCAGATTATCAAAATTTAATTGAGGATAAAATGAAAGAGATTTGTGAAGAAACAGATATTTCATCAGAGTTAGATCAAAATGTAGCAAAATGGCATGCTTCTCTGCAACCAAAATTATTGGAAGCTGAAATCAGACCTACGTTTCGAATTCATGACTATGCTTCTCGTATAATAAGCACATTGCAAACAGTAGAACAGAATAAGATTAATTTTGATAACATCGTTGAAGATAAACCCACTTACGAAGTAGCCAGATATTTTTTAGCTTCGTTGCAATTGGTATTTTTCATTTTTATTATCATATTTTCAAATTTAATGAAAATTTTAATAATGTTTTTGCTTTTATAGGCCAATTCCTATAATGTAGAAATAAAAAGGGAGAGTAATGGTAAAAGTATTGAGATTGAATTATTGAATGATAAAGAACGCTGTGAGAAAAATTGAAAAAATGGTAAAGAAAGTTGTCGGATTTGTTAATACATTATATTTGAAGAAATATAAATTTATTGTTATTTTTTATGTTTCATATGAAACTAATTATTATTTTTTGTAAATATACCTTTATACTGAAATGCATTAAATTTTGAATAAAATAATGTTTGTAGATACTTTATACATATTTTGAGCTATATTTGATTTAATAGTATCTACTGATTTTTGAAAGCTCAGGAAAGGACTGGAGTGAATAACCGTTCTTGTGCTACCAAACGATTAGCTGTGTGTGCCTGCTTCCCTCTGAGAATGCTGACCTGGGACAACATGATATGCTGTTTTTGGAGTTGTACGCTTATTTTGGGACACTCTGTATATTTAGTCCAGCCGAAATTTATGCACGCATGCGTAATCATTTGTCAAGTAACGTTGATTGCCGGCTGAAGTGACAGATTTTTTAGACGCGTCAGTTTACATTGGGTAGATTAGAAGATGAATTTTCAGTTTTTCTTTTGTTCTCTCATTACATACGTTATACTGACTAACAAGTAATTTGTTGGTGAACAATTTTCATGTATTTGAAAGATATTTAAAGAATTACTTGAGTTAATTAATCATGCAATTTTTAAGAACTTAAATAGAATGTTATTTATGTATAAATGAATTAGTTTTTCTCTTTGACATGTTAGCTTATTAATGTAGAACACCTGAATAGATAGAAAGTACACGGTACAGAAGCTTAATACTTCATCAAATTACTTAATAGTAACCAATCGGTCAATTTGAATCTGTTTGCTCTCCCCCTCCTTTTAATTTATTTGATGTATTAGATATATTGGTCTCTTCAGAAACACAGTTCTTCTTTGGTGAGTTAGTAATATCTTTTTTTTGTAAGAAGAATAAATATGTCATTTTCAGGGACTCAAAGTGAACCATAATTATGGAAAAGAAAAATATGAAATCAACACCCTGGATATTGCTACCTTGGAGTATTTTTCTTCTTATAATAATTCAATTTCTAATTCAACTGTTGATAAATATCTATCTTTATACTTACGTGGCTCGTGTGGAATCAGATGTTTTTAATATGCGAAATCAAGATCTTCTGGAAATTCAGAAACTGGAACGCAGAAAACGAAGTAGTGCATTGCCTGTAACAGAAGATAACAAAGTTTCAGACACATCCAGAGTATGTATCATTGATATACATTATACAAACAATGGTTCCTTATAGTTACTCTTTAATTTTATATTATAGATTTGGCAAGAAAAGGATACACTGAAAGAATCTAAAAAAGTAACTTCATCTCCTACAGTAAAGTCAGGTTTGACATCTTCTCCAATCACTCCTATGGGACACGATTGGGTATGGTTGAATGCAGATACTCGTGTACAGGTTGATTAATTTTTTAAAAATAATTATAGAACACAGTAGGATACTAAGTTTCAATATTGTAAGGGTAATTAAGTATTTTGTATTTTAGGTTGATGCGATCGAAAATTTTTGCCGCTCTTCGATGAAGTATTGTCCTCCAGGTTTACCAGGAGCTCCGGGAAGTCCAGGAGCTCCTGGAGAACCAGGACTTCCGGGATTACAGGGAATGACCGGTCCGAAAGGACCACCCGGTTTAACTGGTCCTCCTGGACCTCGTGGGCCAAAAGGTGATATAGGACCGTCCGGTTTCGATGGAAGAGACGGTGTACCGGGTGAACCTGGTCTCGACGGAATACCCGGACGTAGTGGTTTAGATGGATCACCTGGAATAAATGGTAAACCAGGGATAAATGGATCTCCTGGTCGGCCTGGACGAAATGGCACAGACGGTATGCTCTTAACGCTTAATTATTCTTTACCTTGAATATTTTTACTGCTTTTAGAAATATAACAATGTATTATCCTTTTTTTAGGAAGGCCTGGTCAAATGGGACCACAAGGACCACCTGGACCGCGCGGTAACTTAACAATTATTTCAAATTCCCTCATACTAATTGCACATGGATGAAAAAGAGATACGTTGTTGATGTAAACAACTTTAGGAGAAGTGGGTCCTCCTGGTAGACCAGGCTTACCAGGACAAGATGGCAGACCAGGGATAACAGCCTGGAAGGTGAACATGAATGATTACAATGTAAACGATTTACTAATTCCACCTTCCATTTTAGGTAAGAATTTTTTAAACGATAAATCCTTCGATTATATTTTCTTAAACAACATCTTTCTTTTAAATGAAATTCTACAGATGACCGTATGTTACCTACGACAGTAAATTCTACCGAATTAATATCCGTTTATGAGGGAACCAACTTAAGATTGAGATGCGCAGCGAGTGGAAAACCTCAGCCAGTTGTTCAATGGTTCAGAAGCGACGGATCCGTTATTCCTATAGGATCTTGGCATGGTAATATAAGACACGATAATTATAATATTAATTGTGATAATTTATAGTTATTTTATCACAGTGACTTCTATAATTGGACATACGTTTAACATCAGCGTAGTGAATAGAGAACACATGGGAGAATATACTTGCGTTGCTGACAACGGAGTTCCTCCTCGAGCACTGAAAAAATTCAGACTCCAAGTTAAATGTAGGTACATTATCTTATATTTCCGTTTTTAATTGAAGAATAAACAAAGGATTATATTTTAGTCCCACCCTTCATTCGAATACGCAATCAGATGGTTCGCGTACGTAGCCAAAGCACTGGAGTTTTAGAATGTGAAGTTGAGGCATTTCCGGAACCAACTATTTCTTGGGAACGTGAAGACGGTGGACGTTTAAAAATGTCTGATAAATACAGAATGGAAGTTTATGATAAAAGAGATACATATAAGGTAATACATGACAGTATTGTGTATGATATTATTGTATATCTTTTCGTTATTTTCAGCTTAAAATGCGTTTGAAAATTACAAAAATAACGTTGGCGGACCATGGTACCTATTATTGTGTTGTTAAAAACGATATAGATATTACTAAAGGTTCATTTATAGTCGATGGTTAGACATTTATTGTACATTTTAAATCTATGCTCTTCGAATAATTATTAAAATTGACGTTGAAATATTTTAGACAACATAAAAAGTATGGAAAAATTTAAGATAGGAAAACAGCAACACGTAACGTACGGAAAGCCTGCACCGCAAAGTATTGATTTAGAAGAACTTTGTGCACCGCATGAAACTTGTACAGCTTGTCCCGTTTTAAGATGTACCTTTACAGACGTTGCTGAATATTTAAATATTCAGCCACTGAAAAATGTCACCTTCACTGGCCTTCCACCGCGATTAGCAGGTATTTTAGGATCATTCGTGTTTTCTTCTGTATACAGAATGAAGCGAACTGAAATAATGTTAATTACAGATGGTGTAATTGAAGCAGTAGGAAAACCTGTATTAAAAGGCACGATGGATGATCATTATGGAAGTTGGATGCATGATATGGCTAAGTCTGATGGATTTCCCGACAAACTCTGGGTTACTCGAAAGAATGAAAGTTCCTTTATTTTTGAATATAAATCAAAAGATCATTTTAAAAATGCCAGTTCATATCCTATTGCATTGCCCTATCCATTTCAGGTATAATACTATCATTTGAAAATTCTTTATAATAAGCTCATAATAAATTTCATTTGTTTACAGGGAAATGGTCATGTAGTGTATAATAGATCCTTCTTTTACAATCCCATTAATCGTTCTTCAATTTATCGCTTTAATCTTCATTCCATGTCCGATCATATATGCGATAAGGAATATTCACGATGCGAGTTGCATCTTCCTGGATTATTGGTGAATACAAGAAACTATCTGTACACGCCAAATCATAATTTTAATTACATTGATTTCAATGTTGACGAGAATGGTAATTTTATTATTTTGTCAAATAATTATTATCTTAGTGAAAATGAATAAATTAATGATATTATTTGTTTCCAATAATAGGATTATGGGTAATATATGGTTTACCATCAAACAATACAGTAGTTGTAAAACTGGACGCAAATAACATGAATATACAACATGCATGGAATATTAGTATTGATAATCATAAATTTGGAGAAATGTTTATTGCTGGAGGAGTACTTTATGCTGTTCATAGTGTAACTGAAGAAACGATGAAAATAGGGTACAAATTAAATGATAGAAGAAGAATAATAATAGTTGTTCAAATGATTAAATTATTTAATGTTATTATTTTTCCAGATTGTCATTCGATCTTTATAAGAATATTACAATTCCTGTTCATTTATCATTTACAAACCCTTACCATAAAACTACAGCAGTCAGCTATAACCACAAGACCAAAGTATAAAATATTTGTTTGATTTAGAAAAGAAAATCACGGTTTGGAATTCTGTAATTAAATTTATTTTTGGTTTTAGGAACTTTATACTTGGAATAAAGGAAATCAACTAGCCTACCCTATCAAATATCAAGGTTTTACAAATGTTACAGCAAAAGAAGAATTCCGGGGTATAGAAAGTGGAATATGAAATTTTATCTTTCCTTTAATGTATCGACAGAAAAAGAAAGAAAAATAAGGAAAAATTGCTTTATATTTTAAATCCTTTTCTCTGTACTCATTTTACCCAACTATATCAATCTTTTATTGTTAAAATAATTAGAAGTAGTTTAAGTACAATTTACTACAATCTTTTACAATGTAGAAAATTTGTATTGTTCTTTTCAATAAAGATCACAATATTATAGCATTTCATATTTTCCTTTTTTACATTAAATCATAAAAATTCATAGGAGTAAATTAAAACTACCCCATAATGTTTTTCATTAACTATTTCAATTAAACTACCTGTTAAAGAGAAATTGGCAAGGGGAGCGCATTGTACCATTAAATTTGATTAAATAAAGAATGAAGAAGAGAGTTAACCGTATGAGTGAGAGAGAAAGAAAATGCTTTGACAAGTCTTGCTCAGTCTGATTCTCGGAGTTTCTCCGTGACGAAAAGAGATATTCGTAATTTTAAGTTGAAATTATCTCGAGGAAGTATATCAATGATATGATTCAATGTTAAAGCAATAAAAAAGAAAAAGTAAACTTCATGACTAGAAAACTGAAAAGTGTATTAACTTAAAAAATGGTAAGTACAAATTGGTAACTTGACAGTTGAAAATATGGTGTTAATAACCTCCCAAGAACAAATTTTCTAATTAAAAGTTACTTTGTCATTACAATTAGAAAGATTTTAGGTGCTTGTAGTAATTTAATTAAAAATCTGTTCATCTTAACCTTTTTTTCCAGAAGCCTTTTCCTACAAATTACACGGATGTTGATAACCTCTTTCTCAAGTTTCAATTTTTTCACTTCTATGCTCATTTCTATTTGTTATTCTTTTGATTTATACACGCTTGAACATTGAAAATGAATGTAATAACAATATGGTAACAAAGATTCTGTAAGAAATTAGATATATTGTAATCTATTGTTGTTGAGCACTTCAGCATTTCCTACAACTTTTGAAAATAATCTTCAAACACTTTTGTTACTGTATTTGTCATAAATATATTTGATAATAAACAATGTATCACAGCATTGATTATTATAAGTTTGTACATTTAATGTAACATATGTAATGAAGCAATGGTTGAATTGCATATCAAATTATTATATAATTAAAAAGTTATTTCCTAGTTAAATGATTTTAGACAATTAATCTACTTTGTTGTTAGTTATTTTGGATTATAAAATAAAAATATTTATCATATAAAGTATTTTAATAATTTTGTTTTTAATTTGTAATGTTAAGTTTCTTAATATTTTATCTATTGCATCTTGTAGTAGTAAGTACAATAAGCAATAAGTATAAAGGTGCTTCAACTTTTAATGTAATACATTTATAAATTATTCATTGATGTAAGCTGCTACCATAGCTTGAAGATAATCCCTTAGACGACAATGTTTTTAGTATGATTGAAAGTAATATAGACATAGAAGACTGTACTGTGTTATACAAATTCTGAACAAGTTTAACTGTATTATAGAATAAACTGTATTTTTACAGTTAAGTCAGCACCCAATCTCAATTGTAATTGTTATAATTTTTGGAGTATTAATCCAGTTTTCCTTTTCAGGTTACGATATCATGGAGAAATTCCCATTAAAAGGTACAATATTGTCAAATAATACAATTCCACAGAATCATCAACATACTTTAACTACATATCAATCAGTTGATGCAAAGGTAAAGTTGAAGTAAATTTGTAAAACAGCTATTGTAACAACAGAAAAATTGGAAATATAATCTCTAATTAATTCCAGGTGGAAAATTCAGATGATGTGTACTTTGTAGAGGATGTACGATCACGAAATCGAAGTACTGAACGTGATAATAATTTGAGCAGCGACGACGACATGCTGGAAGTTAACAATATAGGTACTCATCAAGGAGAGAACGCTGTTCTTTCCGAACATTGTATTCGTATTGACGATGCTTCCTCTCACAGTGAGTGATAAATGATGTAATCATTTTGATATAATGCATAAAAGTAAAAAAGCAATTTGGTCTTTGTTGCTTCATTATTTCAGTTTCAGTTGATTCCGATGACATACCTGGTATTGGACAATACGATGACTTTCACACCATTGATTGGCAGAGGGATATTGCCAGAGATAGAATGCGTCATCGATATATCGTGAAGAAAAAGCATGATTCCATTTGGGGTTTAATTAAGGGGGCCCATGATGCATGGTCCGGATGGTTATGCGTTTTACTAGTCGGTCTCTGTACAGGAGTCGCAGCAGGTATCATTGATATAGGGGCTTCCTGGATGACTGATTTAAAATTTGGCATATGCCCGCAAGCATTTTGGTTAGATAAAGAACAATGTTGTTGGAGTTACAACGAAACAACTTTTGATGGTGGTAACTGTCCTCAGGTATATTAGTTTTATTTATTTATTTTTTCTCCTTTTATTATTTTAGAATCCTGAAGTTTATCATCAACTGTTTCCTCTTTCTAGTGGTGGACATGGCCAGAAGTATTTAATCAGTCAAAAGATGGTGCAGGACCTTACATGATCTCGTATATGTTTTACATAGCTTGGGCTCTTTTATTTGCTTCTCTCTCTGCATCGTTAGTAAGAATGTTCGCCCCGTATGCTTGTGGTTCTGGTATCCCTGAGGTAAGTATATTTAAAAGAAGGAGAGGAATATTTGAAAATTATCCTTGAGAATCTTTTTTTTGCAGATAAAAACTATTCTAAGCGGATTCATTATTCGCGGATATTTGGGAAAGTGGACGTTGATAATTAAATCAGTAGGTTTAATTCTATCAGTCTCGGCAGGATTAAATTTGGGCAAGGAAGGACCGATGGTTCATATAGCTTGTTGCATAGGAAATATATTTTCGTATCTTTTTCCAAAATACGGTAGAAACGAAGCGAAGAAAAGGGAGATTTTATCGGCAGCTGCTGCTGCGGGAGTTTCAGTTGCTTTTGGAGCTCCGATCGGTGGTGTTCTTTTTAGTCTCGAAGAGGTATATAATAGAAAAAGGAACGCTAAAGAGATATTAGAGTACACGATAATTAAAAATGTCTAATAATAATTTAACAGGTCAGCTACTATTTTCCTTTGAAAACATTGTGGCGATCATTTTTTTGCGCCTTGATAGCCGCATTCATTTTACGATCGATAAATCCATTTGGTAACGAACATTCGGTGCTCTTTTACGTCGAATACAATAAACCTTGGATATTCTTTGAATTAATACCCTTCGTGATGCTTGGAATAATTGGTGTAAGTGTTCCTGTTTATAAACATCCATGTGTAGTTAAAGAATTACTTAGTCGTCTTTTCCCTCTTGTATTTTGACAGGGAGTGATAGCTACCTTGTTCATAAAGGCGAATTTATTTTGGTGTCAATATCGTAAAACTTCAAAATTGGGTCAATATCCGGTCACCGAAGTTTTGATAGTGACTGTTGCAACTGCTGTTATTGGATATCCAAATCCATATACAAGAATGAGTACAAGTCAGCTGATTTATTTGTTATTTAGCCAATGCGGAGTATCAAACGCCGACATTTTATGGTTTGTAAAGACTTTTTCAAACTCTTAAACTACGATTTAAAATATGCTAACAGTTGCGTTTCTTTTTGTACAGTGATTATAATAGAAATTTCACTGCTGCACAATCAGCAATTGAAATTGCAGCAGCTGGTCCTGGAGTCTACAAAGCGATATGGCTTCTGGTATTGGCGTTGATTCTAAAACTTGTTATGACAATATTTACATTTGGTATGAAAGTACCTTGCGGATTATTTATTCCGTCGCTCTGTTTGGGTGCAATAATGGGCCGTATCGTTGGCATCGGAATGGAACAACTTGCGTACAATTATCCACATATTTGGATGTTCAGCGAGGAATGTTCGACCGGCGTTGATTGTATAACCCCGGGATTATACGCGATGGTCGGTGCTGCAGCTGTGCTCGGCGGTGTTACTAGAATGACTGTTTCTCTTGTTGTGATAATGTTTGAGTTAACCGGAGGTGTACGGTATATCGTGCCTTTAATGGCAGCCGCTATGGCAAGTAAATGGGTTGGTGATGCCCTTGGAAAGCAAGGTATTTACGATGCTCACATTGGTTTGAACGGGTATCCATTTCTTGACAGCAAAGACGAGTTTCAGCATACTACTCTTGCGGCCGACGTGATGCAACCCAAGTATGTAATTCTATTATTGTTGGATTTCGTGAAAAAATAGGGACTATAGGCGTCAACCTTGTCTACTACGTCATCTAATCCACTGATATTCCTACTTCCACAGTTCCTTTTATCATTGGGTCTGGAGGTCTCCATCCCCACATTATATTACTTCTTTAAAATGCTTTTAATTTCTTAGGTTAATTCTTCTATAATTAATTATTCAATCATTTCCAGACGTAACGAAGCCCTTCATGTGCTTACTCAAGATTCAATGACGGTGGAAGATGTGGAGAATCTATTAAAAGAGACGGAACACAACGGTTTCCCTGTGATAGTATCCAAGGAATCACAATACCTTGTTGGCTTTGTTTTACGAAGAGATCTGAATCTTGCGATCGCAAATGCTAAACGCATGACGGAAGAGATAACTGGACAATCATTAGTCATATTTACAAATGGAAATAATATTCAAAGTCATTCCCCTCCGCCTCTTAAGTTAAAGAAAATTCTTGACATGGCACCGATAACCATAACGGATCAAACGCCAATGGAAACCGTTGTTGATATGTTTAGAAAGCTAGGATTAAGGCAAACACTTGTTACTCATAATGGGTAATTATTTTTCATAATATTATTGCCTCCCTTATATATAATATTTATGTTTTATCATTTTGTTTGTTTGTCTAGCCGGCTGCTAGGAGTTATCACGAAGAAGGACGTACTCAGACACGTGAAGCAACTTGACAACGAAGATCCTAATTCTGTATTGTTTAATTAAAATGTATATATGAAAAATACGATATTTTATAATATGCAGTATCGATCGAGGAATTAGATACAATACGTTAATAATGATTTTTGATACGTTCATTTAACTATCAAAAATTTATTTTAATTGATAAATAGAATGGAAAACAAGAATGGCTATTATATTATATGCAGCAAATTTCGGTCATAAGAGAAATATTATTTTACATAAAACAAGAAAAAAAATATTAAATTTGCTATAATTTCATATACATTCAACTAACACTGCTAATCAATGTGACTTTTGTAAAATACTGGATCTTACTAAATTAATATACAAAGTACATAACTCATACAATAATACTTTACTGTATAGATGAAGAACGAACCAAAATTCTTATACATATGTATAAGATTACATACATACATATGTATAAAACGTATTACATAGAGAACGCGTAGTAGATTATGTTAGATATGGCTAAAATTGCCTTGCAGCAACCTTGATGATTAAAAGTTCTTTTTAATTTTTAAACATATTTCATATCGAAATGTTAGGAATTATATTAATTTTATTTCTTGGAAAATAAATAGTGCGGATTTCATACGCACTGTATTTTCTAAAGTAATTTAAATATGCAATATACAATGTATTAATACTTGTGAGCATGTTATACGTTATTGTAATTATTTATACATTTCCGATTAAAAGGAAAAAATTTATTTTCTTTAGAGTAAAGGAATACATGAAAAAATTGTTGAAATATTTATTACAATCCTATTAATATATATATAAGCATATGCCAAAAGTTTATATTTATGATAAATCATTCTCAATATACATATGTATATATATACAAATAAATATAGTACGTAATGCGTACGCGTTTATATATATATATGTCATAATATGTATGAATGTTAAAATATTAATATGAAAATAAATGTTATGTAAAACTGATATCTCATAAAGGAGCAATAATACCGAATGTTTTTCTTCATAAACGATTATACGAAGAAATGACTGCATTTATGAAAATTCAACAGCAACTACCATTGACATACAAATTTTAAAGTACGATTTAGTATAAAATAGGTTCCCGTCAAATATTTCATCTGGCAAATGCAGCACTAGAGAATAAATCAATAAGTATTTGAAAGACAGTTCATAGTTATAGCTATATGGCCCGAGGAAGTGGAACGTTTTATTTGAAATTTGAAATCGATCAAAGGAAAAAGTTTTGATGAATACCAGATGTGTTACATACATGTATATAAGAAATAAAAGATTCATCTCGATTGAAGTAACTATTCTACTACCTATTGGGAGAATAGTTAAAAAAAAGAAGGAAAAAAAAAATGTTTTACGGAATTTCCGGAAATTGAAGCAACAGTGGGGAGTCGATCGTAAAGTCGAGTGTAGTTAAAATTTTCGTGACTTGGAATAAATTTGGGTGATTATGAATGGAAATCAGGTCCGTTGGCAAATTGCTAAGAAATCGTGGTATCGTTTAATTATTAACATTGTTTACGTATCCCAAAGGGAGAAAAAGTGTCGGGAACGTGTGGAAACGGGGTAGAATCCGTGACGTTCACTGGTCGCAATATCACCTGCAGGGGTTAGTTGGTATTTAGTTGGTGGGGGAAATGGTCGACAGTGGAGAAGAGTTCGTGCAGGCTGGTGGTTCGCTAGTTAGTTTCGCGGCAGCAATAACCCCTGATGCGCGTGTGCATGTAAGGTATAATAACGTGTTAGGATAGATTCGCTTATACAGAGAAAGAGAGACCTGAAAGACTGTTTTCCCTCGGTCGTTCAATACGCGCGCGCGCGAAACGAATCGACTTCGTCCATAGTATCGTCGAAGTTCTCGTCGGAGACGTCTGTGACTTTACACCCCTTGTTCGAGTGACAATTCACTGAACAATATATGACAAGGGTGCACCACGGTTTCCATTCCTGTTCTCCTTTATCTTCGTTTCTATCTTTTCCCAGTCTATTTATTTCCTATCAATCCGTTCCTCTTTTTACCGCTTCTTCTTCTCACCCACCAATTATATTTACATATGGGCCACGTTTCACCCTTGTCCCGTCTCTGTTTTCACTCGTAACACCTACTATCTTATCAACCTTCGTTCGTTTTTTTTCCCCTCACCTTGTATCGTTCATCGTCGCATCGTTGTCATCTCGTTCGAACGATGTCGAGGACGAGATGTTCGTAACACTTTGGATAAAACAGGTGGTAACTATGGCCTGCCAGTGCTATACGGAGTGACCAGCAAGAAACCGATTGATTTTGTGTCATTTTCCATCCTATTGTTGTTCGACATCATTGTAAACGTCGCAATGCAATTAACTGTGGAATCGTGTGTGAACGATATCGAGGGGACGACATCGCAGGACAGACCGGATTAAGAGTAAAACACGCATCGAAACATCAAGGGAAATCCTGCAACGTTTCTCCTGCTTCAACTTATAGCTCTCCCTTTTCTCCTTCTGCCTCTTGCTCCCTCTCACTCCCTCTGATTTTTTCCCTTCTCACATAATCGTTTCTTGCGGATTCGATTTACTTTTCGACTTTCTTATCGCTTGGTGGTGAAACGCGTCACAGTGGCACGATCGTCATCGACGAAAAAAGAAGAATCTATATACTGTACCGCGACACACATTCGAGCTCGCGCTCAGTCAATAGCAGCTGCATCCTTTGAAATTTCAAAAGAACCACCAGCAGGAAGCATTCGCGAGGGTCGAAACAGAGGAGACCGTGGACTTCGAATGAGCCACGAACAAGCTATTGAAAGAAACTGCCCTCCCACCGTATAACGTGGTGTATATTAAAGGATCCTAAGGAGGAAGAGCTACTTAAAGACAGTATTATGTGTTTCAATTATATAGGACAAATAACGTAGAAGAAAGTAATGTAGGAACAGGTTAGGAAATCGTCGAGGAGCGAAAGGAGCGGAACGGAAGGTAACTAAGGGAAAACGAACGAAGTGACAAGCTCTATATAGGAAATCCGCAACAATGAAAGCTACAAATTCCGGTGAGCCGAGGAACCAAAGATTCCAATGATACCTTCGCAAGCTGGCCGTGAGGGATATAAAGGTTCTCCCAACCCTCCGAGCAACAGCTCCGAGGACAATGGCTTCGCTAATCGACCTCGAGTGGCGGGCCTTTACGCGACGAACCTCTTCAGAGAAGAGCCCGTTCGATTCTCGTCAGGAGAAACTACTCGATCTCATGGTACCGCGCGAGATATTCTTGAGAGATCGACGCAAGAGATTGGAAGTCAAAGAAGTTTAAACCTTCCTACCAGCGTTCCCGAAGAATTCGAGCTTTTGGATCGTTCGAGGATCGGGATATCGAGAACGCCGCAACCATCGAGGAAAGAGGAAGCTAGCGCGTTTCGTTATGAATCCAGACCTAGAAGGGATTACCATGGATCGTCGTCGTCGTCCACGGAAAAAATTCGCGCGAGGGAACAGGAACGTCACGAGGAACGCGTCGCGCGCGTTACCGACGCGTATTCTCTTCGGGGATCCCTACTCGAGTTCCCGCGTTCGGATGAAACGGCGTGGATGAAATCTAACGTTGACAATTCGAAAGTATCGAATAACGATTATGCCGGTAGGCGAGGTCAAGAAAGTAGTTCGACTTTTCCCTCGGCTTCTGCTTCGATACTCATATCGCCCGCCAGTGAAACTAGTGAATGTCACGTGATATCCCCACCAGAGGTGGAGAAGCCATCCCCACCACCGTACACGGGCCTCAGTCCGCCAGAGTATAGGGGAAACGAGTATGAAAATAGTGAAACTCCGTCGCCGATTTTTCCTTCGTATCCTTTGTCATCTTACGCGGAAGAAACGCGTCATAGACGATCTTCCTCTTTGGACGCGGAGCTTCGATACGCGTTACGAGACGATCGTTCGAGATCAGAGAATCGATTCGAATCTTCGATCGTCGACCGCGAGGAAGCTTCTGGTACCGGTAGATCGAGGCAAATCGATCACCAGGAGCCGTCGGAATCGAACGTGGTAATCGAAAAATCCGCGGACGAGGTAACCTCGAGATTCAGGGACGTAGCAAGATTAAGACCCCCTTTGACAGCGGCTGCAGGCGCATCGGCCGATTCCGGAACCGGTGATTCCGGAAGCGCAGAAATTCAAGTAGATCCTATCGGTACACCTCGAGTAACAACTGCCGGCGATTCTTCCGGCGATGGAAGGGACGAAACCGGAAACGGTACTGCCACCAGTAAATCGTCTATTAAGACACCAACTGGAAACAATAAGCAAACGGTGAAGCTCTTTACGAAGGAAAGTCTCGACAGGTTGGAAAACAGAACCGTGCAACTCGTCAGGGATTATGGCTTTCAACCGAAGAGACGAATGTCCGTTGAGGATGGCGCGGTGCTTCCAAACAAATACGAACCTTTCCCAACCGAGCTTTACGGTAGACCACTCGAGGAAATCGACAACTTTATATACGACGAGGTAAATTTTTACATTTTCTATGCATATTTTCTATGGAAATAAAAACGAATATTGAATTGACTTATTTACCCACGCTTTTAGACAGGGCCGGCCCCGACAAATTACCTGAAATAAAATTGATAAAATTAACATTAAAGCTTGATTCTTAGACTCAAAATCGTCTTATGGCGACCCTAGGGCCGCCTAGTCTGCCTAGGCCCAGGGTCGGCCCTGCTTTCATACGTTTGAAATCGCACTATCGATATGTGAAGCAATGGCCGCCGATAACAATGGCGGCCATTTTAATAATCAGAGCTACCTGCTATAATTTTGTAAAAATAAATAAACGAACGAATTAGAGAACTTCTTTGTAATTTATAAAATGATTTGATTTCTGTCTTATGTTTCAGACATTTTGCGTGGTATCGAAGAGGTTTCGTAAGAATTACATTCACAGATTTACGGCAACAAGCAGTTGGTTCATATTTTCTCCATGGAATCCTATAAGACGGTATTGTATCTTCCTAAGCACGAATCAGTACTTCGATTACTTGGTCATGGCTACGATAATATTAAATTGTGCCTTCCTCGCCATGACGGAAACTATCGAGGAAGCCGAGTAAGCATCTTTTTTTTTCTTTCTTTTTCTAAATAATCGAACCCCTAAATGACACGTTTTATTCCTTTTTTTTTATCAGATATATATTCTTAGCTATATACACGGCCGAAATGGTAATAAAATCAATAGCCAAGGGATTTGTGCTCAATAAGTATACTTATCTGCGAAATCCATGGAACTGGTTAGATTTCGTAGTGATCACTAGCGGCTACGCAACTATAGGGATGGAAGTAGGAAATTTAGCTGGACTTAGAACATTTCGAGTTTTGAGAGCCCTCAAAACTGTTTCAATTTTGCCTGGTAAGAATCTCGACAAATTAACGTTCATACTTGTTTAATATATAAAATATAAACTCTCTAAATCAGGCATGCAATCGAAATTGCCCGTAGGGCGGCCTAGTTCCCATCTGCTGCTTCGGGCGCCCCTCCACGTCTTGCGCTAAATACCTCCGACCCTTTCAACCTTTTCGCTACGACGGACTTGCTCGCGAATGCGCTGTTCCGGTACGGGGCAGTCCTAACGCAGACGCAGTTAAAAAATAATAATCTCGTGATATAAAATAAAATAGAAATTGAATACAAGAAATCGGCAACCATAGAGATAACAATGTATTTAATAATATTCTGCTCTACCAAAGTTAAAAATAAATATGAAATTTAACAAGTGACTAAAGTCACCGTTAGTAGCGAAAGGGTTAAATATTCTAGAATTTTTGCTCCAAGTGCCATTCCATTTTCCGACCAGTTTCTGTTCCTTTTAAAAAAATAGAACAATTGTAACCGTTTATTCAACACGTTTCGCAGGTTTAAAAACCATCATCAACGCATTGTTACATAGTTTTAAGCAACTTGCCGAGGTAATGACGCTCACGATCTTTTGTCTGATGGTTTTTGCATTGTTCGCCCTGCAAGTTTACATGGGCGAGCTTCGAAACAAATGTGTGAAAAATTTGGAGTCTAATAATACAGAAATCGACTGGCACGAGTACGTATGATCTTAAGTTTCGAATTAATATTAGAACAGTGTCGTCGAATCGTGTCAGACGTTTGATATGTAGCAACCTGATGAACACGCTTGAAAAAGAAAAAAAAAAAACAATAGCTTGTTGAGCCTCGAGAGGCATTAACCAGTATCTTGTCTCGTCTACAGGTGGACTTGGAACTCATCCAACTGGGCATTCAACGAAGATGAAGAACCAATAATTTGCGGTAACGCAACTGGCGCCAGGTTAGCCAAATTTCGTTCGTGACAGCCAACTAACTTGATATGACATCTCGATTTTATAACACAAAGAAACTTCACCTTTCAGGCACTGCAACGAGAGCTATATCTGCCTTTGCGTTGGCCCAAATCCAAACCACGGGTATACAAATTTCGACAACTTCCTGTGGTCAATGCTCACCACCTTTCAGTTGATTACATTGGACTACTGGGAAGACGTCTACAATAAGGTATACCTTCCTTCAACAATGAAACCATTGAAAACCGATGGCATACTCTACCTGTGTCACGCATCTGCACGACGTCTTTCAGGTATTGTCGGCGTGCGGACCTATCAGCGTCTCGTTCTTCACGGTGGTCGTGTTTTTTGGCTCATTTTATTTAATCAATCTAATGCTCGCGGTCGTTGCACTGAGCTACGAAGAGGAAGCCGAAATAACGAACGAGGTATAAGATAAATTTCATGATTTTCTCTTAGATGATATTCCAAATATTTCAATGTGCGCCCGACCTTGTAGGAAAGACGGAAAGATTTAACCGACCATCGCGAGGACTCGACGTTTAGTTTCGACCCGACAAAAATCAACGTCAAGACACTTGCTAAAGAGAAACAAAAGAAATTAGATGCTAGGAAAGGCGTTCTTCTAAGTAGTTACACGCGTAAGAAAACGCGAAGAAGAAGACGTGGAAGAAGCAACGTTGGCTCCAGCTCGTCTGGTCAAGATAGAAGCGGTTCTGTGCCAAGCAGGTACAACTTGGGATAATATAATGCCTGCTTAGATTTTTATTTTCTCATGATTCTCTCGTTTAATTAGATCGGTAACACCGAGCCCGAGTCCAAGTCCAAGGCATTCGAATGTCCGACCATCTCATTTAGCTCTCCAAAACGTCAGCCCACGAACGGTAGAGAACAATACCGTTCACAGGCTGGCACCGAATCGTGGGATGCTCCATTCTCGTCAGGCAAGCAACAACAGTAATCAACAATCGTCGTTGGACGACTCAGGGGTGGTCGACGACCACGATGCCGACGACGTAACGTCTGTAGAGGAACACGATAGGCGGGACAATAAAGAATCTAGATCCGACTGGCACGAGAGAGTACCTACTAACAATAATGGCGATGCCAATGCCGAATCTAGTACCGGAACGAGAAACGGTATCAATAACGAGACCGAAGGTGACCGAGAAAAATCACAACCTTCCCGTTCCGGTGGTTTTCGTGCCCCTACAAACGTTTCTGCTTCTCTCGGTACCGGAACTACGCGAGAGATCAGAGTGTTCAAGTGCAACGGTGTGAAAACAAAGAAACAAATGTACACCCTGCCCCCAGAGTATTTGTCGCATATTGTTATTTTAGGTACGATAGTAAATTTTATTCGTTATTCGTACAGTCGTGCCACAGTTTCAATTTAATTTTATAACGTAGATATCGTGGCACGACTGTACTTGAACGATTCGCAAGATTTCTAATAACACGTTGTTTGTGCATAGATGATCTTCCTGATAGAAATTGCGAGAAGTGTATTCAATGCTGTGTAGATTACGAGGGTTGGCTACGATTTCAGAATTGTTTATATAAGGTAGGTATGTCAGAAAGTATCGTGGACAGAGGAATGTCTTCGAAATGAACGCAAGTATTCGGCAAGTTCGATATTCGTTACACAGTTTGCATCTCTTTTTTTCGTATTTTAACTCATTCGCTCTAAGGTATACGTACGAAGATAAATATATATTCGATTCGCTGGAGAAAACGAAACGTAGAGCTGCACGTGTTGCCGGTACCAGCGTCGGAAACGGACTGATTGAATTTCGTCTTCGCCGCCGCAACGTTTGGCGATCTTTGTCGAAATTTGCCGAACGTTCCCGAGGCTCGCCGAAGGGATTCGAGCGCTCATTTCACGCGTAATTTGAACGTGACCGACGCGAATTATCGCATACTTTTAAAATCTAATATTTTTTAAACAGTCTGGAGCGAAAGGGTTAAACATCTGTCCCATACCATCCGATAGAAAAGCTTGATGCATGCGAAAGCAAAAATCAAACCCGTTGACTCTCGATTGACCAATGACTCGTATCTAGGTAGTGAGAGATCCGCTATTCGAGTTAACGATCACGCTGTGCATCGTCCTGAACACCGGTTTCCTGGCGATGGAACACCACGGGATGAGCGAGTCTATACGACAGGCTCTGAACATCGGCAACAAAGTGTTCACCAGTATCTTCACCTTTGAATGTTTACTGAAGCTGTTAGCGTTGAGCAAAGATTTCTTTGCCAACGGATGGAACAATTTCGATTTGATAATAGTGTCAGCGTCTCTGATAGATCTTACCTTCGAGCTGGTAGACGGTCTCTCAGTGATACGCGGACTGAGACTTCTTCGAGTATTAAAATTGGCCCAGTCATGGACGACGATGAAGGTCCTCCTAAGTATCATCATCTCGACGATCGGTGCACTTGGAAACCTGACTCTGGTTTTGGTGATCGTGATCTACATATTCGCCGTGATCGGTATGCAATTGTTCAGCAAAGACTATACATTGGACAAGTTTTATCCGGACCCGGTACCGCGTTGGAACTTCAACGATTTCTTTCATTCGTTCATGATGATATTTCGTATACTTTGCGGCGAATGGATCGAGCCTCTGTGGGATTGCATGCGAGCGGAAGAGGAAGACGGACCCGAGGCTTGTTTCGCCATATTTTTGCCAGCTCTTGTCATGGGTAATTTTATGGTACTGAATCTCTTCCTTGCTTTGCTGCTCAACAGTTTCAACTCGGAGGAGCTTAAACAGAAGAAAGAGGAAGTCGGCGAAGACTCGAAACTCGCCAGATCGTTCGATCGCATACGTTCCATCATACGTAAGAACAAATGCTCGCGTTTTGCCCAAGGCGGTACGAAGAGCAGAGGCGAGGATGCACGTTTGGAAAAGATTGTGCGACGCGTTATGGATAGATCCGACAACGAGACTAACTACGCTATTCAAGAGACTGTGCTCAGCCTTCCAAAAGATAACGTATACAATAGATCTTATCAAGAAAGTTTAAATCAGCCTGTTTTTACTTACGACTCGGTGTACTCTCAGTCTCAGTTGGAGAAGCAGAAATACGAACAATGGGAGAAAGACGAGGATGAGGAGGAGGAGGAGGAGGAGGAGGAGGACGAAGAGGAACGAGCCGAGGAATCGCACGGCGACCAAGGTAATTCGAACAGAAGAAAAGAAACCGAATCGAAGGAAAGTAATTTAGAGGAATATCAAGAGCACGAGATTACAAAAGACTCGTCGACTAAAGCACCGGCTGAGGAAAGAATAGCGATGCTACCTCAAGAGGATCCTTTTCCAAAACGCGAAGATCGTGTACCAAAACGACCATGGCATGCACTGGTTAGTTACGTAGACGAACTGACCGTTGGTGGTAGAAGAGACAGTAAAGGAAAGTACATTGATGGTATGGGATCGTTTCCTGGTTTTGGAAGGAACAATCGTCGTAAGGAACCGCAAGATTGTTTTCCACGACAGTGTTACCAGAAGTAAGAAACAAATTTGTCTCGTTCCTCCTTACTCCCTTATCGTTTTTTCATTTTTCTTTTCATTATTGCATGATTTTTAACAATGATAAATGTTATATGTTTAGGTGTACCTGCATCGAACGATGCGTTGCAACGACTATCGGCAAAAAATGGATCAGACTACGAACGATAGTTCTATCGGTCGTTGATACACCTGGCTTTGAATGGATGATATTGGTTTTCATTTTTGCATCCTCCATAACACTTTGTTTCGAAGATATTTATCTAGATGATAATCCTTTTTTGAAGAAAATTCTCTATTGGACCAATCTTGGCTTCTGTGCGCTTTTTAGTATTGAGATGTTACTCAAGTGGCTAGCTCTGGGTTTCTGCAAATATTTCACCAGTTTTTGGACTATCTTGGATTTTATAATCGTTTTTGTAAGTAGAGCTGTTACATACGAGAAATGAATTGATTTTCTATGTACAATCACGTGGAACTTAGGCATGGTTTAGTTAAAGGGAAATGGAGAAGAGGAAGTACCCCACCGTTTGTCTTGTTTCCCAATGTTATTTATACATAAACGTAGATTAGACTTTCCCAAGTAAAGGAAGTCAAGTTCCAAAACTTTTGGAAATCCTGAAAATAGAAGCGCAGGGCCGGTCCTGGGTCTAAGCAGACTAGGCGTCCCCCTAGGGCCCCCCATAAGACGATTTGAATATTAATCAATGTAAATGCAAATCTAAATTAGTTATACAAGGTTTAATGTTAATTTTATAAATTTTATTTGAGCTACTTTTTTTATGTCGTATATTTGAAGGGGCCTTTTTTCAGAGCTCGCGTCAGAGAGTTTGTTTTGGAATCTTGATTTCTCCTAAGATCAAAGGCAAATGGCGAGCTTCTTCTTTTACACTTCCCTTTAATTATAAAAAGCCTATATTGCATCTGATTGTACGTGGTGTGTATGTCTGTTTGGATATATATGTGTGCAAGCAAAACGTATATGCGTGTAAGCGCATGTGATATAAATCTAATATCCATCGTTGCTGCATGGAGAATTTTTCGTTTCCGCCAATCGTAACCATCGTAATTACGATTTCGCTGTTTACCGTCACTACTTTCTTCATTTTCTATGCGTTTCTTTTCTGAATTGTTTATACGTGTCGCCTTACGGATTCAGGTACGTGCAAAATTAATACGTTGCTTCTAATGCACCTGGACCCCATTTCTCTCACACGCTTTTTAATTATCACAGTTCAATTCAAGGAGAACCTTGAAAGAAATTAAAAATCCATCGTTATCATTCCATTACCTTCAATATATTTCACTTATCACTTTGCCTCAACATCTGATGCATCTTTATGATCCAGCTTAATTGTATCCAAACAACATAAGTAATTACTCAATTAATTTCTTGCAGAATATAGTATTTACCTTTGTTTCTTTCATTAAGCTTATGGTATGCTTTATTTTCATTAGACAGATAGATAGATAATATTAGAGTAGGAGTAGTATATTAAATCATCTGTTAAAAAGAATACGCGAACATCTTGGCATTTTTTCTTGAACAGGTATCAACATTTAGTCTGTTGATAGAAGAGAACGAAAATTTGAAAGTGTTAAGATCTTTAAGAACTCTACGAGCACTGAGACCATTGCGAGCGATATCGAGATGGCAAGGCATGAGGGTAAGCTTGGTAGACTACAAGTTAATAGAGAATCAACCTAACCTGATCCGAGCCGCGAGTCAGATCGTTGAAATCAGACGGAATCGAGCGGGAAAAGATGCTTTCGGGTTATCCGCCCGATCCCGCCCGATCTCGCCCGATCTTCTCCGATCCGACCCGAGGCCCCTAATCCCTGCAACCAGCACATCCCCAATAATAAAATCACTATAGCAGATTTTTCAAAGAGCTTGATAAACTAGAAAGTACTGTATTCTTTTTTTTATTTGCTAGATCGTAGTGAACGCGTTGATGTATGCGATACCTAGTATATTCAACGTGCTCCTCGTCTGTCTCGTGTTCTGGCTGATATTTTCTATAATGGGTGTACAATTTTTTGGCGGGAAATTTTTTAAATGCGTTGACGAGTACGGTGAATTGTTAGATATATCGGTGAGTATACGAGAACATCTAAAAAGCACAGTATACATAACGCGGCACCTGGTTTTGTACGTAAAATTCGAATATAAATAATTGATTCATAGATCGTTGATACGAGGGACGATTGTCTGCGAAAAAATTACTCGTGGGAAAATAGTAAAATCACTTTTGATCACGTTGGGATAGCGTACTTGGCCCTATTTCAAGTAGCCACGTTCGAGGGATGGATGGAGGTAATGCAGGACGCAGTAGATGCAAGAGGGGTAGATCTTCAGCCTCAAAGAGAAGCAAATATCTACGCGTATTTGTACTTTGTGATATTCATCGTTTGCGGCTCTTTTTTTACACTGAATCTATTTATCGGAGTTATTATAGACAACTTTAACATGTTGAAGAAAAAGGTAGGTGTCGCGTGGAAATAAGAAAATTGATATTTAGACAATGGATAAAACGTATTCCTTCCTACGATCCCGTTATGTTCTTTTCTTTTTTACATTCCTATTTACAGTACGAAGGTGGGGTGCTAGAAATGTTTTTGACCGAAAGTCAAAAGCACTACTACACTGCCATGAAAAAGCTCGGCCGTAAAAAGCCGCAAAAAGTGATCAAGCGTCCGATGAATCAAATCCTCGCAATGTTTTACGACCTATCAAATTCCCGCAGGTAAATCGAATTCACCTATACTATATTGTCTATCTAATACCTATCCTATGAACCTGTGAAACAATTCCAATATTTTTCTTTCTTGTTATTTTACAGATTCGAAATAGCAATTTTTATTTTGATATTCTTAAACATGCTGACTATGGGAATCGAGCATTACGGTCAGCCGCATCCGATTTTCTTCGTCCTCGAAGTGTCGAACGCATTTTTCACGACGGTATTCGGATTAGAAGCGATCGTTAAGATAATAGGACTTCGATATCATTATTTCACCGTACCGTGGAATCTGTTCGATTTCCTTCTGGTACTCGCTTCGATTTTAGGAATATTAATGGAGGATATTATGGTAGACTTTCCTGTGTCCCCGACGCTCCTGCGAGTCGTGAGAGTGTTCAGAATCGGTCGAATCTTGAGGCTAATCAAAGCCGCTAAAGGTATTCGAAAACTACTCTTCGCTCTGGTGGTCAGTCTTCCAGCGCTGTTCAACATCGGTGCCCTTTTAGCCTTGATTACATTTATTTATGCCATTATCGGCATGTCGGTCTTTGGTCATGTTAAGAAACAAGGCGCTCTTGACGATATGGTAAGAATCAATTCAAGTCTAAATTATACGTTTTTACAACGTAACTTTTCTTATCTTCTTATCTATTTGAAAGTCTTTTTATGTACGGATCTTTGCCGGTCTATCCCGTTCTATTTCTTTCTTTCTTCTTTCTTTAGGTAAATTTCGAAACTTTCGGTAGAAGCATGCAATTATTATTTCGGTTAATGACATCAGCCGGTTGGAACGACGTCTTAGAGTCTCTGATGGTACAACCACCAGATTGCGATCCGACTCCGACTAGCCGACAAATGAACGGAAATTGCGGATACCCTCTCTTGGCAATAACTTACTTTACTTCCTTTATCATAATCAGTTACATGATCGTAATCAATATGTATATCGCCATCATTCTTGAAAACTTTAATCAGGCCCATCAGGAAGAAGAGATCGGTATCGTCGAGGATGATTTAGAAATGTTCTACATCCGATGGTCCAAGTAAGAATCCATTATTTTTATCTTAATTGTGTACATATATTAATATATATACATATACATAGTTTTTCGTTTTAATTTGTAGCTGTTTGAATAGTGTAGTAATATTATGTAACGATGGTTGGTTCGTAGGTATGATCCGCACGCAACACAGTTCATAAACTTTTCGCAATTAAGCGATTTCATAGCGAGCCTAGACCCACCATTAGGAATATCGAAGCCCAACATGGTTGCGTTGGTTAGCTTCAATCTTCCTATCGCTAAGGGTAATAAGATTCATTGTCTGGACATTCTGCACGCACTTGTCAAGCACGTTCTTGGACACGTCGAGGAGTCCGAGGATTTCCGAAAGTTACAGGAACAGATGGACATCAAGTTCAAGAAACAATTTCCTACTCGTAAAGAACTTGAAATTGTTTCTTCAACGAGAATGTGGAAACGTCAGGACAAAGCTGCTAGATTGATACAGAGTACTATCAGGGATTATATAATGTGAGTGTATATATTTTCTTACGATTAAAGTTGTTGTGTTATTGATCAAAATAACGTGTACTTAACGATGTTTAGGGCAAAGAAGGAACGCGAAAGGGTTGCTCAAGAGGTGGATTCACAGACCCAAACGTCAAGCCCTGGTGTTGGGAATGAGGGTAGGGGCGGGGGTGGATGGAGTGGCAAAGTATCGGCTTTTTTGCATGTACATAGAGGTAGCCGTGCCAGTAGCCGCAAGTCCTCGAGGGCCAGCGACGCCAGCGATTTCAGCGAGCTCGGTGCCGCTTCGGCATGGCTTTTTCCAAATTTGCCTCTGCTGTTGCTCTCCGGCGCCACCGGTACTCATGAGGACCTGCCTCCTCCTGCTCTGACCGTATCCCGTCCCTCACCAACCACCGAACAGCAATCGTTTGTCGGTTCCTCTAATGCTAGTGCTACTTCCTCCGATCTACACGCCAGGTTTGCGGATCAATTCAATTTCTATCATGTATCAAATTTCCAACAAGATAAGATTATTAACGATGATTATACGATTATTTGTAGATCGATCGCGGGACCGACCCTCGGCCGACAAGATGCCGTTGAAAGTTATCCCGACGAGGAAGTTCCAAGTCTTCCTACGAAGCGCAGATCACTTCCACCGAGTGTCACAACGCTCTCTCTGAACACGTTACATCGCGATATCAAAGAAGCATTTAGCAGACGTTGCGGTAGCCTTCGAAAGAAACATCAACCAGCTACTGAACCAGCCCCGCTGCCAATCGAATCAACCGACGTAAGCATACTTGTCACGGAACCCAGTCCAGAGAATACAGCGCCACCCTCGAGACCAGCACTCCTTAGACGACAATCCGCCGCTACGGTCGTACATGTTCTCGTTCACAGAGAGAGCGAAGAATACCGAGACACGCAACCGGAAAATGCTAGTTGATCTTAGACCATTTAAACGCTCAACAAACACAACCCCTTTTCGAATATCAGTGTATAACGAGAGAGAGAGAGAGAGAGGCTAGGCTTGAAAAGCCAGCAAGTTTTGTTATCGCGTTACGGGTAACCTCGATACTTAATCCGGTTCCTTCTCCTCTCCCCCTTTCTTTGACGTGGTTGCCTTATCTCATCGTTCATCTCGGAATCCTTTCACTGTTTCCATCTAGAACATATTGGAAAGGATTCACTTGAAGTATTAGAATACTTTTGACAATTATTTCTTACAATCTATCTACACTTTGTAACTTTATAAACGTATTTATTCTTATATTTCAATTTTATCCGAACGACACCAAATACGACACGAGTATACCTTTCTTTCTCTTCTTAGAAAAGCAATATCTTGGTAGCCATTTTGAATCCTATAATAGTGAATAATAGGAGCCCGCGTGATCCCGAACTTTGGATGGTGACGGAACGGAAAATTCTTGGCGAGATCTCGATACTGTGATATTTGTTTATTTATTTATTTATTTATTCGTTTGTGATAAATGGGCAGAGTTTAATAGTTTTCCATCCCGTCCGAAAGTTCTGGTAACTCGGGACGATCCGCGCACCTTTAGCGAATAACTCTAATCTTTTAACGATCGTTCGGTAACGAGCTTAAAATCTTTTTCCTTACGCGGTAAAGGTATAATATTCAAATCGAAAGTATAGCTCGAATATTTGAAATTGATTCGATACCGAGATTCTTCTACCACAATTTTAAGAAAGCGATTGGACCAATTTAACGAGATATGCTTGAAAACTCCGATCCCTTTTTCACTTAAATCACTGGATTAGATTCACGAATCTACTCGCTATATTAATGAGACAAATTAATAATAGTTACAATGAAAAAATAGAGAATAATACTGCCTCGAATAGTATAGAATTTTTAATTTATAATTGTTTTGAAGGAAAAATACGAGAAGGACAAGGAAAAGAGAGGGAAAGAGAAGATGGAAAGAGGAAAACTACGCGCGAATTTTCCAAAATAATGAACGATTATGTTATAACGATGTTATATCACTGTTTCTTCACATTTTTAAAATGAGAAAAAAAAAAAAAAAAAAAAATAATAATGTAGCTTTACCAGTATCGCTATCGACTTCCTGTGCGATGCCAGTTAACGTAGAACATTAATGTATATGTGGAGGTTCGGCTTAACCGAAAAAGTTATTCACATTACAGTATTCCTAATACGTAATGAGGTTACATGCTTACATTATGGCGTACTTACGTACAATTTTGTGAGATTCGTCCTGTACCTTTTAGAAAAGAGAAAAGAGAAAAAAAAAAGCTTTTTCTTCTGGACACGTTCCATTGAACAGCTTAGTGATCGATATTAAGCTTTCCATTAATCAATATTTTCAAGTCAATATTTTCTTCTTAATTAATATCAAAGCAAATGTACACCATTTCTTTGTTTAATCTTGCACAAATTAAAATAAGGATAAATAATTACTTGCACATGAATTTACTCACAAATTTTTACAAGTACAATTTTCTACATCTTTTTTAATTTCTACATTTAAGTGGAAAACGTGAAGTCGATCGCTAGCGAGCAACAGAATAAGATATCTGTTAAATAATATACAAATATTGTTGGTTATTGTTAATATTATTGAACGCTGGATCATGTTCAGAAGAGGTAGCTACGCCCCTTTAATGTTTTTTCGCGTTATGTGTTTTAAATACGGAACGAATTTAATTTGACAGATTGTACGAATAATTGCACATATTATTCGAATGATAATTACAAATAAAACGAAAATTATTCGAAAATTACGAATATTCTTTTATTTGAATAATATAGGTAATTAATTCGAATAATATACAGAAATTGTTCGTTTCTTGTTCATTTTTAAATTTTGTTCACTGTATCGAATGATATACATATCGATAATAGATCGAATATTCAAAAGTTGGCTATGGTATGAATATGTATAAATAATTTTCGCGTTTGACATAATTTTTCGTCTTAAATTTGTGCAACAAAGTAACGAAGGAACATGTATCGCAAACAGCTGTGCATATAACATAAAATTGAAAGCTGAGATTTAAAAAAAAAAAGGAAAGGAAGAGGAGGAGAGGGAAAGAAAGTGATAGAGATGATGGGAAAGAGCACAAAGTATAAAAAAGAAGACAAAAAAAAAAAAAAATGAGAGAAAGGAACAACGAATTTTGTAGTAATTAGTTACATTTTTACTGTAACCTTATCAGTCCGTCTTTAGTTGTTTATTTAGTATTTAGATCTCTCATATAAGAACAGAAAACTTATTGATTTAGATGAGGATAGATTTTCATCTTTACCTTTTTCAATTTTCCTTTTCACAAATAATTATTGCCATTAACACGCCACGACCTCTTGTCGACCTCTAGTGCCTATTAGAAGAAAAAAAAAAAACAAAAACAAAAAACGATTGTGAGTTAATATACATATACAGAAGTATAAACATGTATATTAGATTTTCATATTAAAAAAAAGAAATGTATTCGTACGAGGAAAAATGGTACGAGTTAAATTTATGTAAACCTCTTGCTAGAACGTACGACGGTACGTTACTTTTAGAGTTTAGCATTTGATGCTTAATGCTTGGATAAATCTGTTTTTCGCGTGTTAATTACAAGATAATATAGCATCGAGGATCATGTGAAAAAAAAAAGAAGAAATGTTAATGAATCATACGAATAGAAATTCAACCAAGAGCAAAATTGAATGTTTTTTGAAAAGAAAAAAAGAAATCCAATTCCAGAAATGTGATTTTTGCAGGACACGAAGCGTAAATGTATGCATCATGTCAATTAAAGGCATAAATATATTGTACTTAATTCGTAACTGACGTGTTTACACGCGATACGTCTAGAATACTATAGGTACTTATAAATATACCAAAACACAAGAGACTGGACATACATGACCTTGCTATCCCAATACCTGAGGATAGTGAAATTCCAAAGAAAAAAAAAAAAAAAATAAATAAATTGTACAATCACGATCGGGTATCCTGTGGGAACCCGACAATTTTTTTAGATATTATAGCTTTTCTGCGCATTTTTCTGCGTGTCTGCGTGCTGCGTGCGTGTTGTGTGAATAAAAATTCGATAGGATAAAGTCTGCTCAAAATGCCTACCGCGTACTTAAAACACACTGTCAGGTTGCACTTGAGTAATTATTCAATTATTATTGCAATTTATAGCTTTTTTCTTTAAAAGAAAAAAATGCTGGCACGTACGATTGATCGTTTAGTTGGTCGTTCGTCCCAGTTCGTTCAACGTTTCTCACGTTTTTTGATAAAAAATAATCAAAGTGACAATATTGTTCACGCAGTATAATACAATAATATGTATAAAAGAAAAAAAGAAAAAAAAAGATAATCGAACGTTCTATCGTTTGAGTGAAAAGAAAAAAGCGTTAAATTAATGAAAAATTTATTAATAAATAATGATAAATGATAAACATTTATTGGTACAGGGTCAATGACAATCGATATCGTGAAAGCAATTAGCTTTTTTCTTTTCTTCTACGTTTTTGCAAGATTTGCTTTTCGTAATTTTAAACGTAACAATTTCAAAATAATTGGTATCGTTTATCCTTAACGGTGAATATTCTATCGTTGATAATTAATAATTTCAATTTTAGCTTAGTATTGAAATTATTCTACTGTTAGAAAATTGACCATAGATGAGAAAGAATAAGTTTAACGTTTAAAACATCTGACAATGATGAAAATTATAAGAACAATGAAAAGAATGAAAATGGGGGCCGAGGGAAGGATAACGAAGGAGCAGGCAAACAGACAGAGCAGAAAATATTACATTAGCGTTGCAATGATTCGTCAGACAAAGAAAATTTCAATGAAAGAGCAGTGAAACGTTCCTTTAGATCAAACTTGTAAATAGATTAATGATCCTCGTTAGTCTGCAAAAACGACCGTTTTGTCACATAAATTTATAAACAAAGACTCAAGCATTGTTCTTCCATACACGTTAATTCTAATTGAAGTTTTCAAATTCTATATAACAATGGTTTTTTGAAACCTCGTTAGTAGTGCTACAACAAGCATTTTCATTTCACGTACGATTAATTCACACGTTTACACTTAGAAATATCTTTTCTTCTGCAATTTCTGATCTACTATTAATCAATTACATTTTTTCTTTGTGATAACGACAATGCTTGATATAGTTTATAAGGTAATATGAGCAAGCAAATACTGAATTTTAAAATATACAGTCTAATTAAATCTGATGTTATATTATAAATACTAATAATATTAATAATAAACGAGGTGAATAATAAGAATGTTAACCATATAAGGATGATATTATATAAATATTGCTAAAAAATAAATTGTGGAATTTATCAATTGAATTTCTTCAAATTGTGTAATATTATTCTTATAAAATATTTCGTTTGTTTATAATATGTTCTTGTAAAAATTTATTTACCACTTAATATCTTACATACAAGAACAATTAAATATATAGAGCTATATACAGTGCTATAGTTATCCTTCCCTAACAAATCATTTTTTATTTAGTCGATACTCTAGTACGCTTATTCCATGCAAAATTAGAGCCATAGTTACGAGGCTTAGGATTGTTAACGTTTGGCTTCTGAATATAATAGTCCCATCCCATTTTTTCACAGTGTGCAATGGCTTCCTGTTCTGTAGCAAATTCCACCTTGAGATTGGACATAGGATCACCTCTATGGGAGAAAACCTAATGTTAGGTAAAGATTGATAATAAACAACAAAATTCTTAATTATACTCACGTCGATGTCCATCCTATCAGGGCATTTTCCCAACGTTCGCGAGTATCAAAGTCTATTTGCCAAAAATGAATATTGTTTGTTCCAGATTGCATAGCATTTTTTGGAGGGCAAAAAATACGAACTTTACGAGTTTTTATATGATCTTCCGGAACACCTGAGACCAATCCAACATCTTCTACCGAAGATACTGTAACTGTAGCTTTCATAGCATCCCTATATAACACTTCATCTTTCTCCATAAATGCCTCCTCATTATTTTTAGGTAATGTTAAACTTGTTTCATTTCCTTGACTAGTTTTACTTGAACCTCCAGCAGCAAATCTTTTCGTTAAACTAAGAAACGGAATCTAATTACATTTTTCGAATTACATACAATTGTAAGATTCTAACCTAATATCTAAATTTTCAGGAAAATGAATCAAAGCTTACCTAAAACACTTTTTAATATCATTATTAGTGCGTATCACAGAAAATACACGACATGCCATTTTGAATAATAGAGGGTTAATTTTATCCGCCTTCGGTTTTATTACACCTGTAAAGCGAAAAGAATTTTTTGCATACGGGCGAATAAAACAAATGAAAATAATATATTTATGATAGAGAAATATAGTTTTTACACAGTATTCATACTTTTACGAAATAGATTATATTGTATTTATTTTTAACCTCTGGTTAAACGGGTTGACATACATAAACTGATAACATGCCGTTAGTTGGATGCAATAACTAAGATGGCGCTTAAATCAATTTCTGTTCAGCTTAATTTTCGATCAAACATGGCCTGTTTTACCGATGCCGTATTCGGAGTTCTGCCACGACGCTTGCATCGCTTGTGAATTTAAATAATTTGTAGCGTCATCTCTGAACTGCATAAAGTACTCAAGCAGTGATACCGATAAATGATACCGTTAATCTATTGCAACTTGCAGCTTGTATCATCTATATACATTCTTTAAAATAATCTGCTATGTTAACAAAATTGTTTTTTGATTTCTCTGTTGTAAACTTTGTAATATTTCGATCGTTCTGTTGGAAAATATAGTTAAAGAGAAACCTTTGAAGGAAACTCATGTTTTTGGAAATGTCACTGGCAGGATTGTTTATCCACCATTTTGTTTTGCTGTCGTCCTCAGAGTTTTTCCTGGTATCGTGGCCTATTTTACAATGAACTAGATTGACTCGAATTTAAAAAAGAATATCATTGAATCCGACGACGTTTCGTAGTTCGGAAGGATATTGTTTCCAACGAATTTGGATTAGTATTTTTTTTTTTTTTTTCGATGAATGTTCTCGTCATGGGGATTTGTGAGATTTCACCTCGAGTTCTGACCCAACTTTCCTGACTTCTTTGATCAAATGGCGATTACTAGATAAAACGTACAATTTTCGCGTCATTCGCCACGTAAGTTTAATATTTTAATCATGATAGTTAGTTAAATTGGTACCAAACATTTTCAGTGCAATGTTTTCAACACCAAATTTCTTTGAGATCATCTGAAAGTATGATTTCAGTTTTTGTTTAATAATCCATTAAAACCATGTAATATTATTAATCCTGTGTATTACTACAACTTCTATTTTAACTAGAATATAAGTGTATCTGATTTTATTTTCTCTACCATAGGATGTCGGGTCAGAGTGGAGGGCATCGCTTACGGTTGTCCAAACTCAATGATCAACTGACGTGCAAACTATGCGGTGGATATTTCATTGATGCCACTACAATTATAGAGTGCTTGCATTCGTGTATGTGTATTCTTTCGTCGCTTCCTTAATCCTTTTGTCTATGGTGAATAAATATATTTTTTCATCATTACAAAAGGGTTGAGCGACGATTCAAGCATTTTCATGTAAGCGGCGATTAATGTCGCACTACAGTTTGCAGGAGCTGTATCGTCAAGTATCTGGAAAACAATAAATATTGTCCAATATGCGAGGTACAGGTGCACAAAAGTAAACCACTACTTAACATTCGTCCAGACTACACTTTGCAGGACATTGTGTATAAATTGGTACCTGGATGTTATCAAAGTAAGTCCTATAAATTAATTTAAATAATCCACAATTTCAAGGATTAACTACGATATCGGCTGCTTCAGATGAGATGCGATGCAGAAGAGAATTTTACTCCAAACATCCTGAAGCGTGCACTCAAGCAACATCTCCAGAAGCAAGGGGCGAGCCAACCGAATCGCATATATATTCTCCCGATGAATCCCTTAGTTTGTCATTGGAATATTTTAGTCCATCTAAAGATGTTAAAGGAGTACCTGTAAAACCTTTGTTAAGGCGATATCTTCGTTGTCCCGCGGCAGTAACAATTTTTCATCTGCAAAAGCTAATACGCGCTAAGTATGGCTTAACCGATGCACACAGGGTAGATATAATGTATAAGGAGGAACCACTATCCAATAGTTACACATTAATGGATGTAATGTATATTTATCATTGGAGGCGGGTAAACATTCAAAATTTATATACCTATATACATGTACAATTTATTTCAAAAGATCAACAGTTACAATGTTATAAATATTCTTTTTATATTTGTTTCAGAAAGTGCCATTGCATTTAAGTTATAGGATATTCGAATCTTCTCCGAAACGAATAAAACTTTCAGAGGACAATGTCAATTATAAAACATCTTTACTTCATGCTGGAATTGATTCCATCGACTCGAAGGACGAACACTCGCTGAAAAGGGAATGGAAGGAGGTTCAATTAAAAATCTCGGAAACTGGTATAATGAGTATTACGGATATATCGAATCAACAATTTCAAAAAAGTGCAGCAGTCGAAAATTCGATTGCTTCGAAAGTTGAAACAATAAATACTTCGATCACCGAAGATAATAATAGCGGGAACAATTTATTTGAGATTACGAAAAAAAACGAGCAGTCTTCGGATAAACAGATTATAGATGATTGTGATATTTCTTCTAAATTACATGAACTCGACGACAAGAAAAACGTTAATCAAACCGAGGGTAAGAAGATTTCAACAGAGGAAACAGGAATTATGGTAAACTGTAAAAACGAGGAAGAACCAAAAAATCATTCTGATAGTACCAACGTCGATGATAAAACAACTTCACAATTAAAAGAAACCTCGCAATGTGTAGATAGTAGTGAAACTAGAAATAATATCGAGAATGAGGATCAAAAGGATTCCTCGAGAAATAACAATAATATTATAATCGAAGAAAATAAATTAGAAACGTCTAAACAGAATTCAAAGAACGAAGTGAAATTTGTAAATACAGGATCAAAAATAAATGCCCTAAGTGTAAAATTACAGTTTCAACCGAAAATCGAACAATTTAATACTAACAATAACGTGTCCTCGAAGAAAACTGTAAAAGATAAAAAACTTACAGCGCAATCGTCTAAAAAAGCAGATTCAAAAACCAGTGAAAGTACGAAATCTACAGAAGCAAAAAGTTCTGTCGATGCTTCAAAGGCACAGGTTACGACAAATAATTGTGGAGTTGCAATAAATAAATCGGTAGTTCCGTACTCGACAAAAACGACACCGCAAAAAGGAAGTTCGGAGTCCCAGGAAAGCAGAGATTCCGATTTGTCGATGCATTTAACCAGCACCTCGGTTTGTTCTCAAGCGAACGAAACAGATTCCAATATAAGAAAAGCGCAACAGATCGACCAAGATAAAAAGGAAAATTCCTCGCAGAAAACAAATGGACAAACGAACACAGTTTCCCAAAAATCGTTGTACATGCAAATTGAATCGTTGACAAACGAGAACTTCGCGTCTTCGAATCTTTCTACATCTATGTCTGTAACTGTTGGCAATGGTATAAGTTCAGCCTCCACGTCGACGATAAATCAATCGATGTGTACGTTTCCTTACATGGTTCAAGATTTAGTGAACAGTACGATGTTGAAAAATTCCCTGAAGAATTTAACATCGCCCGGTCAAAAGTTATCTGTATCCACGTCCTCGGAAAATGAAATAGTCACGTGTACGATAGCGGATAACAATGTAACATTTAGTATGCCTTCTGCAAACGTTTCATCTTCGTCGAAAAACAATTATTCAAATTCAGTGATGACCGCTACAAAGGAGTCAGCGTTGAAGGGAAATTTAGAAATAACCGGTACGTATTCGGTACCTCCTTGTCCCGATGCCATTCCAATTTCTTTAATGAAACCAACTGTCCGTAAAAACGAGCTGATAACGAAAGGTCTGAATCTGAATGAAATATGCGCGAAAATCGGAGCGTCCGGTTCGAAGATCGACGACATTTGCGCTAAAATCGGCGAGAATTCGAAGGAAAAGAACAAGATAGAAGTGAGAAGCAAATCTGAGATACCGGATTTGTTGAAAATCGGAAGGAAGAATAGCTCGCAGTCGGTGATGATCGATTCCTCTGGTAAACAACATCCAAATATATCAAGTGTATCAGTTTACGCTCCGAATAGTAACCCAGTTACGGTGGAAAGTAAGAATGTTTATGTAAACGTGAAGGATAGTCTCCGAGCTACATCGTTGGTATCTAGTTCCCCGACAGTAACGTCACACTCTTTACAGAAGGTTCCTTCTTCCGTATCCAAGAAGCTAAGTCAAGCGGTGGGATACAAAACGCTTCGCGATCCTCCTAGATGCTGGAATCCAACGCTTTCCAAGAACAACTACGTGGCGGTTAAAAATCAAAACAAAGAGGCACAGAATCAGTTGCATCAAACGGCACTTTTCGAAAGAAGTAAAACGATTCAATCGAAGCCAGCGAAGATCTTCAAGATGAGAAACATGCCGAGATACTTAGGTAATCCTGCGTCTGGAGTGAAACCAATGTACGGGATCAGCAACGAATGTAAAGATAAAGAGCAATCAGCGATAACACCAACGACCACGACGAGTGCATCGAACGCTTCGAAGAATGGAAATTTAAGTATGATGAAGATAGATCCTAAAACACTATCTCCGATCGTTTCTACGGTTAATTCACCCATCGTATCGCCACCTCCGTATTCTCCTAGCGCAAGAAGTTACCCGAATCCTCCGTTCTCAAGAGATATTTGTAGAAGTACCGGTTCGCCGATATCTCCGAAAAATTCACCGGTAAATATGCTTTCAACGAGCCCTTTTATACCTTCACCAACGCCGAACATAAATCCACGATTAATATATCCTCATTTTCCACCGCCATTTCCAGATGCCAGCAGGTTTCCAAATCCGTTGATACGTTCACCGATAGGAATTCCATCTCCCAGTGCCTTCCATAGTAGCTTACCACCTTCGATTAATAAGTTGTATCAACGATCCAATTATATCCCTCAAACGACTGGTTTCTCTCCGGTATCGCAACCGCCGACAGTCCAGAGAATACCACCGAGCACTTACTCTTCACCCAAGTCGCCTAAAACTACCTCTTTAACAGCAATGTCGCCCACATCGTACGGTTTGGTCAAGCCAGAAACTCAAACCGTAGGAACGTCACTTGAAACTAATAATCTGATTCTTCCGAAGAGCACGTCACAGGAAGATGTCAGTGCATTTAATTTGTCTAAGACTGGAAGCTTCTGTAACGCGGAAACGGTTAAGACATCGACGGAAGTTGTACGAAATAATTCTAAATCGACCACCCTTTGTTCAACATCGAACGTTGGACAGGGTAAACGTTCACCGACCGTACAAGTTACTTCAAAGACTAAGTTGGATGCTTGTTCGCCGTGTACAGTTGTTCAGGAACAGAATAAAGAACAGCCGGATAAGGAAGCCGCGAAATGCAAAGAAGACAGTTCGTATACTTGTAAAGAACAAAATTTGGAAAAGAAACAGTCCGATGAAAATAGTGATAGTGTAAATAATAAAAAGAAAGAGAAGTTAGTTTTTCAGATTAACGGAGATATCAGCAACGAGGGTAAACAGGATGCATCGGTAGAGAAATTAACGGAACAACAAAAAGAACAAAACGATACGAAAATTGTACCAACTTCGGATAAGACTACCGCGAAACAGCAAATAGACGAATCGAAAAGTGAAGAATGCGAAAGAAACGAGGAACAAGGGAAGAAGTCTGAAAGCCAAGTCAACAAAATGGAAACGTAATTTATGAATTGATAAAGTCATTTAACTTGTATATTTCTGTATATATAACCGAAGCTTTTGGTTATTGTTATATTCTATTGTAGCCAGGAGATTTTATTAAGCTTCAGCTTTTTATATTTCACGATTTTGATAACTTTTTCCGTAATAGTTTTGATCCAAATTTAACAGAATATATAATATATATATATTGCAATTTTAATTATTACGATTTTTAACTCGCAGACAAATATATTAAGAAAATAATATTGTGATTAATGTATTGCTAATATCAAAATCTTATATTGCGATTAAAAATCGTATTAATTAAAAATATAACACATGCTTGACTCGAATGAATTAAGGAAAGGAAAATAGATATATTTAACGTAAAAACACATCAACACTATACAAAGATTATGTAGGAAAAATGAATCGTAATTATTTATGCAATATTTGACAAGTTTTTATAATTTTATCAGATCTGTTAGTTTACAGTATTTGTAATACTTTTGAACAAATTTCATTGCTTATTTGTTGATGCACCTTCGACAACTGGATATGTAACCAAAGCCTCGAGAATTACTCTAATCTTCCAGATAGTTTTAGCTACACGAGTATATACCTTCTTTATAATCTGCATACCTTCTTTATGAAAAAAAAAATGCAACTATATTAAAATATCCGAGGCCTTATCACAGTAATCGTATATAAATATATATATATATATATAAAAATAATATTAAGAAAATTGAGCAAGAGAATATCATTGTTAAATGATTTAGAAAAAGAAAAGGATAAAAAAGTATTACACTGCGAGTGATTTCTCTCTTTCCAGCTTAATTAACATTATCAATGTGTCGTTTTGCACCGAATTACTAAAAACAGCACATATGGATAAGGAATCCACTATTAATTTTGCTAAGTGCCGGAAAGAAAGAAAAAGTTAATATATATATATATATATGAAGAAATTTTTAATAATGGACGATCGTGTTTTTTTTTTTTTTTTTTTTTAGATATGTTTACTTGTAAATAGTGTATAATGATTCGAAAAAAAGATCTATATCACGTATTAGATATAAAAAATTATCGATTATTAATGTAATTTAACATGCATATTTTTAGGATTTAAGAACATGTAACGATAGTATTTTTTGTCTAATACGGGAAAGCAATTTTTAGAAAGATGCCTGATTGTAGAGCAAAAAACGACGTATTTTTAATAAGTTATTAGTTGTATGCGCGCGCGACTCTTTTGTATACAAGGTGTACCTGAGTGAGTGAGCGAGTGAAAAAGATAAAAAAACCAATGCGTGTGTATAATTTTTTTGTATAAAGAAAATTTCAGTATATCCCGTTTGAATTGATACAGTTCAAACGAAGTTTTCGAGATTTGTTTTTTTATTTATAGAAACGTTGATCGTCGTTTGTTTGAAAATTTATGTATGTATTTTGCGAATTGTCTATGTATGCGTGCGCATACGCTCTCACACGCGCGCGCGTTATTATTAATACAGTAATAACACTACGTGAAGTAGAGAATGTTCTTTTAACTATAAAAATATAGTTGATTATACTTTACAGAGTCTGTTATTCGTATACAATTTTACCATTACACTTATACGTACAAATTGAATTTATTATTAAATAAGTATTATAATGATTCATTTATACAAGAATACATGTATAATATCATAAGTTGTTAACAATTATTTCTATAGATTGCATAACAGAAAAAAGAAAAGTAAGAAAATTTTCAAATATTGTACATGTCTTGTACCCATATGAAATTAGATCCATAACTTGAATGTATAACTAAACATTAGTCAGTTTTTCTGAGTATCTGATGGCATCCTTAAGTTTGAACACTAGTTCTTGTAACTGTTGTATCGTACACGAAAATGTTACATGATTCATTGTTTCCCCTTCTTTAGTACTAAATCGTACATGATACAGAGGAACACCCAGGGAATTGCATGTGTCCAACTAAAAAGAATTTTTTGTGAATACGAATGAATAAAGCATCTGTGAATGAAACGATCGGTATCCTGTTCACCGGTCGATTACCTTAACGCAATAATCTAAATGCCAGTCTACATCAACAATATGTGGTGGGTTATTGCCTATTGATTCTAATTGACACTGTATCATTGTTTTGTTATTAACGTATCTTTCGCATAATTTTTTAATCCTCTGTTCGTCGCTAGATATTTGACATAGAAAAGTTTTTAAGTTTTCCTCGTCCAAATCATGCCGAGCAGCTTCTATAAACAAACATGCCGCGTCAGCGACAATCTTCTTTGTTAAAATTGGTTTTAAATTTGCTGCTTTGACAGTACCTACAATGCAAATATTTCAATTACTTAATCGCTACTTATATCTAATAACTACAAGTTTCAATAATACTCACATCTTATTTCTGCTGGACTTTCAGATATGTAAGAAATAGCTGTATCTAAAATTTGCTGAAAATTATCATCTGTAACAGTATTTGTGTTTAGAATATCGTTAAGTCCATCAATGGTGTTTTTTGACAGCTCCATTATTATTCGTACCACTTACGCTTAAATTTACCTAATGAAATGTTAAATTCCAAGTAAAAATTGTTGATACTTTGACAATGTGGAATTCAAAACAAGTAACAAGGAGAGGTTATCTATCATACGGCATCCATTCATGATCCATTTATGATCCATTCCCGGTCCATTCGGATTTCGTTTGAAAGAGTTATCATCCGTTCTGCACATGCGGAGTGGCTCGGCGTCCCTCTAGGAAAAATAGCAGAGGGGTATGATACCTCGAGCTTATGTTGGTACATATTGTAGGGTCAATAATAAATACCTACCTTCAAATCATAATACCGAATTGCGGCGTTGATAGATGACGAATGAAATTCAAATGACTTGAAATTAAAAAAAGTTATAGAAGCTAATAAATTTAATTCGCTAATTACCATTTTTATTGCGTCTTTCCCAAAAGAAGTAATCAGTATGTTATTGTCATGTTAACTCAATGAATAAAAGTACTTGTATATTTATTTATTATTTCTGTTTAGTCAATTGGGTTGAAATAGTGATTTTAAATATTCAAATATAATAGAATTTATTTTATATGTAATTTTCCTTATTTTTATATAATATAACAACTTCACTTTTTGTATTGGATGTTTTTAATGATTTTGATTATTTTCCAGGGAATCATAATCAGTTTGAGAGAAAAAATTATTTGGATAAACATGTTAGAGGAAGGATTTACTACTATTATTCTACACACTTTGTCTACAATGTTATTTTTCTTATTTACAATAAATTTGTTTCGATACCTTATAGGGGAGCCTCGTATTCATATTAGAGATGTTACCAAACAGCACAGTTGGAAATCTATTGGTAGAGGAGAAACAAAGGTATTTGTGAATTACACAAGCAATTGTATAAAAATTACATGAATTTTTTTTACAGTCATATTATTGCAATATTTGTGAAAGTTTGCTATTAAATATTAATGGCTTGATCTGCGATTCATGCGGCGTATGCGCTGATCCTACATGTGTCAAGATTGCGGATAAACAATTAAAGTGTAAAGTTATTACTCTAAGTACAGATAAACCAATGAAACATCATTGGATAAAGGGTATGTTGTATCTTTTATACTACACAAAATATTTGATATCCAAATGTCTATTTTATTTTTTGAATTTTATTTTTTAGAGTTTAAGTTTTAAGAATTATATGAATTATAGCTAATTTCTATTCGTTTCACGCAAGGTAATTTACCTCTGATTGCAATATGTCAAGTATGTAACGAGGAGTGTGACTTGGAACCTGGTTTAACAGATTGGTGGTGTTGCTGGTGTCAAAGATGTGTTCACGACACTTGCAAAGCTAATCTTTCTGAAGTATAAATTATATGTATATATTTTACGCGTCTATGTAATATCTAGTTGTTACGCGGTAATTTTCTTTTCAGATATGTGATTTTGGTAGATTTAAATTAATGGTAATACCGCCGAGCAGTTTGGAAGTGACCAATCTACGAAGTACTGTTAGACGTAAATTACGTATTCGCTCGGTTAAACCACCAAATTGGCCTCATTGGAGACCTCTTATAGTTGTTGGTAAGTTAATATATATTGTAAGATTAACATAAGAATAATAAACTTTAAAATTTTTCTTTTAGCAAATAAAAAGTCTGGAAACAATGATGGGGCGGAAATTTTATCTTTGTTCAGAAGATTGATAAATCCTGCTCAGGTTGTTGATTTATCAGAACGCGATCCGGTCGCTATTCTCGAGTGGTGTCGTTTACTTGGAAAAGTATCGTGTACTATTCTTGTAGCAGGTGGAGATGGAACAATAGCTTGGTTTTTAACTTCTATTCATAAACTCGGATTAGAGGTAAAAAAGATATATTTTTTTTAATTGCATTCATCTAATGTAAATGCTTTTATTTGGAATAGCCAGTTCCATCTGTGGCAGTAATTCCTCTGGGAACAGGAAATGATTTATCAAGAGTATTAGGATGGGGAAAAGAACACGATCCGAACAAGGACCCTGCGGAGATCCTACAGGAATTACAGGCAGCAAAACAAGTGGAGCTAGATAGGTAGTCAAAAAAAATCTGCATTATTATTCAATAAATTAAATTCATTCTAATATTTCATTAGGTGGACTGTGACAGTGAAACCATATGGTGGATTGGGACTGAGAAATTCCCTTCAAACATTCTACATGTACAACTACATAAGTGTAGGGGTTGATGCACAAGTAACGTTAAATTTTCATCGTACAAGAGAAAGCCGTTTCTATTTTTATAGCAGTAGATTGTTCAATAAGGTAATATATCTGATTTGATATATATTTAAAAATACTATAAAAGAATGTATGTCATACTTTTCACAGCTATTGTACTTGTGTTTTGGTACTCAACAAGTAGTGGAAAGAGAATGTAAGGATCTTGATAAAACTATAGAAATATATCTGGATGGGAAGAAAATAGAATTGCCTTCTATTGAAAGTATCGTAATATTAAATATTCCGTCATGGGCTGCTGGTGTTAACCTTTGGAACATAGGATTAGAAGGTATCAGATGTACAGTACCGAGCACGGTAGGCTTCCTCAAGGAAAATTATTGTGTCCTGATCTTCCCCTCTCCCGAATTTAAATTAATATTTTGTGTTATTATTTTGTCTCTAATTCACTTTTTAATATCAAACAGGTCACGAAGAATATGGAGTACAAAGTATTAACGATGGAAAGCTAGAAGTAGTTGCTCTTTACTCTTCCTTTCATATGGCTCAACTTCAGGTAGGGCTTTCTCAGCCTTATCGACTTGGACAAGCGAGTTCCATAAAGGTATTTGAAATTTTATCTAATAAGATTAAGCTTTCGAAAAGTACGTTAAGCGAACATTTTATACGATACAGGTAAAATTACTAAAGTCTTGTGCTATGCAAATTGATGGTGAACCATGGTTTCAACATCCTTGCGAATTTAACATTACATATTGCAACAAAGCACTTATGTTGATGAATACACTGAACAGGGATACTTAAATTATTTATTACAAGAATTTGATTATGTACATTCCAGTGTTTGGCTTAGGATAAATAAAAATTTGTTATGTTTTATGAATAGAAAGATATTATACTAATATGCCAAGGATGAAAGATAAAAAAATGTTATCTTAGTGACTAAAATATTTAGTGTAATTGTAAGTAAATGGAAAATAATTTATTAATTTATTCTTATTATATCTTTTTGTATTGATGTATGGAAATATATATCGTTACGTACATTGCCTTTATTATTTTATTATTCGAAGGAAAGGATTTTATTAAATATTTTTTGGTAAAAAAATCGACGATTGTATAAAGTGTTTTTAAAATTATTACGTACTTGAAGTTGGTCGAATAATTAATAATAATTATCCAAAAACCATTTTCAAAGTTTGCAGGACACATGTTAATAAATTTTCTAGTTATGACAGAACGACAAATAAATTTTCTTCTTATATTAATAACAGTTTGGTTGATGCATGAAACATCTCGAATCATGAACAATATGAAGTGAATTTCTTGTACTTGAAGAAGCTTTTAATATTAAAAATTTCTTAAATATTAAATACTAACGTATCGTAAAATCAATGGAGCTATAATAAATATATCTCGCTAAGATAAAAAAATAACAAGGTAAGACAATAGAAACTCAGAAAGATTCTTTCTTAAATTTAAAACCAAATTGATCACATTTGTAACGTAAAATTTTTGCTAGTTGCGGTGGACCACAATAGAACACCGTCACCTTCCCTCTTTTCCTGTCTTGGAGCTGTTTGAACACCTTATCCCAATTTGGTCGTCCAGCGTTTGTTCTTGTTTTCAAGCCTGTTATAAGATCTCGTTTTTCCTGAGAACACAATCAATCGTTTAAGGTAAAGCCTACATGTTTATTATTAGATACTTGATATGATTTTCTTTCATTTAATTAGCATTATTTTTAATATGAATTAATTTTCCTTAAAAGCGCATACCATTTGATGAACCAAGTCCATAGCTAGTTGCAAACTGACTGCTTTCATATCATGTTTTTGAAGAGCACTGGTGATGTACATGTGCATCTCTAGGAAACGTTCCATGGTATCGCCAAGTTCAGCTTGCTCCATTTCCAATTGAGATAGTAAGTTCACAAACCATTCGAACGATCTCTGATCTCTATTGATCCAGAAAAAGTCCACCTATAAAAAGATTCAATTAAATTTCAATAAGATAAGATGGAAAGGCACAATAATTAAATGATATTCGCCTTTCGAAGATGCATCACAGTAGGAGGGATTTCACTGGCCCAAGAAAATTTGCATTTTGGACAACTGTGCCTGGCTTTCCAGTAACGATGCATAATGGATTGCAATATAGATGCAAAAGGCGTCACTCCGATTCCTGTTGCAATTAAAACCGCGTGTTGCGCTTGGAATATGTGGCTGGAGGGTGCTCCATATGGACCATCCAAGAAAATCTAAACAATGATCAGTTGAATTATGCAGAAGATTAAATTAAAAAATGTAATGAAAGACATTAGTATTTCTACCTCCAATGGTTTTCCTATGGCATAATTAGAGTCTACCTCGGAAGAGCTATCATTCGTGTTTCTTTTTGAGAATTCTTCAAACTTTGTGCGAAATTTCCCTTCCTCTGCTGCCACTTGCATAGCGATTATATTGGATGACAATCTATTGCATTCGTTTGTACTTGTTTGTGACACAGCTATTTGACGGAAGTTTATTATATTAACGTATGTAGAACTTTTAAGTCCCTGGTTCACTGTGCATCATGTACTCACCATTTTTATCCGCAGGTGTTCCCACTTCATAATCGTAATTTTCCAAACTCGGAGTTTTGAAAGCAATTATCGTGGGCTTGGTTCTCATGTATCGAAAGCTTCGCGCCAACCCTTTGTTCTGTGGACTGGAATAAGCTTGATCCGAAGATTTCATACGGGCATATCGTATTTGACGTTCGTCGAAGCTTCTTTCTGATTCGGATCTCATATAATCACGAAGTCTGCCAGATTGAAAAAGATTATTGATACTGAAAATATGTAGCACGTTTCAGAAAATGCAAACTTCTTACGCTATCAATCTTTCCTTCTTCATGCTTCCTGTTTGCATGTTTGGTACCGAGACGGACTTTTCTAAAGGTAATTTGGAACCGACTATTAAACGATGAAGCCTCGGTTCTCCTGAACGTTTCTCTATATCTGTGGCACCTGCAAAACAGAAGAAAGTCTGTGAAATTTAACTACAATTAATTTATTGAGATAAATTACCAATTGCTGAGTGTGGTGATTGGATTATCTTCTCATTGTCTGAAGCAAAGATAGGATTGTCGAAACAGCGACGATTTCCTGTTAACGAGTTAGCTGAAACCACTTTTTTATTCGAGCTCAGACTTTGTTTTTCGCTGAAAAATCTGTATAGAAGAAGAACATCATGAATCTTTAAAGTATGACTGAGGAAAGAGACTAATTAAACTTAAAAATGATATTTAAATGTAAATGCTTACACCTTATCAGAGCTATTAGAATTACTACATCCTTCGATTGGAAACATGTTCTCTCGTTGAAGTTTTATTTGTTCTCTCTCAAAATATGAGTAGAGACTGTTGGTCCATTCTCCTACTGCTCGAATATGAAGCCATATGTAATCTGAAAAAAGAAGAGATGTTTTGAGTGGAGCTGGCCATTGGAAGTTTCAGGCCTAATTAATTAAATTTATTAAAATCCCAGACCTGCATGTTCTGGAGCACTGCTGATGGTGAAAGGATGCCATTCGTAACGAGCTATCACAGGGATATTTACAAACACGTAATCACCCGGATGAAAGTCGAAATGAGGAGGTCTTTTAATTACCAGATGGGTCACTTTCGACGGTAGCAAAAGACCTGAGCTTATGTATGTTTTTCCAAGTTCAGAACGCGACCAGGCAATTCTTTGGGTTCTTTCCAAAAGGTATATGGTACCTGGTCCCACGAACCATTTCCAGAAATTTGGTCCGTGTAATATCAGCAACACCCAGAATGGTATATACAGCAGGTGTGACCAGTAAAATATCTATAAAGTATGAGAGAAATGAATTAATATATTAATTCAAAGTGTGAATGTTATAGAGTCGTTTTCACCTCGAAACATCCTCCTCGACGAACGAATCTCATCGAGCATATCGTCATTATGGCAAGAATAAAAACGAGAATTACTCCAGTTGGATTTGCATAGCCATTCACCAGACCGAACATGCCTGGATGATCAGTCAACAACCATTCGGACATGGTATAATTATCATGATTAAGAATATCATCGTGTATCACTACCGTACCTGAAAAGATTCTAAGATACACTTGAATTCTTTTATTTCAAAATTGAGCAGCATACCAAAATTCAGAAGATGCATCAAAGTGTGTACTGCGCTGAAAACACCGATTAGAACTCCAGTCATCTTATGAAGATAAATATGTTGATCCAAAGGCAGTACAGAATTGAATCCATGGGTTCTTAAGAAGGTAATGCATTGTCGTAACATGAGAACCAAGATGAAGCTGCAGTTGAAATTTAAACACTGTCCTGCATTAAAAGGTTTATTATGATTTTAGTTTTTAATACCTAAAATTATTTAGAAATTTAACTACACTTCAACCAGGATATTTTAATTTCTTTTATTATAGAGAATTCATAGTTTTAATAGTGTATATCTTTTTTAGATATTACAGAAGTTGAATACCCAACGTTCAACTTACCACAGGCTCGAGCAAACATGATATACCCATTGGATCGTCGATATTGGTAAAGTCTCGACGCGAATAAAGCTATATTGATGGAAATGAAGATTGAAATAAATGCAATATAGACGTAATTATTCTTCATATACGGTTTTGTTAATTGATACGGTCGTAACGATGCAAATAACTCCAAGCCTGTCTTCTTCTTCGATTTTGGTTTCGGTGGCACTAACCATCGGTCGATACTGCAATTTAAATTCTCTTTTAATGGTTTTCTTCATATATAATTTGAAGATGATAGTTCATGTACCTGATGGATAGATTTTCTAACAAGCCTTTATGTTTTTCTAATTGATTTTTCAGAGCTTCAAACGTGATGGCTCCTCTGTTAGCTTGATCAGCATCTTCAAATAATGCTATAGTTAATTCTTCAATTTGTTCTTCGCTGAATTGAATTCCATTCTCTTCCATACATGCTCTCATTACGTGTTCCAGTTCACGAAGTTGTATTAATCCATCACCTTTTTAGAAAATAATACATTTTTTATGAGGACTTCTATGAGTAACCATTCATTTCTAATTTTTTTTTTCACATTCCTTCGTACCATCAATATCATAAACTTTGAAAAGGAATTTGATTTTGTCATCAGGACTCTTTCCCGCAAATTGATTCATCGCGTCGAGAAATTCCTGTAAGGATATGGTTCCGGAATTGTCCTTGTCGAATATTTGGAACACTCTGTCAGTGAAGAATGGCTGAAAATGTAAGTAAGTGTGTCAGTTAAACAATTAATCGTCTTCCATCATTTTTTTTTTCTCTTTTTTTCAGATCAAATATTAAGAAGAAAGTAAATTGAATAAAAATTGAAAATGTTAAACTGCAAATTCCAAATGAAGAATACTTATGCCTCCTGCCTACGTTCTTCGAAGTGACGATTTTGTTAAATTCTTCGCGCCTTATTTCTTTCTCATTGCCCACTGTCTGTTTGAAAATCTTTTCCAGCCATTCTAAACTTTGCTTATCGAAACCAGCTCGTGGCCTTTAACATTTGAATGATATATTATTTAGGAAGATTTGCAATTAAAAAATAAGAAATAAATACCTTGCATCGCTGATGCTGGAAATAAATTCCATTATCTGAGAGGATGTCACGTATCCTACATTTTCTTCATCAATTAGTCGGTACAATTTATCAACGATCTGTAACATAGGGATCCTAACGAAGAAGAGGTCGAGTACAAAATTCATAATTTTGTACGATTTCGCGTGATCGATCGTCAACGCTTGGTGTATCATAGAAAAATTTGTAGAGTATTGAAACATTAAAAGCTTACCTCTTTAGTTGAGAATATTTGTTGAAATTTCATTAGGCTTATCGGATTGTCATCGCATAAGCTAAACGCAACGCTTTCTATGTGGCTAATGAAATCAATGTGCTTTTCATTCCTACAAAAATACCATATACAAACTCTGTGGCTTGTTAAAGTGTAAGTTCAATAATATATTTATATTTACAGTAAAATTAAATGTAGTAAATCTTACGTAAATCTTCCTTTCAGAAATTCGATCCATTCATCTTGGGTCAATAACATATCCTGATTCCGGTCGAAAAGCGAGAATAATTTTCCCAACAACGTCTGAAATTTATTTTTTGATTTACAATTTATTTTTTTTTTCTGGTGGTAAACTTTAGCCAGAAACATATGTGTAAGGTGGTAAAAAAAGATTTGCAAATTCACGATTGTTATCTTATACATGTGTTACAGACTAACAATAAGTTTAAAGTAAAATCATTATTTCATACTTTTTCAAAATGACCTAAACTGCTTTAGGTAAAATACTATGCATATTTTGCCTGTAACATATGCACATAAAAAACATAATTTTCAAAACAGTTTGGAGTTAAATAGTGCAATGTAAACGTTAGTTTATTTTAGCAACAGATGATTTATAGTTCCATTTCAGAATCTCCTGTTTGTAGCATGTTTCTATAAATAGAAAGTTAATTGTCTTTTCTCTTTACTGTTGACACTTGGTACATTTTTTGCCTGTAACAGATGTGTCCTCAGTAAATGGAAGGTTTCATTTTAAGGTTTTTAATATAAACTGAAGAACAGATGATCTGCAGATTGCTGTACCACATGGTTTCTCATAACAAACATGCAAATTTGGAACATGTCGGTGTGTATGATATCCCGAGCTGTTTTTATTCATAAAATAATTATCCATAAATATTTTTATCAAATTTTTATTTTTTAAGGAAAAAAAGTCCATTTCTGTGAAACGAAGCTCTCGACCACGTAGATCTACCCTCTTAGCCATATGAAATTTTCTAGCTACAGTAATCAACGGTGGACTATGGTAACTATCCCTTAGGAATAAACGTAACAATCACGGTGATGTGTCAATAATCATGAATAATGTAATGATTAGGTGGATTCTGGGCTAAAATGGCCACGACCAACTATCAAATACGCCCGAGGCGTGAAGGCTTGTTTGACCCGAGGCGATCGGCCACCTTGATCGAAATCTTTGGCCCTCGATCGAGAGATCCCGTTGCCATTTTCTTTTCATCCCGTATTATGTTGTCTCCGTTGGGTATCCTTTTCCCTTGAGCGAACAGATTCCACGCTGTTAAGTCATTCTTTGCATCTCTTACCTTGCTGTGTATTTACTTTTAATGGAAACGCGACCTTGACTTATTTCTTATCCTTCAGTTTTTTTTTGTTTTTTTTTTTTCAAATTTCTTGGAAATAGCATCAGTATACTATTGGAATTATTAAATAATATTTTGTATTGAAAAGCTTAAGTTTATGGACCAAAGATGACTCGGTATTAATCTGTTGTGTAAGAGGAGGAATCACCTGCTGTTTGTCTTTAGTTTTGGAAGGATTTTGAGAAAAATGAAGGGGAGACAAGGGAAAACTACGTTGTATTAAAAGAAAATCACTCTCAGTAGTTAAAAAATTCAATTTAATTTTCTTTACTCACTTGATCTAATAAAAGTTGCCTGAACGTCTCTCTATTATAACGAGCCACTCCATTCACCCCAATGATATGAGAACATTCTTCCAAAATTCGGATTCTTCTTCTATCCACCAAATATTCGTCTTCCACACGAATAACTTCATCTTCCATGTTTCCAGTCACTGTCTTCATTAAGGCAGCAATCAATTTCTCACTTCCAAACAAATTTAATCACTGTACACATCAATGTTTATTTACTGTTGCTACTGAGCTATTCCAAAATGAAATTTAAATTCTCCCAAGTCGCATCATTTCAATCCTCAAACATCAATTAAAATGAAAATGAAATTTAAATTCTCACAAGATCCTTCCACTAAATATTCAATATTTTCGAATAATTAACATTTCATTAAGAATTGTATAGCTTTGTTTGAAGAAATATTATTATTATTTCAGATGAAAGGAGATAGTGTCGTTCAGAATTAACCAGAGAAGTGGATCGAGCGAGAGTCGGTATATAACTAACGAAAATCATCGATTCGAATCATGAGACCCGCTTGTCTTCAGTTAATCTATTCCGGTAAGAATTTTCAGAAGTACGACGTGCCAAGGAGAGGGATGCCTTTCGATTTCAATAAAGATCTGCCGTTCGAACCGGGATACGGACAGATGTACATACAAACAGACAACCTTTCACTTCTTCATGAGTCATTGGTTTCTTTTTTTAATTTTATTTTTCGTCCCTTTCATTTCTTTTCCATTCGACAACTGCCTTCTTCTTTTTCGTACTGTTTAATGTGCTCCCTTTTCTTCATTCGAAAGGTACCTACCTTAAATCAAGGTTTCTACCTACAATTAAAAAAAAAAAAAGAAAACAGCAGAAGAAAATATTGTAACAGTGGCTACGTTTTGTATTATTAAAATAAAATTACTTTTAGGAACTTCCAGACGAAAGAGCATAAGATTTATTAAAAGACATAAAAATGGAGATATTTAAAAAGTTCGGCGATTTCAGATACGAAACTTGATTTTCAGGTTTCGATATATTAACTAGAAATTTCTCTTCTATCCATGTATTACAGTTATTAGCAGATACACAGTTAGAATGTTTAGAAACAGGAATCGTTTAAACGATCAGAATTTATTTTACAATATTTAAACAATTTTGTATTCAGAATGAGCTATGCAAGAATTTCATAGGAAAAAATTTTGTCGGAATTATGTATCTTGCTATATACCAATCGAAGCGTATTTTAATCCTCTACAAAAAAGTATTAAGGTACTTGGGTCGGAAATTGATCGGTTCGAAAGATATCTTAAGGAGAGACAGGGAGAGCCTGATGGTCTCTCCCTAAGATATCTTTTGAACCGATGAATTTTCCACCCAGGTACTATAATACTTTCTTATAGAGAATAAAAATACGCTTCGTTTGATGTATAACAAAGCACAATTCCTTAAAAAAAAAAAAAAAAGTTGACCTTGAAGTCTTTGGTACCCTTCCACTTCCGGTACCGAGAAACGCATTACTTGGTGCTCCATTTCATTTCTCTTAATGACATCTTTTTCTATTTTACTCTAGACTGGGAACAGTCTGAGTTTCTCCCTAAGATATCTTTTAATCTTATAATGGTAGACAGTTTGAAAGTAGTCAGAATCTAATAAACATCTAAATGTAACATATTATGCAAGCTAGAGTCACTGTGACAATTTTTCTTCTTAAAACTACGTGAAAGTCATTTACACAAGACTACTTGTTTTGCAGGTAACATTTACCAGGGCATAAATCCGGTGGAACAGGAAATTAGTACTATCAGGTACCAGGTACGATGATAATAAGAAGAAAAGAGTTTTTGGAATTAAAGTACAATGATGGAAATTGGGAAATTGTCAAATGAAATAATTTTATTTTATGTTTCAGATATATAAATATTTTATTTACGCAGCCACGGCCGTGATTTTAAATAAAATAAATTATTTACTGTTTTAGTTAGTATCGGGATTTCCCTCTTTGGTCGCCGCTTCGATCCATAGAGCCGGATGCGCGTGCGCTTTCAATTCTTCCGGTTCTACACCTGCGCCCTTTCAGTATCATTCACCTTCACCTCCTGTTTCGTACTTGCTCGTTGTTCTTCTCTAATCAGATTTTATTCTCTAATCAGGTATAAGCTTTTGTAAAAATTTAATCCAAATCGGGGGTGACCATTTTTCGGAAGTCCATCCGAAGATAATACACCGCAATTTTTCATTGCAGATGTTGTCAAGCAACTTTGAATATGTTTGCATGAAAATTTTCCTCGTTCTCTCTACATTAACCGTGAAAAATTGCTACAGTGTGCCATGTACATTCAACACGATGTGCATGTGTTGGGTACAGGACAACGAAGATTTTACAAAAATGGACATCTCTTGTATGGGAATACCATTTGCCAAGTTTCCAGGTATATATGGTCATACAACAACAACATGCAGGGTGTCCCTTGTGACTGGGTTGTAGCTCTAAAAAGGTATAAGATAGAAGAAAAAATGAAATGGTGTCGAATGAAGCACCATGTGATGCGTGTGTCGGCACCGGAAGTGGAGGGGTACCAAAGACTTCAAGGTCAACTTTTTTTTTTTTTAAAGGAATTGTACTTTGTTATATATCAATCGAAGCGTATTTTTATTCTCTATAAGAAAGTATTATAGTACTTGGGTGAAAAATTCATCGGTTCAAAAGATATCTTAGGGAGAGACCATCAGGCTCTCCCTGTCTCTCCCTAAGATATCTTTCGAACCGATGAATTTTCGACCCATGTACCTTAACACTTTTTTATAGAGGATAAAAATACGCTTCGATTGGTATATAGCAAGATACAAAATTCCGATAAAATTTTTTCAAATTAAATTCCATATTTTTATTTTCAAGGGATACCATGTATGTACCATTTTAGAAAACTTAGTATAGTTCTTTAAAAATCATTACTATTTTTGCAGACGTTTCTGTAAATTATGTGGCACAATTGGATGTTGTTGGTAGTGGATTGCAAGCAATAGACAATGATGCGCTTACAAGTTCGGTTGGGGTTGAAGCTTTAGGGTTAATGAGCAATAGACTATCTAACATTGGCGACAAATCATTTTCGTAAGTCGGGCTTCAAAGGTTTCCTCGCTTTTCACCTAATGCAACATTTGTACCTATTTATTCTGTGATTAGGCGAATTGCAGATAGCTTACGTACGTTGGATCTCAGTTACAATTCGTTGGAGGATGTACCTTTGAAGGTTTTACGAGATTTGAAGAAATTGAACTGGCTAAACATGCATAGGTAATTAAAAAGAAAATAATAATGATTTCTGAATGACAAAACTAAGGGAAGAAAACTTCATTTTTCAGTAACCACCTAACAACGTTGGATGGTGACTGGGGCCACACAAAAGACACCCTAACGAACGCGTTCTTCGGTGACAATTCAATTATTGAAATACCAAAAGTATTTTCTACATTCGAATCATTAGTCTGGTTGAATCTCGACAACAATAATATTGAAGAGATATCAGAAGACAGTCTACCTCCCAACATGTACACACTTAGCTTGAACAGTAATCTTCTGAAATCCTTTCCATCGTCGTTAAAAACATTAAAATACCTAACATGGTTATATCTAAGAGGCAATGACTTCAAGAATCTCGAGTTGCCTGATTTTCAAAGCTCGAATTTGGAACTGGTGGACGTGAGTGAAAATTGCATCGAATGGATCAGCACATCTGTTCCAAATAATAGAACCTTGAAGATCAAGGAATTCAATTTGGATAGCAATAAATTATCCACCTTACCGGCTGGGATTTTTGATCGTATAGAAACGAGGAGGATCCATTTATCTTCGAATTCCATTAAGAATATCGACGATGAAGCATTTCGTGGATTGGAGGACGTTTTGGAGTACTTGAATTTGGAGACTAATGACCTTCCAAGCGTTCCTGGAGCGGTCAGTCGTTTAAGAAAATTGTCATATTTGTATTTGGCTAGTAATGACATTAAGAATATTTCTGGAGAGGCGTTTCAAGATTTTGCTGAAAATTTGAGAGCACTTTCACTCGCTACGAATAGCTTGGATGCAGTTCCAGTTGCAGCTTTATCCAAGTAGGTTTCATTTCTTTTTATTCTTTAAATATCTTAGATATTGCTTAATTATATTAAACATTTTTCGAAATAGATGCCAGAGGCTATTGCATCTGAACCTCGGTTACAATAAGATCTCTCACATTCAGCCGGGTGATTTCGAGTGGGCAGAGGACCTTGAGATTCTATTGCTTAGGAACAACATTTTAACAAAATTGAAAGGGGAGACCTTCAAAGGAGCAAGTAAGCTCCTTTATCTGTCGATAATTGTGCTTTGAATAACATTCTATCTGGCACTTTCTTTAGAGAGTTTATTGTTACTAGAATAATTTGAAATATCGTTTGCAGGTAAGCTAAAAGAGCTCAGTTTATCGTTTAACCACCTAACAGAGCTGGATGACGATTGTTTCGTGGGTATCGAGGAAAGCCTGGACATTTTGGAGCTGAGTTTCGCATTCGCCACTGATATTTTCCCTCAACGAGCCCTCAGACCTCTTTCAAACTTACTATGGCTGGTCCTAGACAACAATAACTTCCAAACGATCGAAGCAACCGCGTTTTATTCCTTCCAGAAACTACGATACATCAATTTGGAATCGAATCGTCTTCATTATCTACCGGAAAGAATATTTCTATCCGGCGTTCATCCGGAATTGAAGGACGTAAAGCTTGGTTACAATTTCCTCGAAGCGATTCCAGACTTTAGTTTTCATAATCTGACTGAACTGAGGTCTCTGGATTTGACTGGAAATAGAATAAAGCTTCTTACCTCTTGTTCCATTATGGATTGTCCACAATTAGTGACCATATCGTTAGCTTACAACAGAATCACCAAAATGGAGAAGAACGCCCTTTACGGTTTACCGAGTTTACATTTTCTTCATATGGAGTTCAATAAATTGACCGTCCTCGACTTGGATGCCATCGCTGAAATTGGTGGGCCAGATTTTGTTCTCAATGTATCTTACAACGCTATTTCTTTGATAAGCTCTACCGGTTCGACGAATAATTTGACCAGCTTGGACCTGAGCTTTAATAATATCAGTCATTTGCCCGCTGACACGTTTTATGGGACACCAAACTTGAAGAGTTTGGATTTGGAGAGCAATTTTATCGTTGTTCTTGAACCCGGTAGATTCTACAATTTCTTTTTCACTAAAATGAAATGTAAAATAAATTAATAACGTTTCTATTAAAATCTTTCAGGTACGTTTGCTCTGAAATACCTGGAAACATTGAACCTCCGCGACAATAAGGTAGAAAGTCTAAGAAAGCAATCGTTCCATGGTTTGGAGTCATTGCAACAATTAGATTTAAGTGGAAATCAGCTGAGTCAATTATCCACGAAGCAATTTCGCAATCTAAAGAATCTAAGAATCTTGAATTTATCAAGGAACAAGATCAGATCATTGCCTAAAGACGTTTTCGAGGGAACGAAACTGGAGATTCTTGATTTGAGCAGCAATAAATTCACCGTGGTACCCTCGCTATCTTTTCTGGAACTTGGGTACACTCTGAGGGATCTCAATTTGGCAGACAATTTCGTGGATCATTTAGATTCCACCGCTTTTCCAACTTCTCAATTAGTATCATTGAATTTGGCTCATAATAGACTAACTATACTACCGGACAACTCGTTTGTCTCATTAGGAAAGCTTCTAAGTTTGAATGTATCTCAAAATGTCCTTCAGGCGAATTTTAAAGAGCTCTTCCATTACTTACCTGGCTTGAGACAATTATACTTGGCCAGTTGTGGTCTCAAAGATATTCCTCTTCTACCGTTGACCAATTTAAACGTTTTGGATCTGTCGTTTAATTATGTTGATTCGACGTCTGATAAGGAGTTTCAGTATCTAAAAGGGTTAAAGATTCTTTTGTTACTTAATAACTCGTTGACTTCTATGCCAAATGTTAAATTGAATCTGTTGAAGGAACTTGATGTATCCGGAAATCCAATAGAGGTGAGTTTATCTTCATTAAAAATTTTAATTTCAATAATTGAAGCTTCTACACGAGCTTTTTATCTAGGAATTAACAAAAGAAAGTTTCCTGAGCTACCCAAGGCTAGAAAAACTGAACCTGAGGAATCTAGATAAAATAAGGTCCGTGAACAAAGACTGCCTTCGAGTCTTAAAATACCTGAAGCATCTTCGAATTCAAACTTGGCCCGAAGCTGATGGTTTTCACCTTCGTTTCCTGTTAACCGGATTGCCATTGAGAACCGTAGAGATTCAAGTGACAGAACATTTATTGAAACATCAGATACAAAATGTCTTTTCTAAACAGTTGAGAGAGTTGACGATTTCTGGAAATGATCTGGAAATGATCTCCTCGGAAGCATTCTCCACTATCGAAGGTGGTGAATTGATATTGAGAATCAAGGACACTCGAGTAAGAAGATTGCAATCTGATATTTTTCTCTCTTTGACCAAAAGATTGTCACAATTGACTTTGGATTTGAGGAACAATCACATTAACGAGCTTAGTCCTTCTGTCATTTATGGGAATCTTTCGTGGGAAAGCGTTGGGACCAATATGGTTGCTGGTAGGTGAAAATCTTTTTTACAAAGTTTAAAGAAGGAAATGTAAAAAAAATGTATGGATGTTTCAGGAGGATTGCAAGTGTCTGGAAATCCGTTGGAATGCGATTGTGAAATAGCATGGCTCAGTTTGTGGTTGAGAAGATGGCTACGCGAATCCAGGCAAATTCATACAGCATCTCAGTCGGATGCTAGACAATTGAGAACAATAGCTGGGAGAGCTGTTTGCACGGAGACCACTCCGTCTCATTCGTCTGACAAAGTTTTGTTAACTCTAGGAACTCCTCACACTGCCTGCCAGGCTTCCGCCCTTAGCTCTGGCAATTATGAGAGATTAGCTACCACCTGGTTGGCCTTAGTAGATATTATTCTTCTAACTATTGTTGCATATTGAATTCCTCACTTGAAGTCACTCTACTGGCTCTTTATTTGAATAACTGAGACATTACTTCAAACAGGGATTGAAAATTAACATAGGAAAGTAGAATTTCATTGAAGTTATTAAGGCATCTACTAAAATTTTATAAAGACTTAAAATGAAGGAAAGGATTGGAATCATTGGAATGTTTAAAGGGAAGGAATTTTGAGATCTTGAAGGTGGTATACCCCTCTTAAAACTATACCTACTACCGTGAATAATGGGAAATAAAAAGGAGGTACCATTAGACATTGTATTTTTACTTTATAATTAATCTTATTAGATTAAAAGAGAACAGTGAAAGACAGGGATGAATTTCCAAGAAAATATAAGAACAAGAAGTACGAACGATAAATCATGATTTTTTATGTAAAGTTACAAAGTAAAACGAAGAACTACTAGTTAATCGTACGCAGAATATTCTTTCCCTTTGCTATCACACTTAACCACCGGTCGGAAGGAGAAAGGAAATTGTTTCTTTCGTAAAATCTTGTTTCTTTTTATTTACAAAACGTAACCATCATGGTAGTTCGATAGCGTGCATTTTTTTTATACAAATGACAGAGACAGAATAAAAAGAAAGGCGTAAGGATATAAAAAAGAGGAGTTTCAGGAAGGGGAGGATAAGAGGAAGAAAATTTCGTGGAAAGACAAAATTTCACGGCAACGCATTGGTAACAAATTTTCAACTTATTTCTCAACGAATCGTTCAAATTCATTGTCATCGTTTCTCGCGTTTTTTATAGCACAACCGCGTGTGCCGCAGAGAATAATTCTTAAATATCGCGTATCATTTTGTTACACTGGTGGCGCTTGCGTGTGTTGCAGACAACCCTCGACATTTTCTGGCCAATCGCAGACGTTCTCGTTGGGGTTGAATACCAGATTCACTGGACAGGGCATGTGGTGTTTCCTTTCACCCTCGCACATGTAATACATGGTGCAATCGTTTTTATCCTGATGATACGATATGTGATTATCTTCCTCGTCGCAGGTCACTTCATGAGCTGCAACATTTCATTCCATTGTTTCAATACAATTTTCTGTATTTATAAATAATTATAATTTGTTACAACGAGATACTTACGATCTTTGGTGGTATATCTCCCGTTCCTTAGGTTGCTCTCGTAAGGACCATCGTATTCTAGCTTCACTTTGTAATCTTGTAACTCTTTCTTCATTGCTTTGATCAACGGATATTTTCCAGATCCACAGATCCCTTTAAAGTCGTCCATATCCACGGACCAGATCATTATACCACCGAAACCTTCTTCTTTCAGCCATTGCATCTAACATAATTAATCAATACTTATTAATAAAAAAAAATCAAAATTATTAACAATTATTGACACAATGTATACCTTATTTATAAGGCTTCTTTCATCATCGAATCCGACCCATTGGTCCTCTTTGTAAGCAAATGGTACTTGTTGCTCGCTGTCCCATACTAGGGTAGTGTTATCTTCGTTCAGGAAGCCACAGATCTACATGTGTTCGTTTAATAGCATTAGCGGTGTAAACGCGTTGTAACATACTTAAGAGTAAGTTAATCTTGTAAATATACCTCGTAGTAGGAGAGAAATCCGGATTCATTAGTGAAGTTACCAGCTGTACCTCCTCCGGATGCTGGTGCCCCGATATCAAACTTCTCTTTGTCCACTAAGGTGAAAGATCTTCCATACGTTGGCATACCGATCATTAACTTCTCTTTCGGAGCACCCTGCTTCACCCATTCCCTCGCGCTATAATCAACTGTCAATTTTTTCTGATAACTGGTCGCGCTTTCCAAGGGGAACAGAGGGCTGTTGTGACCAACTTGTCTCTCCCATTGGCCATGAAAATCGTACGTCATGACGTTGATGAAATCTAGGTATTTAGATATCTCAGGTACGTCGTATCTAAAATAATTCAAAAATGAGACTAGGAATGTATGAAAGGAAAGAAAGAAAAATTCGAAGCTTACCCAGCAGCAATTGCTTCGAAACTAGCAGGCACAGCCGCTGACAAAATTAATTTTGGTTGATTGGAACTCTTCGCTTCACCCTCGAAAGCCAATCGAAGTTCTTTCAAAAGATTTACATAAGCTGTTCGATCGTCTCCACCTCTGAAGAATTGATTCTCATAAAAATTGTCCTCCGCAGAAAAATTACATTAGGAAAATCGAAAGAAATTACCGAGGATATTCCCAATCAACATCTAGACCATCGAATTTGTATTCTCTCAGGAAATCAATGGCTTCGTACACGAATTGATTCATACGGAAAGTATTGCTGGTTAATTCTTTGAATGGCGTCGATCCGAATGCCCAGCCACCGATTGCCAATAGTATCTATTACATTGTAATTGAAAATTAAAAAATTACAATTTTAATTTCAAGGTAAACAAATTTTCAGGAACATTAACAAAAATGGTACTTTGATATCAGGATTCTTATCGCGAAGAGCAATCAGTCGTCCGTACATCTCCGCGTCTTTATCGCTTTCTTCCACCAGCAAATGGTTCTTCAGGGTCGCGAACGCGTAAACTATGTGGGTGCAGAGAGTAGGATCGATGTCTTCCGGCATGAATTTACCGGCACCTGGCCTTCTGTGCGACCAATTTGTTAAATAACAAAATGATTGGGCTTCCCTTTCTGCGAAGAAGAAAGGAATTCTTGTTTCAAATCGAACGTAGCATAGAATTTCGTGTAAGAGATTAAGTACCATTGGTAGGAGGGCTGATAACAAGTTGAGACGTTTTCTGAACCTTCTTCGCTTTACTGAGAACATCGCTGACGGAGATTTTGTACGGTTCAGGTTTCTTCAAGATATTTTCCGAGACGGTAGAAGCAACAGCGCTCCAATCAACGTCCTTAGCATTGGAACCTCTAGAGATTCCTAGCAATTCTTCTCTCATCGCTCCGATTAAAGGATACCTAACGTTTCCACCGCAAGCGGTGCCGTTGAAATCGTCCATATCAACCGTCCACACCATAGCCCCACCGTATCCCTTGTTCTTCAGCCAGTCCATCTTAATTCGAGTTGATTTCTCGTCGTCGAAACCGACCCACTGATCGTTCAGTACCATATATGGTACCTTCATCTCGTCGTCCCAGATGTAGATCGCGCCATTTTGTAGCATCTCGCAAATCTAGAAAAATATGAAGCTTGGATTCTTGTAACAAGGATCATTCAATCGGTTGATATAAGATAGAAAAATATCCGTTTCAATTTAAATTCCTGTCCTCGAAATGGCACCGTTCGTCAACGATGGCTCGCGTTTCGAGGGAAGCGATTGGCAAATATGTACCTCGTAATAGGCAAGAAAGCCAGATTCCTTGGTGTATTCACCAGCCTTTCCACCGCCGCTAGCAGGTGAATGAACACGGAAATTGGCGGGATTCGAGAGAGTGAAGGATCGTCCGTAGGTTGGCATGCCGATTATTAATTTCTCTTTGGGTGCACCCAAACGGACCCACATCGAAGCTGCGTTGTCTACGCTCAGCTGCTTTTGCCATTCGGAGTCCAACGACGAAGCGTACAGAGGGGCGTTGTGACCCGTTTCTCTTTCCCATTTACCGTGAAAGTCGTACGCCATTAGATTGATGAAGTCCAAGTAACTGAAGTTGACGGACAATTATGAAGAAATGTTAATGTCACGGTTGAAGTATATTATTAAATATCTTGCATTACCTGGCAACAGCTGGGACATCGTATCCACTCTTAACATTATCAGGACCAACTGGCACGGCAGCTGTTAACAAAAGTCTTGGCATTTTCTTCTCTTGAGCCTCGGCTTCGAATGCTTCTCGAAGCTCTGCAAATTTAAGATTATCGATTTTTGATAAAATAAAAGCCAGGGGTGAAGTACTACGATCCAAGTTCCTTTCTTTAAGTTACCTTTCAATAGAAGAACGTAATTCTTCTTGTCGTCACCTCCTTTCGGATATTCCCAATCGATATCGAGACCGTCGAAATTTCTGTCTCTTAAATATGGTATAGCGCTGTAAATGAAGGTTTGTCTTGCGTACCTGGTCGAGGATACGTCTTTGAATTTTTGAGTGCCAAAGGACCAACCACCTAATAATCATACGATTAATCAATTTCAATATATAATTATTATATAGATATATTTTAAAAAAGAATTTACCAATCGCAAGTAAAATTTTTAGAGACGGATTAGCTTTCTTCAGATTTACAATTTTCTCGTATAATCCGATCTTTCCATCTTTAGTTTCATCGTTTGATTCGAAACTGGTCAGTTTGTTCTTTTTCAGCCAACCGAACGCGAAGATAATGTGAGTGCACAGGTCGGGTTGTATATCTTCAGGCATGAATTTTCCAAGTTTCGTCCGGTATTGAGACCAGTTCGTGTAATAGCATACAATCTATAGAAATCGAATCGATATTTATTTAATTTTAATTACATTTCACTCAGCTCTGCCGTTCAATTCATTATCGTACCTACCTTGTAGTCTTCCGATTTGCCAATTTGAATTTCATTCTTTTTACTTTTGTTGGTTATACGATTTCGTGTGACTTTGAACCTGTTCACGCTAGCCGAGACTTCCTGATCGTTCGAGATCGACGGGGCGGCTGTTGTTGGCCTGCGAAATCTTTTTCGTGCACCTATTCCAAGTATGTTTCTATGTTAATTATTATTTCATTTATTTAGGGAACGTGGCACCGACTGCTGTACGTTACCTTCTGCATTGTCGAGGTTGCCGAAAAGTACGATCAAGCAGACGAGTAGCAGCCAACAGGTTGTTCTGCTGGTCAACACCTGAAAAGAAAGTGAACGCGTAACTGATTTGTTCTGTTACGTTTGAACGTTCGACCAAAACGGAAACATGAAATACTGAAACATTTCAGGGGCTCACATAAGGCGATTTTGCGTCTAAGAATGCAAGAAGAGTAATGTTTACTTGAATATTAATCTAAATTAGTTGTACAAGCTTTAATGTTAATTTTATAAATTTTATTTGAGCTATTTTTTTTCATGTCATATGTAAAGGGTCACTTTTCCTCGGATTCCCGAAATCTCAGGGCCGACTCTGAGGATTCCTACCTTATCTTACGATATACATTTAGAACGAAATAAGGATTTTAAATAACTGATTATTACCGCCCTTGAGTTACGCTTCCTGAAATTAAAGAGACAACAAGAAAACGCTAGTCACGAGAGATCGTGTCATAAAAAGTAGCGAAAGTTATTTGCGGTTTCTTTGATCGGTTACCGAGCGGATATTTGACGATGCTCAATCGAAAATTGAAACTTCCTTGTTGGATGAAGATAGAGGTAATCGTTTAAGTAAGAAATAAAAGATTATTTTATTGAGGAAGATTCCATAGAAAGTTCCCTTTCTGAGATTATTATGTTCTTCTAAAAATGCAGTTTATTATATTTAGCAAAATTAAACGGTACTATATCTTTGCTTATATAAATAGTGTAATAGAAAAGAAATAGACGATAAAACACTGTAGAATTTCATAAATTTAGACTTCATATTTATTATATTTTCAAGTGGCAATTTTTGAATAAAGACGGCATCTATCGACGAAATTGAAAAGCGCGTGCTTTTAGCACTTGGCGATAGATGGCGTCGCAAACGTGTTTCACCCCTTTCCGGTTGCCGCCAAACCGGGAACATCCTGTAGAGATCGACGGCTCCTTAAAAGGTAACTATAACTTTGTTAAAAATGATCTTTCACGGTGTCCTGTTAACCATGACCCCGAAAGTGTTCCAGGGATAATTAACACCAGCGAGGCGAACGAGTTGGCAACCTTTAATTTAACTGCAATTGGAACACAATGCGAAGAGAGATCTTGCCGAGCGTTTGCTCGTCTTCTCGTGACACTTAATCGTAACAACGAAGGGAAAGCAACGTTGACATAAATAGAAACGCAAAATGCAATGGTGCGGTAAGTCGTATACGTTTTCTAAAACATTAATTGGCTTCGAAATCGCTTTTAGTCCTTTCGCTTTTCTTTGCATTTCCCCGCCATAGAAACGCGCTTATGATCTTTACAATAGCCAATGGCTCAACGTAACTCACGTTAATTTACAATAAAAAGAACGCCCGCGAAATAGAACGATTCTATCTAAAAGTCTCGTTACTGAAATATACAAAAAAAAAACATTTTCAAAACATTTCTCATGCATTATTGTTACACCTTGTATATTGCAATATATGCATGATAAAATATGAAAGTGTTTCATGCAACAATCTCGCATCTGGAATCTAAGCGAACCTATGGAATGTGATTCAGAATAGTTTCGTAACAAAGTGGAAAAAGGTATTTTCACAGCATTGTCGTTTAAATCAGCAATTACACTGATGAGAGGCTTTATTATATTCGCAATTATTCCACGTTATACTTCTTAGCTGCATCGTTATCTTTACTCGGTTAATTAGTGTAAAGCATCGGGCAAGAGCATAAATTAATACCAGTCGAGAGAAGATAAGTAAACTGACACCTGGTTGATTCATTTACATCGAACAGATTTTTCCCGTCGATTTTACTTTTTCTTTACACACTGCGAGCATGATTTATGAAAAGAAAACTCTAGAAATTAAAAGATATCTCTTTTTAAGTCTCTGGAATATGATATTTAAAAAGTTGATCGTTTACGCGAGATAATGTAAGGTTAGGTCGCCTAACCTGACCTATGCACAAGAAAGAACGCTTTTATCCATAATATTGGAATATTTGAAATACTATCGAAAGGATAGTCGTGCTTCAGTAAATCTTGAAACCTGAACGAGGTAAGAGCTCGGTTGGAAGGAGAACGTTGAAAATTATCGTCCTGTCTAGTCACGGATACTTGACTGACTACATAACACGAGAAGTCGTGCGCCATGGTAAAAGGAGCCGTCCTAAAAGCGCAGCATAGAAATCTATCGGTATCCGTCTCGTTTCAGCTCTCGTTTTCTTGCTCGCTCGTTGCACGCCTCCGCGTACATATTTAACAACGTTGCAATATAGCATAGAAGAACCTTTCGGTCTGCTAAATTTCATCGAGAAAGCAGATGCACCCGTCGATAATGGAAAATGGCGCGAGCGCCCAAAGCGGCCCGCGGGCATAACTGCGGGCACAGATTTGCGTTCGACGAGAGATAAAGATTATTTAGCCCAGGGGCGGGCAATTGTTTTGGCTCGGTGGGCCACTTTGTGGAAGTGGAATTTGTGGATTGCATTCATTAGTTAATTTTGTTAAAATAAATAAAATAAATATAAATTCAACGAATCTTCGGTCGCGCAGGAATGAAATCTCGGTTCAAGGCGGATTTTTCTCTCTTGGCGGACCACAAAAAAATTCTTAGCAGGCCGTATGTGGCCCGCGGGCCGCTATATGCCCACCCCTGAATTATCCCGATTGACACACGAATCGTTATATAAATTAAACGTGAAATTTACGCGAAGGAACGAATCGTTTGTTACGTTTTGCAAGAACAACTTTGCCGCGTGTATGCCCGTCGCATTAATTAACGAGAACATCGACCTTCGTCGCGTTAAAAGCTTTCACGAATACCGACCTTATTATACAATGTTAACGCCTTGCGGCACGCACTTTTTTCATTAAAATTCCCACCGCATGGGTTACCTAAGTTACGACCTGTCGGCCGAGAAATGACAATTATCGAGAGGCAAGAGAGATGTAGTAGAAAATGATAAATAGATTAACTACTACTCACATCTGTCAAAATAGGTAATAGCACATATGAATTTTTGGAACTAAGAAGGAGAAGGAATTAGTAATTCTAATAGAAACCAACATGTTTAAAAAGAAATTATCCAAGTTTTTCTAAAATCGTAAATGTATGAAATTAACTCGCTCCGGCAATCTAGTGTTAAAACGGGACACCCTGTATACGCGTTGCTCGCAGAGAAAGGGTTGAGCAAGTCTCGAGTTGAATAAGTTGTTACACGATACTGTTATTAACCGTTACGTCAGCACAGCTTCTATTAATTATTTCTGTCGATCGAATGACTAATAAAAAACGCTAGTTTTCGAGCTTTCATAAAACAGATCGATCGACTTGTAAAATAACGAGATTAACCGTGCGCTTTTATCGTCGAGTCAATAAAACGAACGTCGCGTATGCCGTTCAATTATAATTAGCAGAATCGATTAAAATCAATCGTTCTTAACGTATAACCGCACGACAGGGAAGTTTTATATACACGTTTCTACTGTAATACATATAGGTTCCTCGAGCAACGGTTGCATTGATTTCAATCTCGAACGGTTGCAAGAATTGCAGCAACGACGTTGTTGAAACAAGACTGACAATGGAGGCAAAAAAAAGAAGGAAGAAAAAAAGAAAAAAAGAAGGATTCAGAGAAGCAACGAGGATGGAGGCGATTGCAAGATGGGAAAAGCACAAGGTTCTCGAGAATCGTTCGAACAACGATGGAATGTACGTACAAAGTAGACAGAGACAGGAAGCCGGTCGATTGTGCGCCGGAAACGCGTGTGGCTATTTGCCGGAGATCCATGGCAACCATACTGAAAAATGTGTTTTCACGGTGAAATCGTGTTGAAGTTCCAAAGATGTTCGTTCTTCGTACAAACTCGACAGGATCGACAGGAGTCGTGGCGAATGTTCAGCTTACTATTCGATTTCAATATGGCGAACGGAAGTCGGACATCCGAGTTAAAATGGAAGAAGAATTTTTGACGGAGAAAATTCTATGATCTTTTCTCAACATTGTCGCGATCGAAAGAAGAAGTTGGTGAAACGAAAAGAAGAAAGGAGGTGAAAATGGTAGGAGGACGTAAAAGAAAGCTAAGCACAGTGTCCGAGTATGGTTTACGGTACTTCATTCTCTGTCGCGATGAGAAAACGCTTCTCTCCTCGGCCTTTTCACGTTTCTTCGCAATTCTTGTCGAGTTCCATTCAACCGAGCTTCGAACAAAATTAACGCGGGTCACCGTCGATTTTTCACGCACCGAGAAACGTTCTGATCGAGGAACACGATAAAGAAAATGATTCTTAAAACAATTGAACCGTGTCGAGAGATACGAACTCTCTCGTTCGTTATCGAACGTCTGAAATGGAGCGACACGTAAGGAAATTTCGTAAAACATTAGCTTACGTAAGAGGAGGGAAGAGAAAGATGAACGAACGAAGCGTGACGTTGGAAAAGGACAAAAGTGGAGAAAAGGGAAAGAAAATAGGAACCGCATGGTCGCGGCCGATATCCGGCGACTATATAATCGAAGGAATAATTACGTTCTCCCCTTAATAGGCGATCTTGAGAATCGATTTCTCTGCTCGCGGAGAATCGATAATAATCGTTCCGTTGCGTTCTCCGCGGTTGCGAAAATCTGGAACATCGAACGCGTCGCGCGTCGGTGAAATTTTTACGGATGGTCGGTTAATCTACCGAACGGAACGTTGAATTTCTTCGACTGTGACAGAAACAAAATTGTACGATCGCGTTGTTGCAATTAATTAAGGAAAAGCAGTTGAAGAAATATATATACAGCCGCGTTTCTACGTTTTCCATAAATCGAGGCGAAAGAATTTCTTCGCCAAAAGCGTGGAGAGCTCGGTCGAAAGAATAATAGATCCTTCTCCGAGCTTTCACTCGATTCCAGGTTAAACGTTAATTGCCGTCTGTTAATAAAATCTGCAACCTGGTTCTCGCAGAAAATGTTCGCGAGATTCAAATTTCAGTGAAAGTAGGAAGAGAGACCGGAAGTGGCCTCTAGGTGGCCCGGGGCTACTAATTCCATGTGTTAATTGTAGCAAATATATTCGTAAACGTTTAACAGAATTTATTGACAACTTTTCTGCGGGCTTATCGTTTTATTTGCCATTCGTTCGATTTTTTTCAAAATTCGCAAAGATTTGCGATTGGTTTTCGAAAAACTTTTTACGATCCGTCTGATTTGCGCGACGAGCCAATAAAGAAGGCAATGACCGACTTTAGTGGCCTCGCTTCGATACGAGCATTTACGAAGGAAAAGTGTGCGCACCAGGCGAGCTACACGAAATCACGCGGCAATTTCTTCTCGATCCTTCGTTACCAGGCATCTCTGATCAATTAAGAGGACTACATTAACGAGTTCGAACCGAGTACCTTGAAAATTAAGATTCCGAGGATACCATTTGTTCTAGAGAAGCCTACTTTGCTTGGTACTCGATGTCTACCCCTTAGGAGAGTCGTTCTTAATCTTTTTGAAATCAGGGAAAACAATTTGATGAAATAGAAAGATAATATTTTATAAATAGAAAAATAATATACAGACATATGACTTTTATTAAAAATTAAACCGATTATTACATAACAAAAAAGAAATAAGGCTTTATACAGATTTCTGTGATATTAGGTCTAATATTTGATATTTGATAAGAAGATTTAAATCAAATCTCCTTATCCACGTTTTATTAATTATATTATAAAAATCACTTTCAAAAAAATTGGGCTTTCGGTAAAGAACCAGTGCTTTAGGACATCTTCTTAGATTTATAGAATACTGATTGGTGGGTGACATCTACAGTATTATCTTATTGAAATCCGATGCATTTGCAGGATCTATTATTTCCAGATAGTAGTACAATACCGCAATAGGTAGGTGTACAGCCGTTCGTGGATCTTACATAAGGTTGCGAGTTGTCAGACCTGTTGTTCGTTCTCAAAGCAACAGTATTTCAAGCTGAAAACATTGCCGACCTGTTCGAAGGGAAAAACTCGTGGCTACTTCGTTGTTCGTCGCGGTCGCGAGAATTTCTTTCTGCCGTGAACACCGAGCACACCTATCGTTTTCAGGCAACACACGTTTGCCAGGCAAACGTTTTCACTCGACTTCCGCCGGAGGCTCGCGGTACCGAGCTACGCTTATGAAACTATCAACAGTTTCCTGTCGCGCGAACGTTCCCGGGAAATCTATCGAATTTCTTCGATCACCTTTTCCGTCATTCCTCATTTTCTATAAAAAATATTTTGCTTTATAACATGATAGAAACTAGAGAAAATTCTATGATGAAAGCTCCGGTATCTCTGATTATATTCTTCGATCCATCGGTAAAAACGCGTTCGTTTAGTTGTCCGTTCGCACTCGGTACATTCCACGGGGAGTTGAACGAGAAAAAAGTTCGGGTAGAAAGCAGTTGGAATCCGGTCGAATTTCTATCTAAGCACGCCGGTGCACCCTATCCTTGCTGCGTTCACTCACGCCGCGTTGCAACGAGCGAGCATAAATGCGTTTGCGAGAACGAACCGTGCCGATGTTTTCTAAAAAGCAAACGTTAAGTCTGTCACGGATTTCGTTTCTATTCCCGGCATCGATTCCGATCGGTAACGTTTGATTTGCATGGAAATTGCCGATGTTCCAGTTTCCAGTCGCTTTGATATATAGAGGCTCTTTCAAAAGCAGGATGCTAGGATAGCAGGTGATTTAAGATAGAAATGTTTTCTTTTAGTTGTAATTCAAGATGTTATTTAATTAATTAATGAAATTGTTAATGGCACGTCCTTAGAGGGCAAAAATATCCCGGTGAACGGGCTGACCCGCGCGAACCAGGATAGCAGGTGATTTAAAATAGAAATGTTTTCTTTTAATTGCAATTCAAGATGTTATTTAATTAATTAATGAAATTGTTAATGGCACGTCCTTAGAGGGCAAAAATATCCCGGTGAACGGGCTGACCCGCGCGAACCAGGATAGCAGGTGATTTAAAATAGAAATGTTTTCTTTTAATTGCAATTTAAGATGTTAATTAATTAATGAAATTTGTAAATGGCACGTCCTTAGAGGCCAAAAATATCCCGGTGAACGGGCTGACCCGCGCGAACCAGGCTGTCGGAGGTTTCACCGATCGGTGTCATTGGATGTAGAAACAACTTTTCTCTTTTTCTTTACCGTTACGCGGCTAGTCACGATTAGCGATTGCCAGGGACGCTCATTAATAATTCAGCGCGATACGTTGCATTCGAGGATGTCCACCGGGTATCGGCCATTTTGAACTACAAAAGGAACCTCTGCGATATAACGAGCATCGAAAATGGACGCGAACGTTGATTATATTCGGCTACCTCGACTTTCTTTTCTTCTTCACTGTTGACAATTATTTAACAGGTTCAAGAAAATTTTTTGACCAAAAACCTCTTTCGGCTCAAAATGACCTTGAAATCGTTTGGTACACCTCCACTTCCGGAATCGATACTGTTTCATTTTTTCCTACTAACAATTCTTTTTTTTTTTCTTCTACTTTTTATCGAATTGACCCAGTTACATGGGACAGCCTGTACAATATCCTGCTCCTTTCAATCTCGTTTCGAATTTATTCGATTATCAACGAACAGAATCGACCCACGAGGTCGTCGCACGACGAAAGTGAGAGGGCTCGGGTAACCCGGAAGGACGAAACGAGTTCTCGGTACTTGTTACATCGAAGGTCCTCAGGAACGCGTAGGCTGAGGACTGTCAGAGGTACGACCGATTTACGGGACATATATATCGGCGAACGCTATTCGCGATTCACTTTCCTTCCAAAAAGTTTCTTAACCTTGTACCGAACGATTCCGGTTCGCAGGTATTCGAACCTTGACAATAATTATTCTCGATTGAATAAATTATCCCGAACTGATGAAAACATCGAACGATTTCGTTAGTTTCAAACTTTCTGTTTTTTATATGAAAATCAATCAAAATTATAATATCCACAAAATTATCCAATTTGACACTTTCTAAGGATTTCAAGAGGCTACGAATGTTTCAGTTGTCAAACTCGCTCAACGTCGACACGTGGATTAAGTGGCCGAAATATCCTATCAGTCTGGCCGGGAAAAAGATGAAAAAAAAAAAAAGAAAGAAAAACGTCACACAGCCCTGTCACGATCTCGATGTATGTTTTAATCCTTTCCGAATCGATCTCTTTTCAGACCGGTTCCACGGTGGTCTTACATGAATCCACGCGTGATGTAATATCGTTCGAATGGAAAAAATAAAACGAGGTTGAAAATGGAGCCGGCTCGCGTTGGAAAAGAAATATTTTTTTTTTCAAAAAAAGATAATCTGTAATTTAGAAAAAATTGTGATCCAAGTCTCTCCGAGTTTCTTCCTTGTTCTGAAGGCTCTCCACCCTTGAATTTTCAAAGTTAGATTTCAATGAAAATTTCGAGGAAAATTAAGAAAATTCGACGAGTCTCTCCCTCGTTTTCCTCGTCTCTCCCCCGGTGTCCACCCCGTAAACATCATCCCCATAGGTAAATCACACTCACCATGATCCGTCTAGTATTTCGTGCAAGCGTAACGCTCCCAAAGCGGAAAGTAGCACCAAGATCGTCGACGAGAAACGCGTTTGAGAAATCGCGCTCGAGCGGGCAAACAACGAGCGTTCGTGAGCGGCGAGAAACAGTGTCGGTACGATGATTGAATTAAAAAATATCGTGATCGATGCTGAATCAATAATCGTGGATCCACCGCCGCATGATGGAAGAACTGTCACTGACAACAGTTCAGAAAGCACTGACCGTAGTGAACCAGTGCTCGCTGTCATTCTCCCCCTCTCCCTCCTCTTTCCCTCTTTCACGCGCAAACACTTGCTTGCTAGTTTATTCTCTCTTTGAAGAGAACGAGCTCTGCCCCTTTCGTTAGCCTCATTCAAACATCGATCCTCCCTTTCTTACTTTCTTTTTCTCTCCTGTCCAATTATCCCCGGGGTTAATTGACGTCGAATTAAGTAAACGACAATCGTAGACGCGACGATATTGTCCTCGTCGATCCTCGAAACAATTAAACTCACCTTTCATTTTGTGTACAGTTTGCGATGGAGAACGATGCTATAGAAAGCTGCATAGACGGCTGCTAGACTATTTGAATTCGTTATTATTACGATGACGAGGAAGGGAAAGGGTGAATAAGGTTCCTTAAGAAGGGACTGGGATAATCCTTTTCATAGTTCATTAGCCTTCGAGACTGGTAGTGAAAAAGATTTATTTCATAGAGAATTACAATGAGACCAAAAGTAGACCACAAGATATCTTATTATCTTATCACAATACACATATTCCACTGTTTCCAAAATATTAGAAACTTACTAAATTTACTAAGAATATTCTTCTTTTCACTAGATGTTCCAAGTTTTCCCTGACCCAGTTACGTGGAACACCCTGTATATTTGAACAGTTTTAAGATTAAGTTTTATTCGTTCGAAAGCCAGGGACTTGGAAAATCCAGAGTATCGTTCCGTTTCCCTTTAACCATTGATTTATCATAAGACCGCTCGCAAATGAAATTCAAATGCGCCTGGTAAGAAGTGGACCGTAGGATTTGCGAACCGGTTTCACCAACAGCAAGGAAACACGAATGTCCTGGGTCACTTTGAACTTTGTAGGACGCGAGTAAGGTTTAGGAAATTGTTTAGATATCTTCATTCGACTCGCGACCTTCCTCGTGTTTAGGTATCTTTTAAATTGCTTTCCAAATTCAGAGGAGAATTATGGACATTGAGATAACTGGGATCCTTTTCTGATTAATTTTTTAAAAATTAAAGATTATTTGAAATCTGAAATTTTAAAATGATAAGGGGGTCAGGCTGCAATTTCAGGGGGGGCAGTTTCTACTCTCTCCCTGGTTACGCCAATTCATGGTATTAGAAATATTTTAATTCGCTTGTCGAATAAGAAGCTTTTAACTCTTTCATAATAATCGTTAACGTATTTACATCGCAATGTCGCACCGTGAAAAAATATAGAAAGTCTGTTGCATTTATGCTTAACAGTTGCTTGCCATGAAAATGTTCTCACAAGCGTTACAAAATAACGCTACGAAGGAAATAGTATCGATCATCGATGTTGATCCACTTTGTGTAATAACATTCCAATACTGTCTCATACAACTTCATTGAAACTAAAATAAACCACTTCAAAATATAATGTGATCGATCAAACGTATTTTTCGTTTTACATAAATCACAAAGAAATCTTTTTTTCTTCAACAAAAGAAGATTTTAAATATTAAAATGTCAAGATCTTCGAACGGAGATAATCTTTTTTTCTATTAAAAGTTTCGGTGAATAGTGATTTTAAAATTGTCAGCCACCGATCGTTTCATAATTGAGCCTCTAAAAAAGCCAAACTACGACTCCAGTTTCTGCGAATTGCTTAATTTAAGCAGAACCTGTTTACTGTATTTATAACATCTACTTTATAGAGTTGGACGATTCAGAACACTGACTTTTACTTTTATTTATTTATTTAGTTGTGGGGAGTCATCAAAGATCGGCTCTACAAAATTAAATTTAAAAAAAAATATATTTTCAATAGCACTATTATTATACTAAATTGCAACTATATATATTTTCCAACAATATAAATACTAAATATTTGAATAATAGTTGCAAAATGAACATTGCAAACATAAAATAGAAACAATAATAATAAATTAATATAAATTCAATTTTGTACGATAGATACTTTATGTCCGTTTAAATTTGCCGCGCCAATAGGTGGGCGATTAGCAAGGATCCCCTCCTTCCGTCTTCAGTATTCGGATAGACGCCGGCGAATGTGTGTGTACGCGCGGGTCGCGTGTCTATTTAAGTGAATGTAGAATATTAATTCGTACGTTTCCGAATATAAATCAATTATCAGTATATTAATTAATAAAACAACAAGTGTATTAACATTCGTCTACGGTTTACAAAGGGGATACCAAAAGGATCGGGCACGTGTTGCAAAAAGGTAAGCAATGATTAAACGATGTGAATATATTATTATATTTTCCGTAAGAAATTCGAAGAAATATGCATAGCATATTAATCCGACGACATATGGTATAACGTGTGTACATAGAATGACGTTAGATTACACAGTGTACTTAAGAATAAATAATCCTTACGATATAATGAACGGTTCAAAAAGAGTTTTCATGGTACTAGATTCGAAATTGCACATGGTGTATACGACGTATAACACGTTCGAATACATCGAGATCAAAACAACGATGAGGCGGAAGTAGTAACAGGAAACGAGGCTAAATCATGTTCCTGTTTCTGTATACTTGCCTGTTTGGTCAACCTCTTGTCATTTACTCCTTAAACGAAACATTCGATAAGACAAAAGCTTAACCGCAATTAAAATGTCATGTTCGAATTTGGAGGTTAAATTAACCCTCGCGGTAGGGTTAGGTATATTTTTCACGCGATTCGAAGATAAAACCGAGCCTCAATTCAAGCGTTCGTTACTTTGCATACCAAACGGGAAAGTAACTACGAACAGGTAACCACGAAGAATAAGATTGTTGAATAATTTGCTCCAGCTACTTTGGTTCTCCTCCGTGTTAGCCTCGCTCCTCCATGTTTGGTGTTTACGAACAACACTTGGCTCCTTCCTGATCCACCATTTTATATCATTGCACAATTCCGTTGTAACTGTCTCTCGATTTCTCTTCTTCTTTTTCTTCCTCCTCATCATTCCTTGTTATACGTCCTTTTCTTTTTTTTTTTATTATTTGGTTTTAATAGTTTCTTCGACCGCAGTTAAAAAGATCCTCTTCTCGTTTATCTCCCGCTTCTCTGATGGTAGTTGGTCGATGCCTGCTCTTTTTCTTCTCCTCCCCTACTCTGTTGCGGTTCTACGTCCTGATTACATGATTATGCATTTGCCTTTCTCGGCCCAGGGATTGTTCTTCTTATCGGGCGCGTGTATCAATGGGTCAGTCTTCTCGTTCTCTTCGACGTACTCCCTCATTCTGGAAAGAAATTTTGTTACAGTCAAAACTCCAACGATGACTTCATTAGAAGAAAAAAAATTTTTTTTTTTTTAATTAGACAACACGAGTATCTAAAATTTAAATTTCGTTTTATTCGATGAGAGGAAAAGGAACTGAAATTAATGAAATTCGCGTGGGATAGGATTTCTGGTGGAAAGGTCAGAGTACGAATAAATTAAAATTTGTTAAAAATAAAAGTCGATGGACTTTATTGGATTTCGTTACAATTCGCGAACCTGTTGCCGGGGTTCCTAGAGACATTTACCGACCAAGTACGAAAAATCAGTTTGATCGAGCAATCGGCGTTCCTTCGGAACACACAGAATTCTCCTTGAACGCAAAATCGGCCATAGTAGCCGAGTTCCTTTCACCGAGCCGTCGCAGCGAAACGACCACCAACTATTCGTTGCACTTTTCTTTTGCATCGCTTCGAACTTTGTTACGTTTACGGCGATTCTGTGTCCCCTTTTTCCCCCGACGGTTTATCCGCTGACTAATTGCACAGATTTATTAGCGAATTCCGAACGTACAGGATTTTATTACCCCGTTGATATAGTAAATTAGAACATAAGGAACGTGTTAAACAATCGAAATCTTCTCAATTGTATTCTAATAAATAACGATAGAATCTTTTGTTCTCGTTAATCAGCATCGAGCTCACTGGAAAATACGAGAAAATTATAGGCTTTCACTTATCACTGTTGTATTAGAAACGAATGTGGGTTAATGACCTGTTGCTACCAGCACAGATTGCTTTTCGACGTTCCTAATCCCAATCAACGTTTTATTCTAACGCGTTCACCGTATTTATTACATTTATGAATTCGATTAATACCCTAGAAAATCACTATCCTATTTAAGGAATTAAAAAATTTTCAAAATTTATTATTAGTACATAATTTCTAAAATAAAGTGCACTTTAATGTAACTAACTAAAACTAATGATAAATTATGTAAGTAGTCCAAAGTTAGGAAAAAGAAAAGTAACAGAAACGATCCATAAATGAATCTGTATCTCCGTTAGAAAATGGTCGTTCCTTTCCGAACTGGACCAGTTGTCACAATAAAACGGACAATACCGTTTCCTCGAAGATATCGCGCCACGGTAAAGGGAAAAAGTGAGGGGGTTAGAAAGGGTTCGCGTTTACTGGGAGGGAGAGAGAAAGAAGGATTAGTTTGATCGGGAATAGAGGACAAAAATGGGAGGTACCTTTCACTCTGGCACTCTCCGAGAAACCAACCGTGGTAACTTTTTTACCGTCGCCTGTGATTCGCCTCGAATACCCACGGTTACGGGATAGCAGAGCTGTTAAAACGCGGTTCCGCGTTGTTCCGCAACCAGGAACAACCATCAACTTCCCATATGATGTGACACTATGAGATAGGGGGATAATGGATAAGTTGGGAGTGAAATTTCGATTAGCCCCTTATAGACTGCAACCGGAGATGGTTTTTTGCGGAGAAGTTTCGCGTGGCAATATAAATTCGTACCATTTATATTACGATACGTTTTTTGAACAACAGTCCTACTGATTAAACCCCTTGGACCAATCGGGTAGCTGCGCTCGTCTGATCACTCGTACTCCGCCAATCACAGGGCGCGTTACTTTACCCCTAGGTAAATGAGCCGGATGCACCTGATAAAGCCAATAGCATCGCGCGGAGGTCAGTCAGTCTGCTCTTGGGCTTCGAAGGAGCAGGGGGTGTTTTTTTTTTTTTTTTTTTTTTTTTTTTTTTTGCGATTCGTTTTGCAAACTTTTGCTTCAAAATGAAAATCATTATAAAGACATTAGCGATTAATTAATGCACAGGATAATCTATGATATTAACTTTTTAACGTATTAGCAGTTAAGATATAAAACTTGACAAATGTCGAAAAGAACTTTTCCCTTCTTTGACTAGTAATAATAATTTTTGTGATTCGTTTTACGATCAAGTAAAGTTATTGGTTAAATAAATAAATAGTTTGTCGAGTTTCATAATTGATGCCTCGATATTTACAAAAGTATAAAAATTGAAATAAGATTTTGAATACTTAAACACTCGTTTAAAAGGAATGGAATTCCAGAGTAATTACGTGTATCTCGAGCGCACCTACGATCAAGATTGTCTTTGCCACTTACGTATCAATATTAATACCTTAGTTGCAAAGTAAAAGGCAGTTTCGAGCGAACAGATAAATGAGATTTCATGGATGTTTTTAGTATAATAATTCATTATCAGATATAATATATTAAGAAATATCGATAGATCAAACCGCTGAAATATGATTCAAGATTACCAGGAATGTTAGAGCAAAAACTATGTCAGCGTTGATGATGTATTCTTCGATGGATAGTGATCGTAACAAGTCCTTGTAAAAGTAATTCCTATGATCGGAACATTGTCGAACGGGGAATGTCGACGACCTTAATGCACTATTTACACCGTAATAGCAACGCGATCATCTTGTAGTCATCAACGATTATATTAGTTATCGTGTGAAATTCGTGCATTTGGATCTCTGATCTTCTGGACCAGAGTTACGCGAAAAATTCTTTATCGAACTCATTGACAAATGTTAATTTAGTAAATAAGTTTGTCAATGAAATTGTATTTATAATAAGATATTTTTGTTTTGTTTCTTCAGGGAATACGCGATTAACTGTGGACACTCCACGTCCAAGGAGATCCTCTCTCTGTATGTAACATGGAAACGCCAGCGCAATTCAGCCTTGGTTCTCGGCTACTGTGAGTATTATAAAACACTGTACACGAATTATATCCTCATTTGCATGTAAATATTACACATTGTCCGCCATGATCCACTGATTTGAAGCTAATCGAATAATCGTAAGATAAACTGAATGAAAAGTTAGGAAAGAAGATTTATTATTATCTCAACTAGTGTTCTTCAAGGATGTTAGAATGTAAATATTGTTTGTTCAGTTATTTAACAGAAGCTGTTTAATGACTCTGCATGAATTAATTAATAGTAAATATGAATTGATTATAAAAAGAATGCTTGAAGGATATTATGTTGTGTCTATCTTTAACAACAGTGTTGTTAATATCTTACAACTTCGAATTTGTATTAACGATGGAAAACTATTTAAGTCCCGGAAAGTTTAACATCGATTTGACCCATTACTCCAGTATAACGTAGACATTAAAAAATAACATTTATCGATAATCGTTTATTTTAAACAAAGAATTCGGGATTCTTATTTCCATCGATGCTCGAATCAATCATTCATTATCTTAACGAATGCAAAATTCAAACACGACCCCTTCTGATTATTACTAAAAAAACCGAGGAAAAAATCAAATAAATTGGAGCAACAGATGAACAGATGAATAGGAAACCATATTCCATGAGAATCAATGAATCGAAAGGGAGAAAAATGAAAATAAATTGCAGCCATCAATTTCTTTTTGCAAAACGATAAAAAGTTATTATTAATATCGATAGAAAACGATTAAAATGGTGAAAAACATGAATGGTATAAGAAGTCGGAGATAAATGAGGTTGTCAGACTTGTAACGCAAAGCTCTTCATGGACCACCATCCCAGCATACCTCTCGAGCAATGTATCGAATAGGATAAAATTTCAAAGAAAAACAAACTAAAGGAGGGAAAAAATGCAAATTACATGTATGATATATGAATGGGAAGAAGAAGCTGATGGACTTACGCGGCAATGCTCTTCGACAGGGGCCATCGTTCCATACTGGCCTGGTACTTCATGTTCTCGATCTGCTTCTTTAGTGCGTCCTTATCCATGTTGGCGAGTACACTGGGATCCATGGTTATAGCCGCGCCTCCCTTTTGCCAGATAACAGTCGAATAGCGCTTGCGCCTCTACGAAAAATCAATAGAACAGAACCAAAGTGTACATGGGGACTCCTGTTATAGGAACGGTACAGCTACGTCATCATAGACTGGCAATAGAAAATTCGATTCAAAGAGGAAAGGTCCATAAACTTCTTCTCCGATACCAGTCTCCATCCAGTCTGATCAAAAACACATATACCAAAGAAAAAAAAAAAAAAATTAAGAATTTTCTGTTGATGTAAACTGATCATTGTTTGGGATTCATCATTGAAGGTGTCTAATCATTGTACGAGGGATTCTGAGTAAATATCATTAAATCTTAGGTCATTAGTCACCTCCCTAATGAGATAGGGGTAAATGCTGGGTAGCTAGACGCGTGTGAGTACCCGAGATTGCCCGACGCAGAGTTCGGGTTGGATCGGGTCGACTCGGATGACGTTGGGTCGGAAGAAGTCGGGCGGGATCGGGCAAGAACCCGAACTCCTACATATAAATGTTCGAGATCTCGAAATTTTTCGCATTTCGATTTGAAATTCAGTATCGCGTTCTAAGTAACAGCGTTTAGATGGAATTTGGTTAGTTTACTATTCTTAATTTGGCGTTGAGTATACAAAAACGAACAGTTACTTAAAATCGCTTCGTAATTTGAGAAAATAAACACTGTTACTCTGAACGGCTTATGACGTCACAACCTTCGAGTTCTGTTCGAGTTGCGAAGGCACTTTTCCCCCTTAAAATACCTAATTCGATATTCTTTAACATAGATAATTGCCATCATTTTCAATTTTCTATTTTGAAATGTACATGTTTTGCATTAAACCACTACAGTCACCTATAATACCAACGGGGTTAGGCATCTTTCAAATATTTATTAAATTAATACCAGTATACTTAGAAAAATTTCTAGAATTCATTCAAATTACAATGTACTCACAATAGAATGTTTGATGTCTACTTCTTGAATTGAAATTTCTTGAAAATTGAAAGTGATGGAGAAACAGGATTTACAAATTTGTATTCAGTTCACAGAACTCTATAATAAGCGGTTGCTATTACAAAACAAAATACATACGTGTTATCATTCGGCCTAGATTCGTTCGCGTTTCGAGCGTTACTTCACACGTTCGATCGGATCGTTGTACAAATTTTTCGTTACGTTTAGAGGGTAAATTTTCGACAAACATCGACACTTACCCAGCGGGCGGGTGGTTCGAACAGGAAACTCGGGTAGTACACGTGTCACGGAAGGTCCGTTTGGAAACTTGTCCGTCGAATAATTTCGTGTAGCACTCACTTTGTCCGAGGTCGGTGAAGTTCTGAGAAGTGCTGACTCTTGGCAGGTTTCTCGATTCGCTTACGAGAAGCCTCAACAAAACTCGGCAATCTAATTTGCTGGTAATTTACCTGCCGATATCTTCAATCATTGTTGTCATTGGAATATTCTGCGGCGAATGTTCTACCACAAGTAATCCGGCCACGGAATAAACTCGCGGATCTCAATCCAACCCTCGACTCTTCCAGAACGATCGCACAGCGATCAGATTCCTCTTGAAAGAATTATGAATTATGAGTATATTTCAAGCGAAAGTTATATCGAAATAGCCTTTTGTCTAAACACGATAGTATTTGAAATATTATTTTATGCTCCTAAACTTAATTTAATCGTTTCAAATACTATTCGGATCCGGATAGATCTTAGGTTCCGGTTTTGTGATAGATCAGTAGGTGTTGCAGGGTGGCCCTGTTTGTTTGAGAAAAATTCAGTTATTCAAGTTAAACGTTTGTGCACTTAATTCTCAAATTAGTCACCCGAGCACATTTTATTGGGACTGAATTAATTTGTTTTTCAAGTTTGCACAATTACGCTGCTACGCAATTTGAAAACAGTATCAATGGTGCCATTCAGTGGCGAGTGACGCAACTAAGAAGAGAACCGGAAGTAACGGACTGTTCTGTTGATTCTTTAGCTGGCTAAATATAAGTATGTATACCGCAGTTCACCAGAGTCCATAACTGCGAAAGGACCAGTTTTCGTTCTTCGCGCAGCTCTAGTGCGCATCTTCGCCCTGATTGGCGATACGAAGTGGAAAGCGAATAGTAGAGAGCTCGCTGCGTTCCCCCACCATCTTCCAACCTGCGCGTCGCAGTTATGGTCTCTGGTGAACTGCGGTATAATACTTTTAAACTTGATGTGTAAACTTTTAATCATCGACTATCATTAATTAAAAAATATTGAAATTTATGTTCAGAATTAGCTACATTTCGTATGTATAAATGTATATTTGACATTCACCCAGTAGATGCAAACAGTACCAAACGTTTAACCTTTATAACCTTAATCTTTTATTATACGACCTAGGCGACGCTCTTAAAAGGATACTTTTAAGTTTCAAAATGGATAAATATATTAAACTGAAAAATGTGGGTACTAATTACGCGAAGCATATGAATCGTTTAAGTAATCGAATATTCGGTGAAGTAACAAGAATAACTAACAACAAGTCGATGAAAGTTGTTCAGTTGTTCAGTGAACAACCGATAAATAAACGAGCAGATATAATTAGTTATTATCCACGTCACACTCAAACGACATTACTGATGAAGAATCTTAGAAAGTATGGTTTATTCAGAGATGAACATCAAGACTTCAACGATGAATATGAACGTTTAAGAGAGCTCCGTGGTAAAACAAAATGGGTACCAGTATACCTGAGAAAGAAGAAATAAATTTTCTTATTTTCTCAATGAAATTGTGTATTTTATATAAAATATATACTTTTAAATACAATATATTACATGTAAATAATAATGTAAAAGTATAAAAATATAAGGTACAGGAAATATAAACTGTTAGAATGTATAACAGTAATCCTAGAATTAACTGGTAATAAGAATTCAAAATCATTTATTTCTAATTGTTCTATATCAAGTTCTTTTATGACTGGATCAAACTTTTTACTCTTACATAACATTGATTTATTTGAATCGCTTAATTGATTTTTCTTTGATTTTATCATTTGGTTATTGGGAAGATTTTTAGTCTTACCAATTTCTTCGTATCTATGAACAATTGTTCCCTTTGCAATTTCCTCATAGGGCATGTAATGAATACGAGAGGATTTATTTATAGGATTAAATTGATGAAAAATAGGTATATATAACTTATTCCAAATGTGAGATAGATTTTCTTCTTCTGTAGGTGTTTTGCGGTAGGATATTGTTGTTCCAGATAGTCTATCATTGTCTTCCCATTCATCTATTTCTTTATCATTAAAAATCAAGTCATTTATCCATATCCTTAAATAATATTATACATTAATATTTCAATATCGTATTTCAAATTTATAAACTCTGTTCCCAAACTTATACCTAAATGCATCAAGATCAAGGTACGTTGGTAGATCGCCGCATTCTAAAGAAAAATTTGTCCAGGATGCAATTCCGACTAAAGATGTTTCACGATGTTGATTTTCGCATACAACCGGTGAACCCGGATTCCCAGCGCATGCTTTCATTTCATCTTTAAATTCCACCATAGCACAAAATACATTCGTATAATTCACACTTGTCTTTATCATGTAGGTGCATAATTTCCAGGAATTAAGAATCACTTCGCTGTATTGAATAGGTTTAGCCAGAACTTTTGAGGATGGTGAAATGTAACTTTGCCAACCGAATATTAAACACGGTGTATAATTATTATTATATTTGACGGGTATATTCGGTAATATTACTTTACCATTACACATGTCAAACGGTTTAGTTAGTTTCATAAGAGCTATATTATAATCTCGATCAGGAAGAACAGAGTACGGCTCGTAATGAGGATGTATGTATGTAGCTTTCACGGATACCGTTTGTTTGGTATCGGTTCCATTTAGCCCAGTTGCAAATAAAACAATGGACTACATAAATGAAATTAAAAATTACATCGTTAATATCGGTTTTCTTAACGTTAAGAATATGATGTGCCATACATTTCTCTTGTCTTGTACACATTGTGCTGCGGTCAAAACCCAGTCTGATGATATAAGAACTCCACCGCATGGTACTATTGTTTGAAACTGTATTAACCAAGGAAACTGACCATTTTGAGCTCTTTTACCTCTGAGCAGTATACTTTTAGATAGCTCCAAATTAATTAACAGTAAAAATAATAAAATATGTATTTTCATAATTAAAATCATTTTGCATATAGTATCAAGTGGCTATGTTCAGAATAGTAAGTTTGCAACCGTATAAAATCATTGTTATTAAACATAAAATTATTTATTACAAAATGATTAAAAATACAATATTAATTATGGCAGAAATTTGGCAAAATGTGTATTATTTACAGACTAGATAGAAATAGATTAGTTAAATTTATGAAGAAAGGTATTTTTCATTTAATATAGAATTTCAAGTTCATCATCTTATTAACTGATGTAATAATGCATTTAGGACTTTTATAATTCTTCTTTAACCTCTTTTTCTGTATCCTCAGTTTTTGTACTCTTCTTTTTGTTCTTCTTTTTCTTTTCCTTTGTATCACTGTTAGTTTCACCCTTTTCTTTAAGGCAAGAATCATCACCACCCTTCAAAGCCCTCTCTGAACACAAGTACCTAATTAAAGGAATTTCTTTTTGATAATTGTAATACCACTCTTCAATATCAGACTCATGATTTTCCAGTAAATCTTCGCATTGTGATTTTAAAGTTGTTATCTCCACTGATGGTTTATCCCATAATTCATATGGAATTCCTAGTTCCACCTTGACACCTTTGTCCCTGTATAAATATACAATCATATTTACCTTCATCATTCTGAATGATATATGAAAATATTATCTTACACAAGTCCATGAAGAGTTTTGAAGGTTTGGCTCATTCCTTTAGAAAATCTTGTACTATCTGAACGTTCCTTGTGAATGTTATATTCCAATATACGTTCGCAAAGATCCTCCATACTTTCTAATAAACGTAATTCTCTGAAAATGAAAGTCAGGAATTTTATAATGGTGTAACATAGTGGAATGTTTTAAACGTATTTGGAATTTACGATTTCTTGTATTCCTTCTTTTTCTTGGGCAAAACATCGTCGACCGAATAACCAATCTCGAGCACATCTCGCGTTTTACCAGTTTCATCTAATCTTGCTTCTAATTCCGTGGCAACAACTTTGCAAACTGCAAAAGAACGTATCGTGTAGATTATAGAACGAAATTCTAAGTATGTATAACAATACCTTCGCACTTGTTCGCATATTTTACACCTTGCTCTTCTTCGGGACCACCGATTACAAAATAGGAAAATAGTAAATGCGTTAACAAAATTTGTGTTAAAGCGTACATTATTCGGTCGGAAAATTAAAAAGGAACTGTTCGGTTATGGAATGAATAAAAGCATTTATTCGTCAGCTGTATATTAGCCCCTCCCAATCACATTTAAATTTTTTCTATTAACATTTTTGCAAATATATTAAAACTTAATACAAATACAAGATTCTGGATAAGCGATCAGTTACTATATCCACTCATGTTTATTGCATATCACAATGGCTCCGAGAATGCTATAGTTGAACATATCGTGATAAACATAAATCACCATTAAAAGATTTATTCATTTTCTCGCGTTATTCGATAGATGAAAAATCTTTATATTAATTTCTTTTAATAATATATGAAAAAATGTACATATTACATTAACAAGTTTCTACTTGTTTGTTGGCTATATCTTATTCGTCCACGTTTAGGCGGAATATTTGAAATCATCCAATGAGAGTAGAGAACACAAAAGAATATTTATTCAAATAGTTTCACTGTGATTTCACTTCATTTCTATAAAATGATAATATAGTATCTGTTGAGATTTTGAGAAATTTGCAACATCTTAACATAAACTGAAAGGTTCACTACACCAATAGATTCTCATTGTTCTATTTTAACATTATATTTTTGCTTAACATTTGGACAGACTTTTAATATATACAAAAGCAAATACCCATTTACAAATAAAGTTTATAAAAACTAGCAAATAAAGTGTATGTAATGAACATACAATAATGTACTTATTTATTTTGTTCATAGCAGATATAAGTAAATATGTCTCTTACCTGAGACAGTATTTATGGAGTTCTGTTTCAATAACAAAAAAGAAAAAATAAATGTAAAATCGTGTAACGTTACTTACATAGCGTTCATACTTTCTATCATACTCTCTTTCGTTCTTTTCCTCTCTCTTTCCATTTAAAAACTGAAAAGAGTACTTCATATATTGTTTTGTACTACATTTTCAGAATTTGTTCAGATAATGTATATGAAACTTTTTTTTGAAGATTGAAAAATGATAGTAAAAGGTTTGTTCTCTTATTATGCAGAATAGAATGTAATTTTTTGCTGGAGTAGAATAAATTGAACTTTTTGAAAATAACTAAAGTTGGGCAAAGTAACATTTTAATACTGTATTTTTATTTCTATTTCCACTTGTTTACATACAATCATAAAATCATTGAATTTTTCAATTTCCCACATGTTACATTCTATTCTGCATTGATATTCTTTTGATTGTCTGCTCCGATAATAGGACTCATAAACAGACAATGAAAAATTCCTGAAAGATGATAAATGAAATGTCATTGAAAATCAAACATCTACAATTGTGCAGGATTTGAAATTTTTTGAAAACAGTAACATTCTCTGTCGTAGCTATGTTTTCTTTTAACTACTTGAAAATCGAATCTGATGTTGAACACTTATTTTTTGAACTTCGGTTTAGTAATTACAATAATTTGTACCATTTTAATTCGCTAATTTGATTAATCGAACTCAACATAATTTACTTCGCTTATGCTACATTGATTTTACAAATTTACCGTGTTTATGAAGAAATAGAAATTCTTTCACGATTTATACTTCTAATTAAAACTGGTGGTTCCGTTTGAAGAAGGTCATGATACAATGTTGAGAATTTGTAGTTTCTAATAATGATATTTTGTAACAAGTGATTTATAGACAGTTACATCGTATCGTTCAGTATATCCTTATACTAGTCATGTGTTCTTTTATTTATTTTTTTTTTGTCAACAATCTCATAGATGTAACACAACTAGTGAAACTTTCAATTTTGTAATTAATCAAGAAAAATCTTTACAGTTTTCTTTATAATTTTTCTATTCAAATAATTATAAAATAATATTCGTTATTGTTAGTAAAATATTGCTCACATTCAGCCGAACTCTGCTGACTCTTACTAGATTATTATCACAAACGTTACATTATGAAATTGTTGGATTAATGATCCCTATCACCATTTTGTACAATAAGACTAATTATCTTGAACGAAACGCAAATTCATCAAGTTTCTCTTCTTTTTTTCATAATGAAGTACAGGAAAGAAAATGAAGAAACCTAAATTTCGAAACTACAACACATTCGTTACTTAATAAAAATTCATCCTATAACTTACTAGTGTATTTCATACATTGTCTTAAAAACAGAAGTGTGCTTAGAGCCTGAAACATTTGTTTCATTTATTTAGATATACATAAACTTTTGGTTTCAGTTCAGTCTTGTTGATAAAAATACGTTGTAAAAAGCATACTATCGAGACAGAAACGTTTCGTTTGATTAAATCTTTATTTTTGTTTCTTTGTATCAATTGGTGCACAAGCAGCCCTTCGTAACGTACTTCCGGTGTTTAATGAGGGCTTTGAAATATGTTTCTTTTCTTCGATCACTGAAAAGAATGGAAACAGCGAACGTTCCATCGAGATAAAAATATTAGTTTAAAGAAAAAAAAGAAAGAAGATTTTGCCTTTCCGCTATAACAAAAAAAGAAAGAAGAAGTTACAATATAACACTTAAGTCTAAAACGACTGGAATCAAATGTATCTCGTAATGCATAAAAAGAATGTGTAAATAATATAGGAAATAATATCTTACAAAATCTTACTTAGAAAGAAAATGATAAAATCGTGGCAGTTGGAGCATAATGTGTTTTCTTACATTAAAAAAGAAAGAAAAAAAATATACATTCATGTTTAGTAGAATACGAATCTTAAATAAAATGACTGATGTCTAAAAATGAATGATAAGTTAATGAAGGCTAACAGATACGCGAATAAAAGTGACTTTAGAAAGGCAAAGTCTTGTTAAACGCACATGTTACTTATATAATGCTCATTGATCGGCGGTAGCGTTTTCTAGTATTAGTTATAACAACAGGAACCGATACAGGAGCGGGAGGGGTGACAGGTGTAACAGGGGTTATCGGTGTGAGAGGTGTTAAAGGAGTTTCAGCCATTTGGGCTGAAGAGGGGGGCCTGAGCTACCAAATGTAGTTTTCAGTTTGTGGGGCTCGCATTACTCCCACACCTCCGCCGAGCCTCCTGTAATTCATACAACCACATAATTTCCATTGATTTTGTTCCGAATCATATACTTCGATAGTTTTCAAATAGGCAGTTCCATCGAATCCACCCACGGCATACAGCAAACCATTCACTACCGCTAATCCCACCTAGATAAAACAATTACTTTTATTAACAAAGAAAAATGGGAAGCGATTGAATTGAATATATATAATACACTAAAATTATTTTTTCACTTACTCCGCTTCTCCTTGATGTCATAGCTACTATCGGACTCCAAGAGTTCGTGTGAGGGTTATACCGTTCTGCGCTGGACAGTTCCATGCAATCGTCTCTTCCTCCAACGGCATAAATTAGATTATTAAATACAGCACAGCCTAGATGCTTACGTCTAGTAGACATAGGGGATACTTGAGACCATTTGTTTTGTCTTGGGTCGTATCTTTCTACCGTGTTCAAAGGTGATTGCCCATCAGACCCGCCGATGGCATATAAATAACCACCTAACACGGCAACAGCCACTCCAAGTCTTCTAGTAGTCATAGGCGATACTTTGGACCATTTATTCTCCTTGGGATCGTATCTGAAAAGAAGATATATGATTTGTCATTTTTTATAGAAGAAACAAAATAAAAAATGTGACAAAGATATTTTACCTTTCAACGTGGTTTAAACATTGGACACCATCCTGACCACCTACCGCATAAAGGAAACCATCCAATACTGCAACACCTACACTAGTTCTACACGACGTAGTGGGTGCAACGTCGCAAGACCATTGATTCGTTTGCGGGTCGTATCGTTCGATGCTATTTAAATAACTCTGTCCATCGTGACCCCCAACCGCGTACAACAAATCATTTAATACAGCCACTCCGACGCCGCATCTTCTTTTACTCATCGGCGCGACCATCTTCCAGTCGGCGGTGTTCGGATCGAATCTTTCAACGCTAGCTATCGCATCGCCGGAACACCATCCTCCAACGGCGAACAAAACTTCGCCGCGTCTAGTTGGTTTACGGGGTCGTGTTCTGGGTCCCTGCATCAGCGGTCTCTCTTGAGGGAGTAGCAAATAATTCTTAGCTTCGTCCACCAAGTCTCTGCACGCATCGTCGGATCGAACCAAAAGATCAGAGCCTACAGTTCCAACTAAAAACTTTGGACTAAGAAGGGGTAATCGTACATGCTGAAGGACTTGCGCCAAATGTTGCCTTCTCTCGGTCACGTTGTACTTAACCCAATTCATAACAGCGCTGAATACCTGTTCTTCCGTTCGTACGTTTAATTCATCCGACGAAATGATATCTACTAATTGGCCGACAGGTAGTAATAGAAATTCTTCGCTTTCCATTACCTGCGTTTAAGATCAAACGTATAAATTAAATGGCAAACGAATGAGAATGAAACTCTGAAGATACGGAAGACATACTTCCTGAAAATTATGCTGGGTGAACTTGTCCGCGATTCTCAACAGTTCACGGCACGAATGAGTGTCCGCAAACGCACGTATTCCTAGACAATTAGAAGGATCTAACTGGCGTTTGAGAAACTCGCAACATATATCTTGAATCTCTGCTAGCTGGAGAAGGCACGCTGCTGGAAGGAGAGTTTGAACGTTCGCTTCCTCGACGATTATGTGAGACGTGTAACAGAAATCTATCAGTAATTCCATCGCCATTTCGTCTATATCACGTATTGTAACTTCAGTTTGTCGAGATTCCGCCAGCTCCCCAGTAAACATTGCTCTGTACAAGAAAAGAAGGCATTGTAGTACAATGAAGTGATCAGTTCTCTTAGAATTGAACGCAACGTTTTACCTGAAGTACGGACTGCACGCCGATAGAATAACCCGGTGCGCAAATATTTTTCTGGAACCAACGTTGAGGACAACATCGCAGAGTTCACGGTGGCGACGAAGGACATTCAGTTCCGTGAGCGTAGCACGAGGATGTTTCTCGGATGTATGACTGAGGCGGGCTGGGGATGGCGCTCGTTCCACGACCATTTCACCCATCCTCTGCGAGGACGGGGCGCCCGCGGCCGCTCTCCCCGAGGCGCCCCTAGACCCCCCTAGCTGGAGGCGCAGCGGGGGTGACGCCCAACCCCACACCGAGTCTATCTGCAACACCATTCACCAACCACCACGGCTCTTGAACGTGCCTGTACCAGGCCTTCTGATCTTCTCAAATTCCTACAATCAAAATATCCTTCCGTCGTCATCTTTATAACAGCCAGGCTTGCCAAAGGTATTCTTTGTAAAAGACATGCAAAGAGATATGTGTTAGAGAATACAAATATGAAAGTCTGCTCAACATGAAAGTGAAAGTGCTGATTGTATATAAGTGTTTCTGTTGAATTTGGTGTTGTTCTAAAGGTAATCCTAACTGGGTGTGTATGGTTACTGGTATCCTGTAACATTCTAACAGCTTCGTGCAAAGCGTTATAAGTCTTAGAGGCATCAAAATTTCAACCCAAAATATGAAATTCCAGATATACAAATATGTATACAATGCTCTCTTTCAATTTGAATTTTACAATCATCATAGAGTATAAATTGGTGTACACTGTGGACAATTCCTGACGTTATACTATTTAGAAACAGAAAGTATAGAAATGATTACAAACAAGGTACTGTATATTGGGCGGGTGACATGGTTTTCAAGTAACATTTTTGACGCTCGTACAATCATCCTTACGCTGGTTCGTGTAAAAGTGTTTTTAAGAAAATTCGTCGAGTCATAGGCGTGAGAAAGTGATAGTATATAGAAAACATCATTGACACTCACTGTATGATGGATACGAGGGTTTATGACGTACGATTCACAAAGCCGAACGAATTTCTGTACAGTTTGGCCAGTTTCCCAGCTAACGAACGATAAATAAAATATCTGATCAGGTTCGTTCGTTTCACGATATGGTTAAAAGGATAGCATGCTGTTGAATGTTGGGCAAACGATGCGTTTTGAAAAATCGGTGTAAACTAAAAAAATTCAAATGCACCAAAATTCTATTCCTCTCGCCGAAATTGCTATCACGAGGGCACTTTCATTTTGAATTATTTTTCCTCTGATGCACACACAATGCACCAAATATCAATTTCGCTACTTTTCTCAACCAAATCCCAGGGCTACGCTCGCGTTGTGCCAATTGTGTCAATCTACCTTTGCTTTCCGTTCACATCTAACAGATGGAGACACTACATTCTTGAAATTGTCCGAATCGTTGCGACGGCAATTATGATTCTCATTTTTAACCACAGATGGTGAATCAGTGGCCGATTTCGTTGGTTCGTTCAAAGTGGTTATATAGTGTTGTGTGTTTGAAAGAAAAAAAAAGGGTTTCTCTATCGGTAGACATACACAGGTGAGATTTAATACGTATTTTCTTAAACTTGCGGATTTCTAAGTTCAAAGAAATGAAATCTCAAATTGTTTTTTCACTAATAGTTGCAAGGGGTGTGTAGTGAGTGTATTGGAAAGGGTTAGGGATATATCAATTATTATATGATTATTAATCTTTAAGTTGAATAATTAATTTCATTGACTTAATTTATGCTTGCAAATTGTTCATTTTAAAAGGAAATCATAATGTTAATAGTATAAAAGTATCGGTTTTATTTCTTCTTAGAATGAAGCAAAATGGCGTGACCACTAAAGTCGAATATCGCAATCGATTATCGCGATCAATTATCGATGAGAATCGAACGTTTGAAATATTAAATTTGGAACGCATCGAATCTGTTAATAATTTCATGACATTAAAGTATGTAAAAAATAGACATTGAAATGTAGAATGAAAGGAAACAACTTTCCATTTACATATCGTTAGAATTGTTCGTTAATGTAATCGTCCGATCACAATATCTTTCAGTTGAATCGTGAAAGCTGGTTGTTTCATGGTTATTTGTTGGATCATAAGCCCTGTGGGTTTGCTTGTGTGACGATCGATGCGCTTCAAAGCGAAAGCGGAAAGAGCGTCGCGTGTCTGAATATATATTTCACTTCCGCGAATATCGCCTCTCATTTTCTTCCGCGAAATTATTCAATCATCACGCGACAAGCGGCTCGAGCCGTTGCACTGTGCATCACCTTATTAAGATTACATACAACAGGTTGCTTGTAAGTTCCGTGGGCAAATCTAGGTCACCCGTAATAAGACGTAACCGATTTTTATTGGCACCTGCCATACCGAACTCACGATCATCCGTTTAATCGTTTTATCGCATTCTGCAGCTTGCAACGGAATCGCGTTCACGGAACTTCCCGCCGTTTTATTGCGCTCTCCTCTGTTCTCGTTTCACGGAAGTGCTTGATCACGACCGGTGATGAAATTTTGGTTAACTTCAATTTTTAATCACCCTTTGCGATGACTGTTTAAATAAATTCAAGATGTGACCCTTGAAAGATGAAACGATATATGCCATTTTTACCATTTTTACCATTTTTACCATTTTTACCATTTTTGTCTTGAAGGGTAAAACACGTTTCCTATTATATAAATCTCGTACGGAGGAACGAGTTAATTACACGAGCGATAATTTGTTAACAGAACGCTATTTAAATCCATGCAAATTTAAAAAAAAAAAAAAAAAGAAAGAGAGAGACATTATTCCGGGTCGTGTTTCAAAAAGTTGCAATCGGTGGAAGTTTCTGAAATCGGAGTTAAACGCGCCTCGAGGCAACGTGTTTAAGTCAAAAAACCGCACGGTTACATCGGTCCGATACCTCTTAAACCACTTTAATGACGCTTCGACGCATCGCGAATTTAAAATTACACCGACGACTCGGTCTCGATAAAGATCGTACTCTTGCAAAAAACCGGCCCCCGAATCACCGAGGAGCCATGATAAACCGCGTCCGTGGATCAGTGCGGTCTAGTTATACAAACAGAGATTCACTGTACTTTCATTATAAAAGAAATTTCACTTTTTAAAATCAGCAATCGAATCAAAAATTTCGATATTAATGGCAGGAAATTTAGATAATAGGTATTTAGGAATTCGCAGTAGTACAGACGTACAATATGAGCGACGAGTAAGAAGGATCTACAAAGAATTAATAAAAATAAAATATTTTTAAGAAAAGTATGTTAAAATTAATTAGGATAGTTCGTAGAAAAATTATCGAAGCAAAAATTTAGGTATTTTGAGAAAATAATATTCAGAACGTTTAGAAATGTGAATCTATGAATCCGCAGTAGTACGAATGTATAATAGGCGCGGCATCTTTCTTTTTATGTAACCATTACAAAAATATTGCAAACATTTATCTAATTAGTAAGCTCGAAATTTTCTTCTCATAGAAAATGATAAAACGATCTTGAACATCTGTTTTTCAAGGATCAAAGAAATGGTCAAAGTATATTCATACAGGTACTTTATTTCGAAAACGTACAGACACATTAAGGTGAATCATTTTACGTTCGAGCCGGGTGTACGTCGATAAAAATCTTCGATCAGATCACAGCTTCTTAATCATAGCAACGGGACGTTGTGCTCACAGGTACGAAATATAAACTTCTTCGACGTTGAAAACACGAACAAAGAAACGTTTGTGCTTCGATAATAATTCAACGCGACTTTCTCGTGCAAGAAAAGAAGAAAAAAAAAAAACGTCGATCCACTTATACGGTTTCTTTTTCTTGCCATTCTTTATTTCGATCGAACATTATTTTCGTCTTGCTATTAATCTTTGCACGCGAACAAATGATTGTTATTAGTAATATATGACGCACGAGGTGCGTCGCTAGTTATTTTATATAGGTTACTATTATTAAAATTTATTAGCTAAAAAAGAATGTTATTAGTAAAATTTCGAAAGGTATCAAGTATGGCAAAGATATATAGGACGTCCCGCATATTTCCTTCCTACCATTAGGATTGTGTAAATACCTGGACAGATTCTTATCGTATGAAAATATTCATCCTAAAGTGACCGATCTCCACTAAAACACCGTACGCGGTAATAAGATAAAATAGTCAGATGTGAAGAAACATCTGTATTCAAATGTACGGAAACGCACCTTGAGAATTTAGTTATATAATTGAATTAATCAGTCATTATCAAGGAACGTGTATAAATATCTACTTTCGTGATTATGAGGCAATAAGCTTGAATTAATCTTCGGAGACAAATATGACCCAATAGTTACGTATTCACCGGCAAGCTTTACAATTTTAAGGCCGTTCGTTAGCTTCGTCGTCTTATGATGCCATCCGTATCAAAAATGTTAAGGGATGGAAATTTTAATTGATCAGCGCCAATTCATCATTATTTTATTTCAATTATACAATTAGGCATCGATCGGTCGAGATTCGTATTCCTTAACACTCTCGGCACGGATGGCGTCATAAGATGACAAAGCTAACGATCATCGTTCTTTGTTCGTGGCCACCGTATCGAAGAAGATGGTTACGATAAAGGGGGGACGAAACGATTTCTCGGCAGGGCTGTACGTTCGTTATGGGTTATGGAGGCGGCAGAGACCCCGTTCAATCGATCCGGGTAGCACGTGCTCGACCATAAGCGGGCGCAAATGAGCGGGCATAAAAATAAATGTCACGCGGGAAGGTAAGTCGACGGTCACCGTTCCTTCTCCGTTAACCTTCCTTCAATTTCTCCGCTCTTTTCTCGCTTTACCGAGACGCGTAAATAACGACGAACAGGTGAAGACGTATATGTACGTATGGGTGGAAGGGAACGAATTTACGCGAACCCGATGCGGGATCGTTGAATCGCTTCGATCCGGCTTCGGATTATTTGTCGGAAATATCGTTTCGACGATACACAAGCTGCTTTAACCGAATTAACTGGGAAATTTGGATAATGTAATGCTCACTTTCGTTTCGAAGAAAAGTGGTACAAGTAGGGAATAAGGTGAATGAAGAAATTATTCAAATGTGATCTTGAAATTTTTTTTTTTAATATCAACAGGATTTATTCCTTTCACTCGATCGGTTGTAAAAGAAATAAATAAAATATTTCTTAATTTATCAACGACACCGGGCACGATCTCTTGTCAGTTTATTAGACGAGAAAATCAATTTCGAAAGTAATTACTGCAGAGTAATGGAGACGATTTAACAGAAGGCTAATTACACTTCGGTTTGATTAAAATGAAATTAAAAATTTTCGAACGATTATTTACATTATGTTTTCACCACGGTATGTGATTATCTTTATACCCAGTGTCACAAATCTTATTTAAACTTGCAGTGAATTATATTTCTTACGATTTAAATCATTCACGAAGACTGCAGGAAACTTGCGATGTGACACAAGTTCAATACTCGTGCATCAACACGAGCGAGCCTTAAACTGGGCCAAGTATATGATAATAAATAATTCGCGCGTCTTACTCGATCCGGTTTTAACGCACCGCACACGCACTTCTCGTGTTTTAATGTACACGGTGTCCTGAATGTTAATCACACCTGGCGTTATTACCATTGGTGTAATTAGAGATCTGGAGATTTGGAGATTTAGGGATTTTGGAATTTGGAAATTTGAGAATCTTGAAATCTTAGAATTTGAAGATTTTGGAATTTTGGGAACGTGAAATTTGGAAATTTCAATTTTCGAACCTTAGAATGGTAAAGAGATTACCAAAAACGAATACCTGTGTTACATTTCGCGCAGAGATGAAATTTATGAGCGTAATGAAAGACGGGTGCACGAAACGCAGAAGTAAAAAAAAAAAAAAAAGGCACACGCAATGCTCGTTTCCAGGTTAAGAAACGCGTTATTAATTACGCCCGCGAAATGTCTGTGTTTAAAAGCGAACGGGTCCACGCATGCAACAGGTACAAAATGCTTGGCTGAGGCTACTTTACGGCACATGTAAATTCAACTTGTCGTCCCGTTAGTTGAACAACTGCAACAGTTAAATATTGCCGACAATTAAATTCTACCGGCGGCGTATAGTTCGCAGTGCATCAATTTTTCAAAAAATTAACAATTGCCGGAGGATCGCGATAACTGTTCTTTTTGCGCTCGAAATGGACCGGCATATGACCGGAAGCGATCTTAACGTTCGGAAGCGTTCGGACGTCGGCGTAATTATAATAGAAATCGTGTTGGAAGTTAACGAGCGAACGGATTGCAAAAGAAGCGGAGGATATGCGGGTAGCGTGGTTGTTTCCTCGCAACTGTGTCTACAAGCGATTTAT